GGAGACTGCCACTCGGTCATGGACCTCTGACTTCCAGGTGACTTAGCCTGGCGAGAATCTGAATTTCAGCATTCCCCCTTGGCTTCTCAGCACTGGGCATGGCCCGCCCGCCAGCTCCAGGGTTTGCCTGCACCTTGGACCAGACGTGCTTTGAACTCAACTCCAGCCACACAAGCTGTTTTATTTCAGAAGGAGCTTGGCCCAAAGACCAAACAGGAAGGGCGCTGTGTAACCAGGTTGTTACTGGTAACGAGACCAGGGCTCTTTGTTCTGGGACAAGCTCACGTCTTTGCAAATGTGTTCTTTCCTGGCCTTACGTCAATTAAGTAATTTATCTGGCCTAAAGCGAGTCAGATACACCCGCGTCCACCACGTCCACCACCAGTAACATTTCCAGTCCTTTTTTTTCCAGGCTCCTCAGCAAAAGAGGACCCAGGAGAAGGGATGGGACCCCGTGTACGCCGAGGTGCCTCCCACGCATCCTCAGCCGAAGACTGAACTGAAGACCGGTGGTGAGTCCTGTGAGGTTTGCAGTCACGGGGTGGACTTCAGCCCAAGGGCACGTGCAGGGGCTGGGCTCTGCCCGTTGAGTCCGCGTGGTACAGGCAACTGAGGTCCAGGTGCTGGGGTAAATGGAGCCTGAGTGCTCAGGGGCAGCTTTCAGCCGGGGACTTTCTAACTGCAACTGTGCCTCTGTCTGTGGCTTAGATGGCTCCTCTTGTCTTCCCCATGGAAGTATTTGGTTACTGAAGTACAGAGTCCTCAGATGCTAAGGAATCCAGCATTTCTGACCGTGTGTGTGTGTGTGTGTGTGTGTGTGTGTGTGTGTGTGTGGTGCTGGAGGCTGAACCACACTGAGCTCCATCCTCAGTGCCCCTTTATTTTAAATTTTGAGACAGGCTCTTGCTAAATCACCCAGGCTGGGCTCCAACTTGCGACCCTCCTGCCTCAGCCTCCCAGAGCACTGGGATAGCAGGGTGCACCACCACGCCCGGCTGGAACCAGCATTTCTGAGTACCAAGCATGACCAGACCTTCACAGGCTCTACCATGGCCCAGGCTCTCCCCTGGAGTCTCAGTAGAAGGACCTGGGTGATTTAGGGGGCAGCAGCTTCTCCTGGGGCTCAGCCCCTTCGTGCTGTGGGATGCCCACCAGTACCAGACAATCGGGGAAGGAGAGCACCAGTTTTCCTGGGTGCCCCAAAGCAGGTCCTGTGGAGAAGCACATTTCTGACTGGAGTCATTCTCTTGCCTGCTGGAAAAACCATCGATCTTTTCATCAGTCTTGAAGTTATATCATTTCAAAGCATGCTAACTTTGAATGTTGAAACAGTTTTACATTACTATTATTATTATTATTATTAATTTTTGCAGTGCTAGGGATCAAACCCAGGGCCTTGTGTATGCTGTCAAGTGCTCTACCACTGAGCTACATCTCCAGACCCTAAATTGTTTTTAACTCAGTTTTTGACCTTGATTTCCATGCAGCAGAGAAAAATCCTATGTACCTTTTACCCAGTTTCCTTCAATGGTACCATGAATCTACTCTCAGTTTCTATAATTTTCCAGGTTGTTTTTTTTTTGGTACCGGGGATCGAACTTGGGTCCTTGCGCTTGTGTAGCAGGTGGCAAAACCACTGAGCTAAATCCCTGGCCCCGGTTTCTATAATTTCGTCAGTTCAAGGCCAGCCTGAACTACACAGCAAGACCCTGTCTGAAAAACTCCAAAAGAAAAAAAAATTGTTATTTTAAATGGGAAAAAAAATTCCTCTTTGAGCACTGCCTGATCTTTCCCAAGGTCTGAAATCTCCAGTGATCTGCAGCTTTTGTGACATGGCTAACACACACCCAGCATGCCCTAGAGCAAGGTCTACCCAGAGTGAAAAAGGAAGTGGAAAATATTTTGAGAATTTTGTTTTACTTCTTTCAGATTAGTGGGCTTTCTCAAAACATTAGAATGAATGAAAAGCGAGGTAATGCTTGTTTTCAGATATCTACAGGTGCATAAATGGATTTGGGACGGGTTGAATTTCTCCCCCTTCCAAAGAAGAGCTATGAAGTGCGAGGCCCCGGGCCTGCAAAGGTGACTTCATTTTGCAGGTGATGAAATTCAGATGAGGTCACAGCAATGGCTGTCGTCCAACCCAACCGGGAAGCGTGGACACCAAGGAGCACACGTGGGCGGACACCAGGAAGGATTTGAATTAAGCTGCCCCAAGCCAAGAGCCCCGGGCAGCCGGGAGAGAGCTGGGACCGGTCCGGTCAGTGCCTCCACCCCGTGCCCGGGCCGCTGACTTTGACCTTGGACTTCAACCCCAGGACGGGACTGCAGCAATGCAGTCTGTCGTGGTTCTGTGCTGGGCAGCCCCGGACCCGCTGTTGTGGGAAATGACTGTTGAGTCAAGGATACCCCAAGTGGAAATGGGAACGTGGTCAAGAGGAAGCCCCTTTGTCCACCCTCCTTCTGGGCTCCTCCAGCACTCCTGGGCCCCGCGGCAGCGCACGGAGCCCGACTTCCTGGGGACGGAGCCCCAGTTGTGCCCACTGCTCACAGCACTGTCCTGGTGCGCACCCAGAGAGGGAGGGGCTGGCAACACTGCACTTACTGCAGCCATGACTGCCGGGAGCAAAGGAATTGGTAGCGCTTGCGAACTCCCCTAGAGCAGCCTCGAGTGATCCGGAGAAAGAAGGTTCATCTCACACGCCATCTGCCTCAGCCTTCATTGGGGCCTTGAGTTACATCTCCTCTGATATACTCAATACTTGTGTTTCTTCTTCTTTTTTTTTTTTTTTTGGTACCGGGGATCGAACTCAGGTCCTTGCACTTTCGAGGCAGGCAGCAGAACCTCTGAGCTAAATCCCTGGCCCTCAGTACTTGTGAACGATACCTAAACCGCTCTTTCCAGTTGAATTAGTTTTCCCTGTGATGTCCATCCGGGGAACCAAGACATACTTAGAAATATAGAAAATCTTAAGAAAAAACAACAAGAAACTATTAAAAGAGGCCATTTCTCCCAACTATAACTGCGTCATTTTGTCATCTCTTCACTTGAGTCATGTAACAGCTCCTTTGAGGAAGCTTTTCATTGGGAAAGAATTTCAAACTCACAGAAATGCTAAGAAGAGCTCTCATAAATCCTTTTGCCAGCATTGCCTATTAATCTTTTGCCTCATTTGGTTGATAATTTGCCCTCGTTCGAGCCCTCTACATCATCCATTAATCAACTTATTCAACATTTACTGAGCGGAAGACAGAGCAGAGGAGAGTAGGTGGCTAGCAGAGGCTGGCTGGGAGCAGGGCTGGCGAGCACATCCCAGCCACAGTCCTGGCATCCTGAGGTCTGGGGCACCCTGCGGCCTTCCCAGACTCACTGTCACCCCACCATTGTGTCGTTGACGACGCCTCTGTTCCACAGGGAGAAACAGATGCAGGTCCAAGGGCAGCCAGCATGGCCAGGTCCCAGCTGTCATTCTGAGACTCCTGCTTTCCAGGTTTCCCAGTACTACATCTTCCAGGGCGGAGCTCAGGCTCAGGTCAGCGAAGCCCCTGGTTGGCTGCCCAGGCGCTAGACTCAGGCCTCGCACGGAAGCACACGGTGCTCGAGTGCATCTTACAACCCAGGCTCCATGATCCAGAGTCGATTTCTGGAGAGCAGTCAGGGTCTGCGGGCGCTGGTGCGCAGGGATGCTGCCAGGTGTCCTTTGCAGAGAGGAGGATGCCAGGATGTGGAAGTTGAGCCTCCTGCCCACAGCTACCAGCCCTGCTGCAGGTGAATCCTGGCAGAGTGGGGACCCGGCAGCCCCGGTCCCGCAGCAGGCAGGGTCGTCCTTTGACTCCCTGACACTCGGCTTGTCTCCCTGCAGGATTCCAGCTCAGGTAGAAAACACTCGGAGTCACTGAAGCCCCGGGACCCTGACGAACCCGACTGTAACCACAAACGCTGCAGAACACGAGGGGAGGCCCTGCCAGCCCCTCTGGCAGCCAGGTGGCTGTGATGGGCGCGAAGTGACTGCATTTGGGAAGGCAAGCATCCCAGGTCGCCTTCAAACTGCCCCACACCCTGGCACCGGGAAGGAAGAGACGAAAGGAAATTCGCCCCCTGGAGCGCTTCCAGTGTCCACACCCCAGGTGTGGGCCCTGGCCGGGCAGACACTGGCCCACTGAGCTGCACCCCAGCCGGCAAAGGGCCCAGGATCCCGAAGCTCAGATGCGCTCTGTCTGGTGAGACCTGCCTTGTGTGTCTGCACTCGCTGGGGAAAATCCAGAGGAAAATTCATGGAGAGGAAACCCTCCTGCTCTCTTTATTTCCCCTTTTACTGTGGCCCTGGGGATTGGACTCATGGCCCACTTACTGAGCTACATCCCAACCTTCTCTAAATTGTTTTTGAGACACAGTCTTGTTATGTTTTAAGTTGCCCAGGCTAGGTTCAAACTTTCGACCCTCCTGCCTCAGCCTCCTAGAGTGCTGAGATTACAGGCCTGTGTCCCCTCGTTCCTGGCATTTCTGCTTACAGGGCAGACACAGAGCTTGTGCAGGGAGCGGGTCCCTGCGGGGAGAGGAAGCCGGGGGCCGGCACTTCCTGCTGGGGCCGACAGGGGGCGCTGGCAGGTGAGGAGCGTGGAGGCCCGGCGTTCTCCAGCCTGGAGTCATTCGCAAGCACAGCGAGCAATGGGACACGTGCAGGTGGGCACAGATGCCGGCCCCAGGCCCCTCGTGCATAAAGATACGAATCTTAATTATTAACGCTAAGATGGAAAACACTGCTCCCAGTTAGGAAATTCAAACGGGCTGTCTCCTCGGTCCCCTGCACAAAGCGGGTCTGTTCTGGGACATCCAGCTGTCCAGGCCCGTGCCAGCACCACGGCGTCCCCGGCGGGCAGCTCACTGGTGCCGCGGGAACGGGGTGCTGGGGTCACAGACGCCCCGGGAGCCAGGGGAGAGGCCGGTGCCTGGCCGCAGAGGCTTCTGGGAGACTCCTGAAATGCCCCGGAGAAGACGGCTAGGAAGAGCCGCGTTTTCGGAGGCGGGTGTCCCGGGGCGACTGCCAGCTGGGGACATCGTGGGCACAAAGAGCGAGGTGGCGGGGCAGCAGCCAGCAGAAGCCGCCCCAGCCAGGCTGGGGATCATCACGTCCGTCGGCCGAGGACAAGAGTTCAGGTGCTGCCAATAGGCTGTGGGGAACTAAGGGCACTTGAAGTCCCCGCTGGCCGTGAGACAAGGGAGCTTCCAGGGCGGAGATGAGACACAACCTTCAGGATGCTTTCCGGGGCCTGGGCTGGGCTCGTAGGTACTGGAGGCCCCGGGTTCAATTCCCAGCACAAGAAAAAGGAAAAAACTCAAAAAACGAAAAGCAGCCCCCCCAAACGACAAATAAAATCCAAACGCCCTACAGATTTTCAAGTTGACAATCTTTCTTTTTACTTAGCCTCACTAAGAACGCTTCTCGTATTGTACCAGTAGTGACAGCACTAGCTTTTAACTTGAGGTACATTTGTATTGTTTAAAAATAAGGGCCGGGGATTTAGCTCAGTGGTTCCACCACCTGCCTTGGAAGCGCAAGGTCCCAAGTTCAATCCCCAGTACTAAAAAAAAAATTATATCAATTCCTTTTTCTGTGGAGAGTATGTTTTAGAAATTGGGAACGGAAGTTAAGTTTTGTCGAATGCATTCATGGAGAAAAAACCAGGTGATGGTTTCCTCCCCTTTTTTGGCGAAGGTTGCTAACATTTTTTTAGTACTAAAGCATTTCTATTCTTGATTTAAAACTTATGATAGTGGGATATTATTCTTTTAACTTGCTGATAGATTCTATTTCATAATATTTAATTTCAAGTTTTGGTATTGAATGCAGTAAAACTGGGGTGTTTTTGTTAAGATGCGGGACATTTCTGTCCCATTTGAGTGACAATATATTGCTTGCTTCACAGAAGCTCGCCTGGAAGCTTTCCCTCTGCCTTGCTGTGGAAAGGCATGCCGCGCTCTTGAGTTTTATATTTTTCTTAATCGCTTAGTGCATTCTGCTGGTGAAGCCCCCTGGGCGCTGAGCTGGATTTCCACCTCTCCTGGGAGCAACCTGGGCACCTGCAGCATGGTCGCTGTGCACCCGGGCTGCCCTTGGCAGCTGCCAAGTGGCATAGTTCCAGGCCCGTGAGTCAAGCACGGGTCTCTCCAGTGGCTGTGTCCACACCATGACTCCCTTCCTGCACGCTCTCTTTTTGTCTACCTGTCCCCTGAAATCTGTGGCTTTAGGGCATTTTTAAAATTTTATTTATGTCTTTTTCTGGTACCGGGAATTGAACTCAGGACCTTGCACTTATCAGGCAGGTGTGGTGTCACTGAGCTACATCCCCAGCCCTTGTTAAATTTATTTATTCATTTAGTTAGTTTTAAATTCTTCTTAGGGTTTGAGGAGCCTCCCTCTTGACTCCTTTCTGCCCCTTGCTCTGCTCCTCCAGACTCGGGAGCCAGACACGAGGTCTGTCTGGAGGGCTGTGTGGCTCCCAGGGGCCGAGGCCTTCTCCCCTGCCCCTCCCCCTCCCGGTCTACTCCGCAGCCATTCCTGGGATTGTTGGTCACCATCCAGGCCATGGGTAAGTTTTAAGTGTCTGGGGTCTGGAGTTTCCGTTTCTGATTCCCAGCCTCTTATTGGACTCCAGTTGTGATCAGAAATGACGGCCAGACAACTACCAAGGCTGGTGGCTCAAACAGGAAGTCCCGCACCCCGCGGGAAGCTGGGAGCAGCCCAGCCTGCCAAGCTCCGCTCCCCACTCCCCCGCCCCACGCAGAACAGTCATGCCAACAGACCTCACAGCTCTAGCCCAGCAACTGTATGAAATGAACTTCAGAAAATTAAAAAACAAGGAAGCAATAGACACAAACAGTTCTGCACGGTCTTACCCCAGGAGCTCGGTGAGCAGGAATGCTCACTGCGGGACTGTCGTCCGCAGGCCTGGGTTCTTCCAGAGCAGGCAGCTCCAGGCCGTGGGACAAAGCTTCGACCTTCACCAGGAGCTCATCTAACAGACTGGAGAACTCCTCCAAGCAATGACTCTGAGGGGAACAAAAGTGGATTAGGAAACGCATTTCAGGACGTGTTTTGGTTTCCTCATTATCTGAAGCACACAGGGCCTTGGGGGTTTGCAGGACCTTGCTAAGTGAGAAGTGTGCTGGGCCAGGGCTGGCTCACACTTCCTGTCCCTGCACCTCAGCTCTTTCATTCACAGACTGCGAGCACTGGTGACAGCGCCACATCAAGGGTGACTGCGTGGCAGGAATGAGACAGGAAGCACGCGCGGACTCAAGGCCCCCACAGATGCCCACGGTCACAAGCACATGCACAGGACAGGCTTTGGGGCACACAGGAAATAGGGGTCCAATCAAACTCAAACGGAGGGCCCCATGTTTAGGTAGGAGTCTGCGTCTGGTCCCAAAGCAAACGACTAAGCCTAAAGGTGTGCACGTGCGCCCGCGCACACACAGGTGTCAGGGGAAGACCGGAAATTCCATCTTTCCAGCCATGCAAGGCCACTGCCAGGGTGTGGTGGCCAAGGAGGAGAATATGACTGGTAAACCTCAAAGGTACTAGAACTGCAAGGGAAGAGTCTCCCAGATCTAGGGTGTGGCTGTGACCCGGGACCCCAGAAAGCACAGCCCTGCATCGAGGGAGCTGCCTCAGTATCCAGGCCCAGGCATACGTGATCCACAGCTGCCTCCATCTCCCCGGCTGCCGGGGTCTCCAGCCCCAGGAAGGCCAGTGCCTCCTGCCATGAGAGCGCTGCGACATCTGTCAGTCTCACTGGTGGGTTGCCACGAGAAGATTTGCTCTTGTGGAAACAAGTCAGGAGGGAAACTCTCAGCTGGAGAAGAGAGTGAAATAGGCAAATTCTGCATCAGCAAGCTGAAAACTGGCTTTGTTAACTTGATAAAGTAGGAAATGGAGATTATATCTGATGATGCTATTTTATGAAGTTTTGGTTAAAAAAAATGCTAGGAAAGTGCCTGTGAGGAATGAAATTAAATGGCGGCAAGATGAACTCAGCAGTGGGAGTCAGTCCTGTCGTAAGAGATGTTTTCGGTGTATAACATCCAGGACCAAGATGGCCACCCCTGCATTCCTGTCATGATGTCCTGGTAAGACACTGCTGGGTGTGGGGCCCCAGGCTATTCATTCCTTACTGCAGGCTGAGACCCAAGAGCTCAAGAGCCTGTGGGTACCAAACTCAAATTTTCACACATCCAGTCGTTTAAAAAAATAACCCAAACAAGCAGATGGGTAAATGGGTGGATGTGTGGGTGGAAGGATGAAGAGTCGTTAAGTGGATGGATGGGTGGAGAAGTGGCTGCTTGGGTGGCTGGGTACTGAGTGGCTAAAGTGCTAGGTGGAGGAAAGGATCAGAGGGTGGGGAGCAATGAGTTAGTGGCAGCTGAAGAAGCAAAGAACTGGGGCCTGCCTGTGCTGAGGTGTGAGTATGTGTAATTCCTTCTAGTTTCACTCTACTAAATGAGAATTCTAAAGACTGCAAAGAATTCATGTGTGAAGCTTGACTACCAACTACTTTCACATGTACAGGGCTCTGCGTGGATCAGGATGTGGATGTGGCCAGAGTCCACAGGGAGACAGGAGCTGACGCAGGGCACTGTGCAGGGGCAGGAGTGGCTGGGCCTCGGGCAGCAGCTGAGTGCGGGAAGGCAGGAGGCAGCAAAGTGGGAGCCCACGCCTCATCCAGCTCCAGACTGAGTAGGACCCCCAGGAAAGAATCCCCGAAGTAGCAGGAGGACAAGGGCAGGGCAAGGGGTGCGCCCAGTGCGGTCGAAAACACGGGGAGTGTTTCAACTCAAAAAAATATCACAGGAGAAAGTACACTGCCACAAATCCCTCTCAAAGGCCTCCCCTCGCTTTGAGCACACTCGTTCCATGCTCCTCGCCTCTTCCGGCAGCAGCTCTGGAGCCCTCTTTCCTGAGGGTCTTTAGCTATGCTGTCCTGGCTGCCTTGATGTCCTGAATCGATCCAACATGCTTCCCTGTCATGGTCATTTTGACTTTGGGGAAGAGCCAGAAGTCCCATGGTGCCAGATCTGGTGGAGAAGGTGGATGAAGACACAGTGTCGTGTTTTAGGAACTGCCTTTCTGTTGGATGGTGCTTGGCAGCAGCATTCACTGTATTTTTGGTACCAGGGATCAAACTCAGGGCCTTGGGCTTGCATCGGAACCACTGAGCTAAATCCCCGGCCACATTCACTGTATTTTTGATCACACATTGTTATGCTCCTCAGGAAAGAGGACTCCAGAGCTGCCTCAGAAAGTGCCCGGAACAATGGGATGAGTGAAGCAAGGAGGGTATTTTGAGGGGAATTCACGGCAATGTGTCTTTTACCTTAATTTTTAAAAAAACTTTAAACATTCACTGCATATTCTGATCACACCTCTTTACTCAGCACAGAGCGAGACCCAGCCAGGCTTCCTGCAGGAGGCAGCCCCTGGTGGCTTGGTCAGCTGAGGGACGGGAGGACAGAGCGCTTTTCACGCGACTGGACAGCAGGTGGCGCTGTCGCAGCCCGGCCGGGGGCACGCACCATTCCCAGACACAGCGCCGCCACCACTGCGGAGAGGACACCCCAGCTCCCAGCCGCGGCTCGCAGGTGGGACGTGGGGAGGCTCGGGGACGAGTCTTCCTGGCTTCTCCCGGGCAACCCCAGCAGCAGCAGCAGCCGGGATCCGGAGTGTGCGAAGGTGCGGGGAGGCAGTGTCCAGGCGGCGCTCAGAAGGTGGCGCAGGTGGGTGTGGGCGGCCAGCACCAGGGCCCCCACCAGCTGCAGGAGAGAGAAGAGCCAAGACCCTGAACTCCTGCCCCAAGTGGATAAAAAGGGGGGCGTGAGTTTCCATGTCTGTAAGCCAGTGCCCAGGGAGGCTGAGGCAGGAGGATCAATTTCAAGCCCAGGTCTAGGCCCGACCGAGCTCACATGTGGACGGTGCTTGCCCACCAGGGGTCTTCAAGCTGCAGCTACAGCCACGTGCTACACCCTGCAGGCCCCTGGTGGTGTTTACTTGTCGTTTAAAGACGTCCCTGTCCTTCCTTGAACTCATCTGAGTATCATTTACTCTGCGGGTGGATTTGAGCCTCAGTGGAACTTGGGAAAAAGCGGGCACAATCCCTGGTTCCCGGTTGCAGCAGATCCAGCGGAGCGGCCCCGGGAACCCCTAGGCCCAGGCACCCGCACTTTCTGTGCAGTTGGAATTCCGCTCCCTGTCTGTCTGTGTATTTACACACCAGGCCTCTCCCCTTGCGTCAAAGCTTGTTAAGCGGCATGAAGGGTCATCAGCTTTGTCCTGATTCTGTTATCTTTTTTTTTGGTACCAGGGATCAAACTCGGGTCTTTGCACTTGCCAGGCAGGCAGCGGAACCACTGAGCTAAATCTCTGGCCCCTGATTCTGTTCCCCCCCTCCCCCGAGTTCCATGGATGTTGTGTGATTCCTCTAGCGAATTAAATAACACCACAGCGAGCCCCATGTCCGAACAGGAAGTCACTGGGGGCTGGGCTGCCGGGACTGGCAAGTGGCTGTAATAACTGAGAGCCCGAGAGCTGAGCCCAGCACAAGCTTTGTCCCGCCCTTAGGCCCCTGGTCCTCTGGGGTGAGTGGATACGAATGAGAGGCCACACAGCCTTCGTGGCACCCGAGGACACGCCAGAAGTGAGGGCACCGCTCCCATCAGCAGTGACAGCCGCGCTTAATGAATCAGTTACTCCAGTCCCGACCACGGTTTACCAGGTGGCCCTGAGACCGGTGTGGGAAAACCACGACCATGGAGGAGGTGACCGGAATGCTAGATGGTGTCGCCCCAGGGGACGCTGCTCTTCCCGCCCGCCAGACAGGCTGGAATGGCAGCCAACGGAGGATTCTTACCACTGCGGTGGAGACGCCAGAGACCAAGCCCCGCATCCGCATCCGGAGACAGCAGGACGAGGCCACATGAAGGAGGCCAGGGAGGGAGATGCACCTCAGTGTCCAGAGGAACAGCAGGAGTCCCCGGAGCCACCGCGCCCTCTGCGACCGGAGAGACAGGTCAGGATGGCAGCGAGGGCGGGGGATCCGGGGAGCCTCTGGGGGCCCTGCCCAGCGGCTCCTGGTTTGATGGAGCTTTGTGGACCAGGCTCAGCTCCCCGTGTAGAGACTGGGCCGGAACCGGAAGAAAAATGAAGAGGTGTCCGCAGGAGCCCAGGTGAAGCTGCCTGCTCCACACGAACCTCGGCTTGGACAGCGCTCAGGGCGTGGCGCCAAGCTGGGTGCTGGGTCCCCCTCACCTGGCTCCACAGCGCCATGAGGCTGAGGTCCAGGGGCCCCTGGCACGGCCCTCCGCGGAGCTGCTGGGCGACGTCCCCGGCGTGGAGACTGAGGAGGCCACAGGCCGCGTAATAGGCGAGGGCCGCGCCCAACGCGGGCAGCTGTGACAGAAACGAGAGACGAGACGGGAGAGGGCGTGAAGCGGCTGTTCCGGCCTTAACGCCTCACAGGGAGAACGCACAGCGTGGGGGAAGGGCTGCAGCTCATGCGCAACAACTTCCTTTGCCTGTAGCATGTTCTTCTTTTCAGGTAAAAACATTATTTTCCCAGGACAGGGGATGGAACCCAGGGCCGTGGCGCGGAGCTCCAGCCCCGGGCCTTTCATTGTTTACTTTGAGAAGCATCTTGCCTTGTCACTGAGCTGCCCAGACTGGGCTCGGACTTGCGATCCTGCTGCCTCAGCCTCCCAGACTCCCGGGATGACGGGCTGCATCACCACGCCTCAGTTTTTTGTATTTTGTTTTTAAAGAAAGAAAATGGCCTCAGGATCCTACCTCCAGCCAGTTGCGGGGTCTCCGCCAGTAGCTGAGGGCGCCCACCTCGGCCATCGAGTAGAGATGCAGACTGAGGCGAGCCAGGCTGAGGACCAGGAATGCCAGCTGCAGGGGGCACGGAATTTCAGACAAACTGCTTTTCAGTCCGGCTTCTGGCTGGCTTCCCGCCAGTCACCTGGGCAGAGCCCGCCGAGGCCATCTCTCACTCCACGCCCTCCCGGGCACCTGGGCAGGTTGGTCCTGCTCACCTGTGAGGAACTCTCAGACGCCCGGCTCCACGCTTCCTGCGGCCCTGCAGCCCTGAACCCCAGACTCGGGCCTCCCGGTGTGCGGGTCAGATCTGTCCTACATATGTCTTGTGGGCCTCATATCCCCACACGTGAGCTTCCTTGGCCAAGTGAAGCCTTTAAAAGCCCCTGTACTCAAGATTTCTTTGTCTTTTTTTTTTTTTTTTTAAGTACTGGGGCTTGAACTCAGGGCCTTTACACTGAGCCCTTTTTTATGTTTCACTTTGCCATCCGGTCTTGATGAGTTGCCCAGGAATTCAAATGAAGAGACAGTTCTCAGAAGAATCCGTACAAATAACCAATAAATACATAAAAAATATTTAGCCTCAGGCTGGGGATTTAGCTCAGTGGTTCTGGCACCTGCCTTGCAAGCGCAAGGTCCCAAGTTCGATCCCTGGTACCAAAAAAACCAAACCAAAACAAACAAAACAAAAATATTCAGCCTCTCATGCCATCAGAAAAAAAGCAAATTAAAACAGCACTAAACAAAACAAAACAAAACAAAACAGCACTGAGATTCCATGTCACTTCAGAAAGAATGGACATCATCAACAAATCAAATAACACAGGCTGGCGAGGCTGCAGTGCAGAGGGAGAGGGAGGAGCCCTTTACATTGTTAGTGAGAGTGTAAATTTGTACAACCACTACCTACGGAAATCAGTGTAGACATTCCTCAGAAAACTAAAACTAGCCATTCCCCTTCTAGGTACCTTCCTGAAAGAGTTAAAGACATCACATTACATGTTCATAGCAGCACACTTCACAGTAGCTAGATCTTGGAAGGGAACTATATGTCCATCAACAGATGCGTGGATAAAGAAAATGTGGTATCTACTCACAATGGAGTACTACTCTGCCAGGAAGAAGGATAAACTCGAGTTATTTGTAGGAAATGGATGCACCTCAAGACCATAATATTGAGTAAAATAATTCAGACACACAAACTGGAGTATTTCATGGTTTCTCTTACTAAACATAGATAATTTAAAAGCAAACTGAGACAGATAACAGGAAACAAGGAGATCAATTTTTTGAAAGGCGGAAGGGGCCCAAGAGATCGAGGAGAGAAGAGGGCGTCAAAAGGACCAAGATGCGTCTGTCACATTCCAACTCCCCGCCGGGGATGTGATCAGTAAGGACTGCAAACAGGGACTGAGAAAAACAAAAATGTAAAAAAAGCCACGATTTGGAGAAGCTCCGCATGGTAAGGCTCCGCAGTGGCCCGACCGGTGGAGGCCCTGCCCTCCAGAGCCGCGCCCCCACCGTGGCCGCTGGGGCTTTGCGTGGACCCTGTGTTCCCAAGCCCACCGCCCATGACCAGACTGCAGCCTCCTGGGCCTCCCGGGCCGCAGCTTGGAGTCCAGGCCTTCACCAAGCGCCGAGCAGCCTGGTGGGCACCCCGTCCTCTGGGGTCCCCTCTGCACACCCAAGGGAAGTCAAGCAGGATGAGCGGCCCCAGGAGAGGCCAGGGAAGCGGGGGCTCTGGGCCCTGCCCTGTCCATCTGCAGACAGGGCCTCACACGGAGGGACCCAGGGGTTGAGCGACCCTGGCCCTGTGGGATTCACCTGACAGACATGAGAGCCCACAGGGTCCCCTCATCCGTGCTGCAAAGGGGCCAGGCGAGGACACGGAGGGGGTGACCAGGTCTGCAGGGGGACAGCGGTCACCTGAACCCGGACTTCCTGGCCTTGATCTTGGACCTTCAGCCTCTGGAACTGTGCCAGGCAAATGCCACCCTCAAAGCCACCAGCCTGTGTGCAGCTGCCCGCCCTGCCTACTGTAATGCTAATTTATAAGTTAGGTAAGAGACTTCAACAAGCTGGGCGTGGTGGTGCACACCTTAATCCCAGCACTCTGGAGGCTGAGGCAGGAGGACCACATGTTTGAGCCTAGCCTGGGCAACTTAGCAACTCAGCAAGACCCTGTCCCAAAATTGAAAAATATAAAGGGGCTGGGGCTGTAGCTCAGTGCAAAGGCCCTGGATTCAATTCCCAGTGCTGCACTCCCCCAAAACACACAAAACAATTATAGCAATAACTAGTAATACAATGGGACGATTATAACCGCATGCTGTAATAGTTATTTAAAACCGTGCAAACTGCTTGTTTGCAGAATTTCCCAGCTGGTGTTTGTGGACCACAGGCAACTGCAGAAGAGTGAAGCCACGGAAGGGGTGTGGCTGGGTTTCAGAACGCCCGGTCAGCTGGGTCCTCCACCATCCGGCATCCGCGGGTGACAGCAGCTTCCAGGGGCGGAGTGGCGGAGGCCTGGCCGTCCTGATGGAACCCCAGGACTCACCTCGGGGAGCACGTGGTGGTAGCTGGAGCTGCCCCAGAAGACCCTGAAGGACTCCACCCAGGCGGCGGGCAGAGGCTGGGCGCGCAGGGCGATGCTTGTGAAGAGCTGCGAGGGTGGGTGGTAGAGCACCAGGCGCATGGACGCGGCTGCCCAGCCTCGGGCCCTCAGGGTGCTCAGCAGCGCCTGGGCCTCCAGCCTGCGGGGAGCCGGGACTCAGGAGTGGGAGAGGCCCAGAGGACACCGGAAGTGGGCCTCAGCCGGGATGGGCACCCTCTGCAGCCTGGGCCAGGACAGCTCCCCTTCCCTTGGCCGAGACACACAGCTGCTCTGCTGCCTGGAGCCCGTGGGGTGCTGCCCGGGGTGGGCAGTTAAACATCATCCTAGGGTGAGGGGTGCTCCGGCAGACAGGAGGGCCAGGACAGGAGAGGACAGGAGGGGACCAGAGAAGACAGGAGAGGCCAGGCCAGGCCACCCGGCCCCACCAGGGACCATGCTGGAAACGTCTGCTATGCCCTGGGACCCCTCCCCCAGCAGCACTGGGTGGCACCGGGTGACCAGCACAGGACAGATGTCCCCTCCCCACATGACCGCAGAGGCTCTGCAGCAGCTGTGCTGGGACTGAAGGCCAGGCCTGCACTCGCTGCCCTGCCCCGAAGTGCACGATGCTGTCACTGCACAGCCACTGCGTGTCCTGCCGGCCTGGCTGACCTGTCCCCTCCCGACCTGCTGCACACGGCCTCCTCCCCAGTGCCCAGCGCTGCCCAGCGGGGAGAGCGCAGCCTGGTCACACAGACCTGGTTCTGCCCGGGCTGAGCAGGCAGTGCCCAGGGCCACCATGGGTCAGGTTCTGGTCCTCGAGGCCTCTGGGGTCAGGGCTCCACAGAGGAAGGGAGTCTTCCAGGGGCGCTGGAGACGGCCCTGGAGGCTGCGGAGCAAACCAGCAATCAGGAGGAGCCATGGCTCCATCCCGAGTCCTGAGCACCAGCAGGCACCACGCTCTGCCTCGCTGCGAGGTTCCGGGCTCTGGAGCTGAAGGCCCAGGCTCCTGGCCACCTGCAGGGCAGTCGGGGGCACAGGCGCAGCCCATGGGGCACCGTGGATGATGTCTAGGGTTTCAGCCCAGGCACCCTGCTTTCCCCGAGATCCTCAGACAGTGAGGGGCAAAGCCGCAGACAGGGGCACCACCCAGCCCAGGACAGGTGTTTGGACCAGGGGAGAAAGAAGCTGGCTGCTGCCCTCCCCAGCCTGGCACCCCACAATCTCAAGTGGGCCCCCCATCTTCCGAGAAGCTAAAGTGACCTGCAGATTTCCTGCCCCACTGTCTTCCAGATGTTCCTAATTTATTTCAACATAAAGAAAAAGCTGGGCATGGTGGTGAATGCCTGTGATCCAAGCTCTGGGGAGGCTGAGGCAGGAGGATTGCTGACAGTTCAAAACCAGCCTGGGCTACACAGTGAGTTCAAGGCCAGCCTGAGCTACACAGTGAGACCCTGCCTCAAAAAGAGATCTCATACCTTGGGTAAACTGCTGGGAGGGTCCTGGGGCTGCTGAATCACTGAAGCACCCAGTAGGTAGCATTTTCCCCCTAGAGCTCCAGGCTGCGAGAAGAAGAGAGATCAGTGGGGTGCAGGCTGTGGGTGTCACACCCTCGTCACAGTGGGCATCAGGGTGGGCAGCCAGGGTGACCGGTGGCTAAACCTGAGGCCCACGTGGCTCTCCGCATGTTACACAGAGCTGATGAGAAGTCCAGTGTCCAAGGAGGCCGGGCTGGGAGGAGCAAACAGAACAGGAGCAGGGGACAGGCCTTGCCCACCTGAGCCCCTGGCGCCCCGGCTGCAGAGGGGCCCCCCGTGAGCAGCGCGTCCAGCAGTGAGCTCAGCCTGCAGTCGCTCCGGTCCCCGGCGCCCGGCGAGCACCTGGCACTGCTTCATGCAAAACAAAACCAAAAGCTGATTCTGCCACCCCAGGCACAGTGACAGGGACAACCAAGGCTCTCCCCCTGCCAGTTCCTCCCATTCGGACTTCAGGTGCTTTGCAAAAATTAAACCAAACCCATCTGCAGCATGAGGCACAAGCCCCAGCATTCACTTTGCTCCACACTCGCAGGAAAGAAGGGAGAAGGGTGAGAAAACACTTGCACATTCGCTCACTCATTCAGTCAACAAACATTATTGTGCAACAACTAGAGCACCACGCACGTGGAAAGAGCCAGGACTTTAGCTTCGTGTGGGGAAGCAAACCCAATGCAAGGGCAGTCCTGACTTCAAGGTTCAGCGTGGGCGGTTTTGACTTCACAGTGGGGTGAAAGCCGACCTCCCCTGGCCCTGGTCACTGTTCACTCCTGGGACCTCTTCCACATCTGATCACGAGGCAGCAGTGTGCGAGGTGCTGTCACCAGGTGCAAGCTCTCAGCACGTTTGAGGCTGGGGAGGCTATGCTGGGACACTGGGTAGTGGCCCTACTGCACTAATGCTGCTTAAAATTCTTTTTGGTACTGGGCATTGAACCCAGGGCTTCCACACAGAGCTACACCGCCAGCCCTGTTTTATTTTTTATTGTGAGTCTGGATCTTGCCAAGTTGCCCAGGCTGGGCTCGAACTGCAATCCTCCTGCCTCAGCCTCCCAGGGGTGCTGGGATGACAGGTGAGGGCCACCACTCCCGGCTTTCAGTGCATGTCTCACTTAGGCTAGCTTCACTTTGTGATGAGCTGATTGGGCAGAGGGACAGAGCAGCAGCACAACGTGGATCAGTGATGACACTGAAGGGTGGCTGGCGGGTGGGTGAGGTCTTGCCCGGCAGCCGTGAGCACCCAGCACGTGATGACAGGAGAGCCAGGCAGCGAGGCCACGGTGGACAGAGGCCACGCACAGCCATCAGAGGGCTGTGTCTGGCAGAGGGGCCCACAGGGACCCGAGTAGGCCGATGACAGTGTGCTTGGGGACAGGCACATGCACGCGCGCACACACACACACACACACAGACACACACACACACACACACACATGAGTGGGCCAGGTGCTGGTTCCTCTGGACCCTTCTTGGTGGAAAGAGGGGGAGAATGCTTCTTGGAGAAAGCCATTCAGTTGGAAACCCATCTGAAGAAGCAAGAACAACATATAAACTCAAGCCGACCAGGGACAGATCCCCTCCTGTCCCGGTCACCGGGTCCAGGCTTCCCCGAAGAACGGGCTGGAGGTCACCTCCCCAGGTGGTGGCTGTGGCACTGGCAGGCAGGACGGTGCAAAGCTGGTGTCGCTGTGTGTCTAGACGCCCCCAAAGCTCCCCAGCTCACAGGCAGGGCTTCGGGAGGCAACTGGATTGGGGGTAGAGCAGTCTGCTGAGGGACCCACAGCTGGAGGTGCGGTTTGGAGGCTGGGTCTGGGGGCCAGACCCGGAAGGGCTTATTTTCCTCCTGGCTCCTCCCCTCTCTCTCTGCTTCCTGTGCGCTATGATGTCTGCAGCTTTTCCTCCGCCCGGCCCCTCTTTGACACCCTTCCTGCCTCGGAGCAGGCTGTCTATGGACCCAGAATGTGAGCCGGAATAAACCTCTCCTGTTTCAGTTTGTGGGCGCTGGGTATCGTGCCCCATAATGAGAAAGTGACCAGGACAGCTGGTCTACGAGGTAGCATGCCCGAGCCGCCTCACCCAGCCTGAGAGCCGTTGTGTGCATCTCCCCCCAACTCCGTGCGTAGGGAGCTCACCCAGGGGACAGGAGACAGCCAGGGCCAGAGTGTGTGCCCCAGGGAAATCGGCAGGCACATGCTGGGCATCAGAGCCACTGCCCCCAAGAGGGGACGGGACACAAGCTGCTCCCAGCACACACGAGGACCGCGTTCTCAGGCCAGGCTGTGGGGCGGCCCTCACACTGCTGATGAGGGCAGCTTTTGGAGATACCTTAGAAAAAGTGTCTAAGCCTTTTAGAGACAGCCCGGCATGGTGGTGAATGCCTGTCATCCCAGGACTCTAAGAGGCTGAGGCAGGAGGATCACAAGATCTAGCTCAGGCTGGGCAACTTAGCAAGACCCTGTCTCCAAATAAAAAATAAAAAGGGCTGGGCATGTAGCTCAGTGTGAAGGCCCAGGGTTCCTTCCCCAGTGCTGCAAAACAACACCTTCATAGGCACGACAAAGACAGTAGAGGAGAAAAAGAAATCAAGGACAAAGAAAGGTCATAACGTATCAGCTCCCAGATGCAGGCACCTCAGCCAACAATTTGTACGCATTATAAATGTTTTCCAAAAATGTCCACAGCACCTGGGAAGGAGTAACAGTCCAGAGAGCTGGTCTGTCTGATTGGCCTCACTTCCTTTTCCTGTAGAGTTTTTCTCTCGTGTATTCAAGAATTTGGTTTCTGTGGGCTCCATTTTTTAGCACCTAATCTATTCAAGATGACCTGCCAGAAAGACTGATTTTACATTTATGGCTTAATGTGCTCCATATTATGTACTTGAAAAAATGAAGTGGTGTGTGTGTGTGTATATATATATATATATATATATATATTGGCCACATGGAGGTTGCACAATCATGTGTGCGTGTGTGCGTGCAGTGCTGGGGGTGGAACCCAGGGCTCCGTGCACACCCGGCCAGTGCTCTACCACCAAGCCATTCCCAGTCCACAATGCACAGCTTCTGGGGAGATGTGTGACCTTCTGGATGTCGCCGCCTGTTGGGAATGGCGATAGAGAAACTGAGTCAAGAAGGGCCCAGTGTGATGCAGAGCTACAGCTTCCCAGGCCCAGGGGAGCCCACTCCTGCCCTTCCTGCCACCCTGGGATCCAGGCAGTGGAGCAGGAGAATTTGGCAGGCCTGGCCCAGCTGTACTAATGACAGCAATTACACAACACAGGCCCCCAAGGTGGGCTGAGCGATGTGCAAGATAAAAATCAGCAGTTATTTTCCATTTATGCTGCTTAGGTGGAGAGCCTCCTTCCTTTACAGGGGCTTCATGTGACGATTTAGTTTGGTTTTGTTTTACTTGGAACTTCATGGAGGTTTTACTGAGTTCAGAAACACTTCAAGCACAGCTCGAATACCACAGAATCCAGTAACATGATAACCTTCGGTGACGACGCAGAAATCCAGCAGCCCAACTCCCACTCTGCGGATAAAGATTCTACATCTCAGAGCAGGACAGCCTGTGAGCCTAAGAGAGCTGCAGCCTGGTCCCGGACGTCCCTGCAGGACGGGCTCAGCTCCCCTCCCTGGAATGCTACAAACCCAAGCCCCTCAGGAGCTGCTGGTGTTTCAGGATTAGGAGCTGGGGGCTGTTCCGAGGGGTAACGAGAGACCACTTTAACATCCCATTAGAAACCAGGGCACATGAACACATCTCTAACCAGGCATGGTGGCACACGCCTGCAATCCAGCACTCTGGGAGGCTGAGGCAGGAGGATCACATGCCAGAGCTTAGCCCGGGGAACTTAGCCACTTAGTGCTATTCCATCTCAGATCCTTATAAAGGGCTGGGGATGCAGCTCAGTGCAAAGGCTCTGGGTTCAAGCCCCAGTACTGCAAAACATAATAAAGCAAACCACATCCCTGGCTGGCAGTCACTGCACCCAGAGGTGGGGCCGGTTTTGGTCCCTGTGGGAAGCACAAGGTCACTGCACACCTGGAAGTGGTTCCTCTAAGGCCATCTAAGGCTCCTGAGCGTGTGAGGCCTCACAAATAGTGTCTCGCGCTGCATTTCTGATTTGAGAATCAAGAGCAATGACTGCTAAGAGAAACATGTCACATAATGCTGGCTTTGAAATGTGAGGTATCATCTCCATCATCGTCGTCACCATCGTCATCGTCACCTAGCTAAGACGGGCTCCAGGCTTGGGTTTCCACTTCCAGACCAAATGGCCCAAATTGTCTCTTTGTTTTGCCCACAGCGCCACCTACTGGCGGGTCCGTGCAGCTGCCGGGGTTGAAGAGAGCAGGCTGGGCTGGGAGGAAGGTGAGCAAAGTGAGTGATAGAGCCACCGCTTCTGCAGAGTCAGAGGCTACAGATACCACTGAGCTCAGCAGTCAAGGCTCGGTTATTGCGCTAAGCGAGTCCAGACTCACTGAACGGGGACTTCCGGTCTCAACCTCGGAGCAGGCATAGACTAACAGGACTACCGGGGAGAGGACCTTTGCGAGCAGTGGCCCGGATGGAGATCGCCCACCCTCTCTTGCAGAAGGTGGAAGGAAAATCGTCCCTAAATAACAGATAAAATTAACGGACTTGGGGCCGAGGACTTAGCTCAGTGGTTTCGATGCCTGCTGCGCAAGTGCAAGGACCTGAGTTTGAATCCTGGTAACCCCCCCAAAAACCATTAACGGACTTTCCAGCCACCCACCCCCACCAAAGGAAAAAACAACAGAATTATTTACACCTAACTGAATTACTTCGCCCATGGCAGCGCATTCACAGAAATGCTCCCGAAATATGCTTTAAAATGTCCTTTAGAGAAAGACAGAGTAAAACCCTGGGACACACGGAATTATTTCACTTTTTGGCACTGAGACCACTGCGAATGACTGACGTCAATTCGTACTGTGAACTCCGGAATTCAGGGCCAAGCTGCCCTCAATTATCAGACTTTTTCAGAGGTGAAATAAACGCTGACCATGGATTTGACAATGACTTTCAATGAGAAAGGATCGAGATTTCAGAGACGTGAAGACAGGGAAAGAAAATACAGTGCGGCAGATGCCACCCTGCCTTCCTCTGCCCGGGATGACAGGGAATTTTCCTGCTGCATTTTTGGGTTCGATGTTCCACATCTACCTGCCTTCAAAGTAGGGAGAAACAAACACATGCCTGCGAGACAGCGGGGCTCTGGGGAGCGGGGCAGACAGGCTGACTCTGGGGCATCTGTCGTGAACCTCAGCCCTGCCTCTGGGTGAAGGACTCATGTTTCCCGCAGAAAGGAATCTGTGAGACCCTGGATTGCCCCAGGTCCTGTAGCCCTGGGGTATCTGTTTTACTGTTTACCCAAAATAAGGTGATAGGAACATTTGAGTCTGTGAATGGAGACCCTCGTGTGTGTGTGTGTGTGTGTGTGTGTGTGTGTGTGAGTGTGTGGTACTGGGGATTGACCCTGGGCCTTTGCACTGAGCTATGTCCCCAGCCCTTTCCACATTTTATTTTCATTTTTATTTTGAGGCAAGTTCTAAGTCCATACGTTGCACAGTCTGAATTCAAACCTATGATCCTCCTGCCTCAGCCTCCCAGAGTGCTGGGATAATGATGTGCACCACCACGCCTGGCTGAAGCCTCCTACTGACTCTGGGGAAAAGTGTGCACCCAGCCACTATGACAACTGTTTCCAGATTTCCTGTGTGGGATGTGGCCGAGAGCCCCTCTGGGCCCCTCATGCCTGGCTGAAATGCACCCCAGCGGGGGGCGAGAGGGTCTATGGGGTCCCCTGCTGACACTGTCTGTGCTAGAAACAAAGACGGGACAAGGCTCAGGCCAGGTCACCAGGGAGGCCGCCCGCCTGCACCTCTGCCTCCCTTTGGGTCGTCCTGGCCATGAACTCAGGGGGCGCAGTCTGCAGACCTAGAGGGGCGCCGCTCTCCTACCTCGCCAACGCCTTCCGGATGGCCCGATTGAGAGCGTGCTCGGCGGCCGTGGAGAAGGCCCCGTGGGTCAGCCACGTGAGCAGGAGCAGCGTCAGGCCGTGCATGGCGAGGCCCCTGTGGAGGGACGGTGGTGTCAGCATCATTGGGACGTGCGCTCCAGTGGCCAGCGGTGCCCAAGGGGAGCGCTTGTGACGGAACCAACTCCCACGCCCAAGAGGGAATCTTGGTACGAGTTACGAGGCATCTGAGGCGCAGTTTTCCTGGTTTGCTTTTGCTATCCTCTCTCCATGGAATGGTCTTTGCCGTGAAAGCAACTTGTGCATATTTGCCCGGGTCTCTTTCCGGGCTCTCTTCCTTCCCCCTGATCTTTGCATGTATGCTGTTCCCAGAATCTCCCACTCTTGGTTTCCACAGCTGTATGCTACATCTGAAGGTTGACACATTGGTTCTCCAATTTTGCTCTTTTTTGGAATTGTTTTGAGCCAGGCGGATAGCACACACCTGTAATCCCAGCACTTGGGAGGCTGAGGCAGGAGGATCACTTTGATTTCAAGGCCAGCCTGGGCTGCACAGTGAGTTCAAGGCCAGCCTGAACTACAGAGCAAGACCCTGTCCCAAACAACAACCACAAAACCCAGAATTGTTTTGGCTTTTCTAGGTCCTTTGTTTTCCATATATATTTTCAAATCGGTGTGTCAATATCTGTTTTTAAAAGCACACAGGACTTTGGCTATGACTGCACTGGATCTACACATACAACAGAAAGACTCGATACAATATTGAGTTACCCACTTGATGCACACAGTACTCTCTCCATTTATTTAGATTTTCTTCAGTTTCTTTCATTAGCATTTGTAGGCTTCCACATATAGATTCTGCATGTTTCTCTAGATTTGTATCTAAGTACTTCATGTCTTGGTGCTATAGTAAGTGGTATTTTTAAACTTCAATTATTTATTGCTGGTATAAGGAACAGAGTTTGTCTGACTTGTAACCTGCAAAAGTGCCAAAGTCGCTTAATAGCTATTGGAGCCTTTTTGTAGATAATTTGGAATTTTCTGTACAGACATTCGTTCACCCACCACCGGATACTTTGTGCTTCTTCCCTTCACGTTTGTAAACTCTTTATATTTCTTTTTCTTGCTGGTCGCACTGGGAAGGGCTTCCGTTATGATGTTCATGAGGGGTGGGGATATCAAAATGCCTCTGCATCCAAGTACGAGGCTTGGTCCAGGGTTTTTTGTTGTTGTTGCTTTGTTTCTTGGTACCAGGGATGGAACTCGGGAATGTGTGCTTGTGAGGCAGGCGGTGGCACCACTGAGGTAAATCCCCGGCCCTTGAGGTGTAGGGTATTTTGGGGGGGGGTTGGGGGTTTTTTGGTACCAAGGATCGAACTGGGATCCTTGCACTTGCGCAGCAGGCAGCAAAACCACTGAGCTAAATCCCCGGCCTGAGGTGTAGGGTTTTAACAGATGCCGTTTTTAGTGCAGGGAGTTGTCTGTTTCTGGTTTGCTGAGTTTTGAAGTTTCCTTTCTTCATGAATGAATGTTCAATTTTGTCGACTGTTTTTTGTGTGCCTGAGATAATCATCTGGATTTCCCTGTTAAGTCCACCAATGTGGTGAATTATAGTAACCACTTTCGACCCCGTCCCTCAGTCTATTGGTACCACCATTGCTCTGCAATTTGTTTGTGAGCAAACTGGTGTGTTGTACTATGGATTTCTGTCTTGCTTCCTCCTGGTGCCATTTAATATGTTTTCATTGGACACGGAAAGTTGCCCCAAAATAACGAAAACCATCATCAGGTGGCCACCGACTGTCAGGGACAGGCAGGCTACCTCCCCACGCTTCTCCTAAAGACAATCCCTAAGTGTATCTTGCTGGATTTACTATATTCTGTTATTTGCCTTGTTGAATATTGAGTTTCCTAATAAATCTTTTCCTCTGACTTCCATTTCTATGCGCAGAGGACATTGGCTTTTGCATTCTGATTCTATAGCCTGCTGTTCTACTAGGTTGTTATATTGTCTGTGGCAGTTTCTCAAACTGTGCGATTTCCTGGACTGTCAGCCGAGTCACCCCCACACAGCGCTGGTTCAGCCCCTCTGACCCTGCTTTTCTGTGATCCCAGCCTAAGGCCATGTCCTGGGGATTCAGGGTTCCCAGCTGTGGCCTGGGGGACTCTGTGCTTCCTGTTCAAAGGGTGCCAGGCGCCTAGGGCTCCTCTGCCGAGTTTGTCCCCACCTGCGTGCTCTGGGGGAGTGGGGACAACGCGCCACCTGGCTCCCAGACACTGTTTCCTGTGGTTTCCAACTTGCTGTCAGGCGATCTGGCAACATTAGTGATTGTGCCTCTGCCCCATCCTGTTCCTCTCGCACTGGATGACATCGGACACAACCTCAGCTCTGCCCCTTGGGCCAGGCTTTGCTCCAGGTCAAGCTGCGTGGCTGAAGGAGAGCTGCTGTGCTGCGTGCTTCAGGGAGGGGTTAAGGAAGAGGCCGGGGGCTTCTCCTCCAGTTCCTGCAGCGCCAGCTCAGCTCGGGAGGAGCAGCAGCAGTTCCCAAGGCCTGGACACGCTGCATCACAAACCTGCAGCCCTGAATCAGGATCGGGGAAGCGCCGCAGCGCATGCTCATAAAGCCCCCTCAGCGGATGCTGCCCGGGTGGCCGGGACCGGGCGGAAACACATCCATGTCCACGTGCGCGGGTGTGCTGCAGGCTTCGTGATTCTCAGGTTTTGTGTTTCAGTTTGCAGTAATTCCTGCCTGGATAAACCTAAAAACGACTCAGCAGACTGCGCTGAGCATGACTCTGAGTGTGCACCTTGTAACACTGAATTATTTCAGGATCCTTGCCGCGGGCCAAGTCAGTGCTGCCGGCAGTGGCGCAGTGTCCCCCACTGACGAGGGCAGCTGTTCGCGGAGGGAGGACTCAGGCTGAGGGTAAGCTGCCGGTCAGATCCGCACACCAGCAAGTTGCAGAACCAAGTTTTCTTTTTCTTTTTGGTACTAGCGATCGAAAACCCAGACCTTTGCACTGAGCTGCATCCTCAGGCCCTTTTTACTTTATTTTGAGACAGGGTTTTGCGAAATCACTAAGTTGCCGGGCTGGGCTCAGACTTGCGATCCTCCTGCCTCAGCCTCCCAGGGTGCTGGGATTACGGCCGTGCACCGTCCCACAGGCCGGGCGCAGGGACGATGCATGAGAAGACCCCCCTGGGCCCCCACTCCCCAGCAGCGACAGAAGGCCGGCTCCCCGGAGCGATCGCCGGACCCGGGCGCCCGCAAGCGCCGCACCCACCTCAGGGCCGCCTGCGCGCGGCGTGCTCTCTTCGTCCTCTCCCGGGTGACCCTGAGCTGGGCCCTGGACGGCGGCCGCGCCCGGCGCAGGTGGCGCTCTCGCTGCCGGGCAGCCAGGACCTGTGGGGAGAGGAGAGCGCCGTGAACCCGGCGGTACCGGGGGACAGAGCGGAAGAGCACGCCTGAGCGCCGTCTGCGCATGCGCGGACTAGGACGTCAGGGCTGGGCCCCCATGGGAGGCAGGCGCGTCTGCTGCTGTTGAAGGAGACATTTGCATGGGTTTTCTCTCGGAGACCTTCAAAGTCCGGAAAGGCACTTTAAAGTACAGTACAGTTTTGGGCGGGGGATATAGCTCAGTGGTTCTGCCGCCTGCCTCGCAAGCGCAAGGTCCGAGTTCAATCCCCAGCACCAAAAAAAAAGTACAGTACAGTCTTCACAGGAAATGACCTTCGTTTCTGTTTAAGGATTATTGTGCACATGTCTATAATCTGGGAGGCTGAGGCAGGAGCATCACAAGTTGAAGGCCATCCTGGGGCAACTTAGTAACTCAGCAAAACTTTGTGTCAGAATAAAATTTTAAAAAGCCTGAGGATGTAGCTCAGTGCAAAGGCCCTGGGTTCAGTCCTAGTATCAAACAAACAAACCAAAAGCACTGTTGCTTTCCTACAGCATTAGTCTATGTTCGGGCAGAACCGTAATCAGACAGACGAGCCCATCAAAACTATCCATTCATGTGTTTCCCACTTATTTGTTTGCCCATTCAACATACACTCCGGGAGTAGGCCTGGGGTAGGGCCTGGGAACCTGAGAGGTCAGAGGTCAGAGGTCAGGGAGGAAAGACAGGGTGCGAAGAAGCAGTGAATCCTGCGAGTCCACCACAGAACAAACAGCCTGAAAGTCTCCAAATCACAGCCAGGAGTTGTTTCTCATTTGCTTCCGTGTTTTATAACGTGCTTTTCTTTTTTTTTAAATTTTTTTGGAGGCTCCGATTTCCCTCAGGTTGGGGTGGGGTGAGGAAGTCTGTCTCATGCACTTCGCTCCCACCCTGCGTGTGCAAGGCAGCGGAGGGAGGTGTGCGACCGCTGTGGGGCTCAGGGTTGGGGCTCAGGGCCGCTGCAGGCCCAGGTGGGACGACAGGACACAGGGCCTGGCCCTCACCGCCGCCCACTCACCTCTGCGAGCCCCGCGGTGGGGCCGGGAGATGCGCGCGTGTGGGGTCCCGGACGCTCTTCCAGCCCGGAGCCCAGATGCTCGGTCGCTTCGCGTAAGGACTCAGCAAAACACTGGCTGTCGGCCCTCCTCTTCCAAGCAAAACCCAGCGCGGCGCAGCAGATCTGGGGAGAGGAGACCGGCATGTGCTCCTCTGGCCGCCTGCCTGGCCCATTGCCTCAGTCTCCCCCTCAGCCCTGTACGACACCAGGAGTTGCTTCCCCCATGTTCGACCCTCAACTGGAAACCAGGTGTGAGGGCCTGACTCCTCATACACCCTCAGCCGGGGCTGGCAACCGAACCCGGAGCCTTTGCCCTGAGCTCCATCCCCAGCCCTTCTTGCATTTTTAATTCTGAGACGGTCTTGCGATGTCCCTCAGTTCCCCAGGCTGGGCTTGATTTTGAGATCCTCCCGCCTCAGCCTCTCAGAATGCTGGGGTCACAGGTGTGCACTGCCCCACCCAGCTTTGAGGCTTTTTCGTGAGGATTTAACCCCAAGCACACAGGAAAACTAGCACAGGGCCTGGCTCCCGATTTTTCTCACCACATTTTAAACCGAACTATGAAGAGAAGCAAGGCGACACTGACGCAGTGGTGGCCCCTCCCGGCGCCCCCTGCCCCACCCGAGGCCATTTCTCACCAGGAGCGGCTGAGTGATGAATGCACAGCAAACCACAGACAGCGACAGCAGGAGCAGCCACTGGGCACACTGGGCCGGGAGGAACCTGGGGGGACACCCGGCACCTGGAGAGGCTGTGTGCAGCCCTGCCCCTCAGTGTGGGCTGGGGTCCCCATCATCTCGGGGAGGCCCTGGTGGGAAGCGGGCTGGGCACCCGGGCAGAGTCCCCTGGGAAGGAACCAGCAACCAGAGCAGAGCCTGGGCGGGGGAGTGTGGTGGTAGCCATGGTAACCATGGGTGCAGGACCAAAGCCGAGTTCTGGGAACTGTGGGGAGTTTGGGCCGCAGGAGCAGCAGGACAGGGCACAATTCCAGTTTCCTCTGCTCCCCAGCCCTCAAGGACCCGCGCTCTGGGCAGCCCTGTGCATGGATGGACCACTGAGGCACGAGAAGGCCAGGTACCCACGGCTGGGTGGAGGGAGATGGTGGCAGAGTCTCTCAGGGCTTAGGGACATCTAGGTACCTGGCAACCCCTGAGTGACCCTGGGTCCCCGATGGTGGCCTGAGCCTCAGGGAGGCCGACCTAGAGGAAGATGCACGGGGGGTGATGGGAATGCTGGCCCAGGTGCCAGAGTCTGCATTGCAGGGCTGCCCGCTCAGCCCTTCGCCTCCTGGGGCACTTGGCTGGTACCCAGGACTCCGTCCAGGCCGGGCTGCGGGCACTGCCGAGCTTTGGACGCTTTGAGGTCAGCCCAGGGTTCCATCGCTCCAGGGGACGAAGGAGAAAACAGTGATGGTGACATCAGGTGGTGACAGGATCTGCTCACAGCGCCCAGTGTCCACCCCGGCTGTGATCGGGAGACAGCAGCCACTCACCGGTAGCCCAGGAAGCCTGTGCCCAGCCCACAGGCCAGGGTCACCATGCCACAGATGGTCCAGGCTGCTGTGTTGGGTGGCAGCTGGCAGGCGCTGGGGCCCTGGGGCTCAAGTCCTTCATGGCCATCGCTGGGAGCTGCGGCAGAGCAGAGTGCAGACGGTGGGTTAGGGACCTCCTCCCTGGTGGGGTGTAGGCTTCATCTCCCGACCGGGCTCCAAATACCCAGGGAGTCTCTCGCTCCGCATCGCCCCAGCCATGTGAATGACATCAGTGTGCGCATCAGCAGGTGAGCTACAGCGCCAGCCCCATGCAGGTCAGGTGCAGCATGCATGGGACAGGGTTTCAGAGGGAGCTCTTTCTGCTAGGGTCCAAGGGCCCAGCTTCCCTCAGGGCCCAGCTGGCCCCAGGGCGATGGCTCCGTGGGGTCTGCTACGACTGTACCGAGCCCTCGAATCTGGCAGCAATGAGGCTGTGCCACCCCAGTCTCTTTCCTGTCTGCCACATCCCTGCCCCAGAGCCAGCTGTACCGGAGCCAGTGGCCACCCCTGGGCCCACAGGATGCTGTCCCCGGGGCGCTTGCTGAGCAGGCACCGGGCTTGTGGAGCTGTGGCCAGGGCTGAGCACCTCCTGGGGTCTCGGCCACAGGTGCGAGCCCTTCCCTCGACCTCTGCCCCAGCCCAGCTCCCATGTGGGCCAGCGAGGGACAGTGGTGGGCCCAGGGATGCTGGCCTGAGCTCTCCACAGGGCAGTGAGCTGAGCTCCAGGCCTGCCCTTGACTGGGAGCCCTGGTGGCCCTAGGACCCTGCAGCCGTGTGGACCCCACCCACCAGGCTCCATGCACTCCCACGGGACATGGCTGACCATCCCCACCCCTCCCCTGCCCCGTGCCAGCCCCCAGAGTTCACAGATACACAGCAGCGTCACCTTGGGCACAAGGAGGCTGGCGGCTCCTCCTCCCCACCCTGCGGGCCTCCAGCTCCCAGGATGGGCAGGCTGTGTCCCTCCTAGAGGCCATGGCTGCTGCAGGCTGCTGGAATGACAAGGTCAGGCCAAGGTCAGCGCCCGGTGCCCCTGGCAGCCTCCTGGGGGACAGGAGCCATGGGCCTGGGGGAACTGGGAGGGAGTGGGCACGAGTCAGGACCTGGGAGCCGACCCTGTGGGCTGAGGGCACCAGGAAAGGAGGCCCAGAGCGGTGCTCAGCAGGGGCAATGGCTCCCTGTCCCCCAGGACAGGAGGCTCGGGGAGCCAGGGTGGGGACTGAGCTAGTAGCAGCAGTGGCACAGAGGCCCCCGGCTGGGAGGCCAGGGCCAGCACAGGGTGGGCTGGGGGGCATGGGGCACTCCGAGGAGGGCACTGCGGAGAGACCAGGAGCCCGGGGTCCTGCGTGCCTGAGACCCCCTCAGGGAAGGGCCCAGTACACAGATCCCAAAGCAAACTCCCTGGTCTGAGCCTGGAGCTGCCGGGCCTCACAGAGACGCTAGGGTTGGGGGATCACCTTGCTGTGTCCCATGCCTGTCCTGCAGGCCCTGCCACCACGGCGCGGACACACGGCCAGCTGCACCCCCTCCTCCCCCCTCTCCTGCTTCGGCCTCAGCAAGTCCTCCCTGGGACACCCTCCTGGGCCCTTGTGTCCTCGGGAATGGCCCTTCCACTTTGGGGAGCAGCCAGGATGGCACCGTGGGCCTGGGCTAGACCCTTCCCTCACCAGACACCCCCCCCCCCGCCCCCGGTGTTGGGCCCCAGCTACCCAACAGGATCGGAGAGCCGACCAGCAGCATTTGGTGCTAGAGATCAGCCATTACCTTGCAGGGCTCCTGTGCACCTGGGGTCCTTCCGGGGGAATTAGGGCCTGATTACAAAAAAGAAGAAAGGGAAAAAGAAAAAGAAAGCCAGTGTGATGCACAGCTACAATTCCTGCACTCCAGGGGAGGCTGAGGCAGGAGGATCATCTCAAGCTTGAGCCCAGCCTGGGCTACTGAGTGAGTTCAAGGCCAGCCTGAACTACACAGGGAGGAAAGGACGCGAGTGTGTTACATGCAGGGGCCCAGCTTCCCGAGAACGTGACCCCTGAGGGCTTCGAACCTGCACCCAGGAAAATAAAATGAAAGAGGAAGGCACACCTTCACCCTGAGGCACCTCCAGCTGTGTCCTGGTCCTGGCACCCTGCGGCTCAGCCCGGGGCAGCCCCTTGGCTTCCTGTGAAGGCCGAAGGTTAGAGACGCCACCCCTCAAAGGAGGATGCTGGGCACGGCTGGGGCCTCGCCGGTACCTGGCTGCATCTGAAGAGCAGTGGCAGGAGCTGGGCCACTGGGGAGGCCGCCAGCGCACACAGGAGCCCCAGGCCCAGGTCTCCGAGGACGACGTCTGGCAGAAGCTGAGACCGAGCAGCGGGACAGCGGTGTTACCGAGAGGATCCCGGTGCCTCCCCAGATGCACCTCCCGCATAGCCCAAGCCCTGCCCCTCCCAGGTTCAGGACCCAGAGGAAAATCGCTCTTTTTCTCCTGGGTTCTCGTGGCCCGAACGCATGTGTGTCCGGCACCTGCTGTCCAGAGAGGAAGTCGCCAGTGTCCTCTCTGCCACCTGGGACAGCGGGGGACAGGCCCTGGTCACAGGGCAGCGCACCCTAGCTGTCCTAACCACAGGCTCTGAGACTTCCCCGGAATTTCCTTATCATCTTTTTATAAATTCTACCAGTGGTATTCTTTTATTAAAAAACAAAAACTCTGAGTGAGGTGCGGTGATGAACACCTATTATCCCAGCACCCTGGGAGGCTGAGGCAGGAGGACTGCAAGTTCAAGTCCATCCTATGACTGTGAAAAAACAAGTGTGCAAATCTACAATGGTTCCCACCCCCCACCCCCGACACACACCCAGCTTCCTGTGGGGAGCCATCGGCCCTGCCGCCCTGTGTTTGGGTGGGACAGGGCTGTCACCGCATTCTGCAGCCGCACAGGGACCCACGTGCCAGTGGGAACCACCAAGGAGAAACAAGCCTGCTCCCTCCACCCTGAAGGTCACCCGAGTGTGACTTCCAGTGCTTGGCTGGACCCTGGGTCGAGGCCGGCTGCGGCTCTGGGGCCGTGCAGGGGCCTCGGGGGCCTCACCTGGTCTCGTCCCCCCGCAGTGGCCAGGGCAGTGAGGCAGGCGTGGGTGCACAGCAGGCAGAGGCTCACAGCCAGGCGCTGCGTGCGCGAGGGGCCGTGGGAGCGGGGCGGGCCGCACAGCGACAGCCAGACGTGGCAGCCCTCCAGGGCCTCGGTGAGTTTGGCGCAGAAGAGCTGGGACGAAACAGGCGGGGCGGGCACTCAGGTCGGGCACTCAGGCGGCGGCTGGAGCTCGCAGACAGACGGGTGGATGGAGGACGGGTGGACAGGTGGATGCCCGCGAGTCCTGGCTGGCTGGCCCCTGCCCTCCTGCCTTCTGGCCTCCTGTTGCTGTCCATTCTGCTCCCTGCCTCCCAGCTCCGACCCCACGCCTCACACGGGATCGAACCCAGAGCTCTCAAGCGGAGCTGCATCTCAGCCCTTTCCACTTCTCACTTCGAGACACAGCCTCGCTGAGCAGAAAGTCACTAAGTCGCCCGGCTGGGCACAGTCTCCTGCCTCAGCCTCCCAGGGTGCTGGGGTCATGGATGTGCCACCTCTGCCCTGTCCCAGAGACTTCCTCCTTAGCGCCTCTCTGTCCCTCCTCTCCTTGGTGCTCCTGGAAGGCTCCTCACCTGCTCTGTCCTCAACACCCACACCAGCGGCACAGCGCACTGTGCCCCGACTCTGTGTGTACCACGAGCTGGGGCCACCCTGCCACCTCCTGCGGGCAAAATAAGGAACAAGAGCCAGCCCAGTATGGTGGTGCACGCCTGTAGTCCCAGCACTCGGGAGGCTGAGGCAGGAGGATCGCTATGAGTTTGAGGCCAGCCTGAACTACATAGTGAGAGCCTGTCTCAACAAACAAAACAAACAAACAAAAACCAAAGCACAGCAAGAGCCAGCAAATCAGTTTGAACAGAATGAGAGTGCGTCTTTTGTGTGCAGACTGACTGATGAGGGACAACGGGGACGCAGTGCATGGGACTCAGTCACAGGCCTCACAGGGGACCAAACAGCTGAGCGTAGGTTTCTCACCAGACAGCTGGGAAGGAAGCAGAGCAGACTCCTTCCTATGACCTGTGATGGTCACTCCTACATGGAAAGGATTGAACAGGGAGGGACATCCCAGGGGAACTGGGCCTGCCGTGTTAGGTACTAAAGAATTTCTAAAAGTGGGTGACCAAAATGTACAGTGTGTTTAAATTATTAAAACATATATCACAAGGCCAGGGATGTAGTTCAGTGGTACCTCACCTGCCTGGCAAGTGCAAGGTCCTGAGTTCAATTCCCAGTACCAAAAATAAGCTTTTAAATATATTACAGTAAAAGACACATTTCCATGAATCCCCTCATAATCCTCTCCCTTGCTTCAGACACCCTTATCCCGTCCTTCTGGCCACTTGCTGCAGCAGCTCCGGAGTCCTCTTTCCCGAGTCTTTCTGAGGTAGAGACTGCTGCTACTGAGCAACACCCAATGGAAAGGCAGCTCGTAAAAACACGACGTTGTGTCCTCCTCCACCTTACCCACCGGATCTGGCACCGTGCGACTTCCAGCTCTTCCCTAAAGTCGAAATGACCACGAAAGGGAGACCTTTTGAATGGATTCAGGATATCAAGGCAGCCAGGACCATACAGCTAAAGACCCTCAGGAAAGAGGGCTCTGGAGCTGCTGCAGGAAGTGGCGAGGATGAGGGGATAAGTGTGCTCAAAGCAAGGGGTTAGTCTGAGGGGGATTCATGGTAATGAGTCTTGTACTGTAATACATGTAAACATTTTAAGCTTCCATTGTATTTCCTGATCACGCCTCGTATGTGCCATGGCCGGTTGGAAGCTCTTGCTTCAGACATCAGGACCATCTTTCCCGCTGAGTTTGCAGTGTCACCTGCACACACCCTACTTGGGACCCTGGCCCTGTCGTCAGCTGGCAATGGGTGGTGGCATAGCACTGGCGCCTGGGAACCAGAAGCACTCAAGGGCTTTTCTCCTGGAACCCGCAGGGGCACAGGCATCTCCTACAACCCTTCCACTACAGAGACAAGGGCCAGAGAGCAATGTGCAGTGGTGGAAGCCAAAGGGAGGATCCTGTGCCATGGCCCTTACAGGATTTTAAAGACCACCCACGAAGAGACTCACTCTAAAACGTTGGACTGGGAAGTGTGATGTGTTCGGTATTGTCATCCAGCAACATAAACTATGTTCACAGACAGGGAGAGATCGGAAGGGAACACGCGAAAGTCACCACTTCCTGGGCGGCCGACAAGGCAGCGGGTGATTTTATCACTTCCTGGTGCTGAGCTCCTGCCATCCAGGCCTTGACCACGTCCATATTCTGTCATACTTATCTATGTCGCTTAGGATCTGCACAGGGCACTGAAAGTCTTTAAATAGGGGCTTCTGAGGCCCTGAGGATCATTTATTCCAGAAGTGTCCCTACTGCTACCACCGGAAGAGGAAATGCACCACTGCAGAAAGACTGGCAGAGGTAATTGCTTTGAACAGCTCGGTCACTTAATGCATGCGGCACTGCAGACATGGATGTCTTCACAGTTAATTAAGAAAAGAGGGTGGTACAATAGTACACACCTGAAATCCCAGCACCCTGGGAGGCTGAGGCAGGAAGATCTCAAATTGGAGCCGAGTGTAGGCAACTCAGTGACTTTGAGAGACTGTCTCAAAAGAATAAAAGGGCTGGGGATGTAGCTAAGTGCAAAAGCCCTGGGTTCAGTTCTGGGAAAATACATAAAATCAAAGAGCAAGTGGCCTTAACTTTAGAAAAGTCTGAAGACTCAGCTGCGGTGTGAGACGCAGAGCGGGCTGGAGCAGCTGCAGCAGCCATGTGGGCACCAGGCACCTACCTTCCAGAAGCCGAGGCCTTGACGCAGGCAGGGCAGCTCCCGTTCCACGCGGCCATCCCCCTGGCCGGCCGCCAGCCAGCAGCGTGCGGGGAAGAACCAGGCCCGGCCGGACTGCAGCTCCTTCACCATCACGCAGCTCAGCAGCCACCTGGGGGCCGGCCCGCTGCTGTCGTGCCACACGCGGACCTTCCAGAGCGGGCCCAGCTGGGCGGGGGCGCTGGGGACCCAGAGAGCACCCCATCAGCCAGGTGGAGCACCGCGGGCATGAGGGACCTGGCCTCACACAGAGCACCCAGCTGCAGCACGCAAAGCCACCCCACGTCCCCAAGTGTGAGTGGAAACTTCTGGAAGTGGCAGCGGATGCCTCGCTGGGACTGTTGTGCAGTGCTGGAAGTTGTTCTGACCTCTCAGGGGGCTAAGCAAAGAGGAGGCTGTGCGATCAGTGCCACTGCTGCCTGACACCCACAGGTCCCGGACACAGCCCCGGGGCTCAGGGTCAGCTGCCACGTCCGTACACCAGTCCCTTGGGCCTCACTGATGCACCCATGTCCAGTGAGCAGTTTGAAGCTCACCTGTTCCTCTCATGGAGACAGCTCCACACTCACAAGTGTCATAAAGGAGAATTTCCAGGAGGAAGCGACTTAGGCAGGTGGCTCCTTATTTCCCAGAACTGCCAGGTGCTAGCTCCGTAACGACTGTTCCCTCTCCCTCCCTCCCTCCACCACGTCCTGCTCCTCTGGATCCAGATCCAGGGTGATCCTAATGATTTAAGCAGCTTCACTTCGACTAGCGTGCAAAAGTAGCAACCTCTCCTCTCTTCCTTCCTCCCTCCCTTCCTCCCTCATGTGTGCTGCTTAACTAACCCCAAATAATAAACTGCAAAAATCTGTCATTAGATTGTCTATAACTTGATGGTCTCACTGCAGACTAATCCTCTCGGTTGCTGCTTTAGGGTCAGTGCTGAGTCACCCCAGTTCTACTGGCCTCTCTTTCCCGAGTCCGCAGTTGGAATATTCCAGAATACCTCAGGATAAAGGTGTGTCTGGAATTCCTCTCAAACAGGGTTCTCTCTGGACAGCAGAGTTCTCTGGTTTCTGAAAGTCCACTTTCGCCGAATAAAACAATGAAAACCTTAAAACACAGACAGAGGGGTGAGAGGTCAGGGGTGAGGTCAGGGGTCAGAGGTTGGGTCACCTCACGCAGGACACCTTGTACTCCAGGCTGGGCTTCCCACACTCCCACTTCCCCTCTGTGCACAACCCCTATGGGCCACCACCTGTGGAACTGAGGGGACCCTCAGGGGGCCGGAAGTGGGGCCTGGTGGGGCCAGCCGGTTCTTCACACATTTGACTAGAAATCAAGGTGCCCCTGGGTTCCTGGGCATCTGCTGCCTCAGGAGAGTGGGACACAGGGTGGGGCAGCTGCCTCCAGCTGTGGCTGTGGAGGCTGCCGGGCCTGGGGCACCCGAGGGCAGTCGGGCTGAGCTTGTCACCCTCGCTGGTGCCTTGTCACCCAAACATCACAATTCCGATGGCATCTACAGCTTTCCCTGAGGAAAGATACTTACTCCTTGTTTTTGAGATCCTTTCCCATCCAAGATGTTACCCACCTTTACTCCGAGTGACTGACATTTTGTTTTCTCCCCTTTCTGTCTTCAGTGACTGGAGCTTGATCTTTCTGTCCAACAGGAAGCAAGGACTGAACAGAACACTTCTCCACAGGACACTGTCCCACAGCGTTTGATTGAACGCTCTGCTCTTCCTCTCTGGTGTGTAAGGCCAGGCACACATCTGGGTGGGTTCCGGGCTCTCTAACCTGTCCCCAAATCTGTTGCCCTGGCTCTGGACAGAGCTACACTACCTCAGCCGTGATGGCTTCACCACACACCTGGATCAGAGGCGGATCCTGGCCTCTCCACATGTGGGCTTTCATCTGTAAAATGGGTGTATTAATAAAACCTAGTTCACATTATCATCCTAAATGTTATAGATTAATCTGAGAAAGGGAAGAGGAAAGCTTTTGGTCCCAGCCATGCAGAAATATAGATAGGAATATATAAACACATTTGAGCAACATTTTCCCATGGGGGTCTTTTAAGAATTTGGGGGCTGCCAGGGATTGAACTCAAGACCTGCACACTGAGCTACATCTCCAGCCCTTAAAATGTTGTTTTTTAAATTTTGAGACAGGGTCTTGCTAAGTTGCCCAGGCTGGGCTGGAACATTTGGTCCTCCTGCCTCAGCCTCCCAGAGTGCTGGGATGACAGGCGCACACTCCCATGCCCGGCTCCACGGAGGTGCTGTGCGCACTTGCTGGGCTCTCCTGCGCCCTGGATGAGAATCTGGCTTCGAGTTCCATGTTAGGAGGCAGTGTTGGCGAGCTGCCGTGACCCTGAGTCTGGCAAGTCGGTAGATGCTCTTCTGGTTTTAATGACACCGCATAGGTCCTTCTCTTGTGCTCTGCTCTGCATGTCCTGGGCCAGACCGTGTCTGCTTTTGCTTTGCTTCCTGTTTTCTCATCATGGAGGAGCTGCCTAGGGCAGTGCCCCTCAGGGCCGGGGACACTGCCAACAGATGCCCTGGGAACCAGCTGTGCTTCCCCGTGAAGGCAGGGTGCGGTGGCTGTGGGTGAGCTCACAGTAAGTCGGGACCACAGAGCTGTGACCCTCCGCATGTGCCCAGCTGTCCCCAGGACCCTGCTGCCTCCTCCTCCCGCTCCACACCCCCCAAGCCACCGGGCTGCCAGGAAGCAGAGCTCCCTCTGGTCTGGAAGAGGCCTCGGTCTTGGCCCTCCCACCTCCCACCCAGCCCACCCGGCTGCTCTCCACAGGGACAGCAGGACACAGGGAAGGGGCAGAGCTGGCGACAGGTGTGAGTCCTGCCTCCGCCCTCCCAGGTACAGGCCGGGAAGACAGTGGCCCTGCTGGTGACAGGCGCCATGCGCCAGACAGGGCAGCTGCACCATCACACGGCTGCTTCTGGTGCCCCTTGACCACCCATGTCCCCAGGAACTGCGGTTACCCTGGAGGTGAACCGTGCCGGCGACCAGAATCCAGTGTCCACCACGACTGCATAGAGCTGGTGCCCAGGGGGTGCGGCCTCCTGCAGGAAGATGTAGCCAGGCCCCTTCTCCTTGCGACGGTCCACAAGGTTGCTTTTCATAACCAGAAGTCCGTAGAGAACTGTGATGACCCCCATGCACACACTGGGGAGCAGGTTTTGTGGGGGACTATGAAGAAGGAAGAGAAAGAGATTGCTCGTGCAATGGACACTGGGGAAAAGACTGGCTGTCCCCAACTGCGGGCACAGATGCGACCCCCCCATCCTCCCCCAGGGGTATTCTTTATTTCCTTCCTTCCTTCCTTCCCTTCTCTCTCTCTCTCTCTCTCTCTCTCTCTCTCTCTCTCTCTTTCTCTCTCTCTCTCTCTCTCTTCTTTATGGTGGTACTGGACATTGAACCCAGGGCCTTCACACTGTGCTACAACCCCAGTGCTTTTTTGATTTTCTATTTTGAATCAGGATCACCCTGAGCCCCCACATTGCCTAGGTCAGACTCCAACTTGCAGTCGTCCTGCCTCAGCCTCCCAGAATGTGCCACGATGCCCAGTTGGTGGGGGCTTCTAGAGACACAGGGGAACCCACAGTCAGTGGCAGCACCCCATGGCCTGGGCCCCAGAATTGAGGGCCCTGTTGTGCAGCAGCCTCTATAGCCGGAGCCACTCTGCCCCCTGGGGCCTGAGGACAGCGCAGTGGGAGCTGGGGGTGAGCTCGGGTCTTGCTCCTCTGGTGAAGAACGCGACACGTGCAGGACACATCAGCCAGGAGCCAGACTGCAAGCCGACGGCAGGGTCCAGGGGCCTCCTCGCATCCCACCTGCCCCGGGCGTGGCTCTGTAGCCCACCTGCTCCCAGGCACCCATCCTGGCCAGGGGAGACCAGGGCACTGTGCGGACCCCAGAACGGAGCCCGCATCACCATGCATGCTGGGACTGTAACCAGTGAGGGGTCCTGTGGGACTGGAGCCTTGCAGCTCTCTGCAGAGGTTTCCTAGCAGAGCCCCGGCCCATGCTGCATGGATGCTGCCCTCCGTGGCCCCTCTCTCCTCTGACCCCACTGGGCTGGCTCTGCCCTCGCTGTCATTTGCCCCTCCCCGTCCGCCTTTGGTTAGGACCAGGACAAGTGAGCTGGGATGGCCCTGCCTCTCACCCCGGGCTCAGCTGCCCCTTCCGCTGGGGCCTCCTGGATCCTGGCCAGATGTCCCTGCTACTCCCTCTGCCTCACTTCCACTGGGTGGGCCGGGGCTGTGCCTGCCCCGCTATTTACCCGCTCAGAGCCGGCAGTGCCAGGCTGCAGCCCGGAGCCCCCATCCCAGGGCGGCTGGGCCCTCCCTGGGGCCACACGTACTGTGCTCTTCCTCAGCTCCTTACCCTCTAAGCACCTGGTACTTACAGCCTGGGCAGCACCAGGGCTGGGTCAGTGCCCAGGAGGAAGCATAAGGCAGAAAACCCCAAACGCTCGACACCCCAGGAAAGACAGACCCCACCTCGTTATTCACTCAGCAAATGTCTCCCAGCCCTGCCAGGGCCAGGTGGGGTGTCAGGCCGGGGGACAGGACGGAAGGGCCGGGAAGGACCCGCTACAGGAGCTGGCCCTCGACCACCCAGATTTCAGACTCTAGTGCAGTCCTCTCATATAGCACAGTGGCTATAAACATAGGGTGGGTTTAAAGTTTATTATTTAAAATGGGAAACTTCTGGAGTCAGGGATTTAGCTCAGTGGTTCTGCCGCCTGCCCCGCAAGTGCAAGGACCCGAGTTCGATCCCTGATACCAAAATAAATAAATAAATAAATAAAATAAAATAAAATAAAATAAAATGGGAAACTTCTGAAGGACAAAGAGGGAGGCATTGAACAGTAGCTCATGACACCAACTACAAACCACGACAGGCAAACTGGGCGGCCTCACTGTACAAACCCAATCAGTAACAATCGACCAAGTTCACACTGGACTAAAGCTAAGTTTAAAAGTAAGAAAAGTATGTGGATTTCCTTATGTTTATAAATCTCATGTTGACGAATGGAAGCATAGACTGACAGCTGAATACAGTTCTTATGACAATGATCTCCTTATATTCATATTCAATGGCTAAAGAAAATGTGGTGTTTAAACACCATGGAGCACTACTCAGCTATAAAGAAGGGCACACTTGAGTCATTCGTAGGAAAATGGATGTACCTTGAGGGCATAATGTTAAGTGAAATAAATCAGATTAAATATCACATGGTTTTTCTTACATGAGAAACCCAATGTATAAGTAAGTAAAAGAGCAAAACAAAAGACAGATAACAGGAAACAGGGAGACAGATCTGCCAATAGGAAGGGGCCAAGACATGGCGGGAGGGGGAGGGAGAGGAGGGAAATGGACGTAACAAGGGTGAAGATGTGTTGTGAACATGTGCCGGCTCCCCATGAGGAATATAGTCATTATGTAAGGCACACGTGCACTGATGAACACACAGATTAAACAATCAAAACAGGTCCCAGACTCAAGCATCTCCCGAATCATGGGCTTCATCGTAAGTGGGCAGCTGTACAATGCAGGGACCCTGGGGTAGAAGCCAGAACTTACCTCTGTACCTCAGAAATGTCGCTGGCCTCGAAACTGGCGTTCAGCCTTCTTCTCAGGGTGGAGAAGGGCGCGAGGCGGTCATAGCTGGGAGGGAGATGGGATGGGGCTGTCAGGGTCAGGGTGGCTTTCACATCCGGCCACTCCGAGCGCCGAGAGGGAAGCAGACGCCCACCCACAGGACCCGGACGCAGCCCAGCTCACAGGATTCACCTGAGATGCAAGTGAGCGGGGTGCAGCTCTGTCCTGAGGCCTGGATGTCAGAGTGCATCCCGGCCCTCCACATGGGGACGGCGCCCGCCAGACAACCAGCCCAGCCCCGCTGGGGTGCATGCTGTGCGCCCAGGCTGACGTCCTGTGCCTGGTGACAAGGTCCTAGCCCTGGTGACCACGACCACCTGACACTTTATTAACCGAGAGCAGACTGCAGGTCACTGATTTCTTACGCTGGCCTTGGGGCAGTCGGTAATGAGGACGGATGACTGCATCTGTGCATAACCCGACAATGGGCGGGAATACTGGGCCGGGACCAGAAGTGCGAATGGCACCACACAATTATAAAAGGGTGACAGGAATGCGAGAGACGTGGGGCCATTGGGCATATTCACCTCCTGCCAGGAAACCCCAATATGCGATATGCAGCTCTTGTGGTTTAACTGTTCTTAAGAAGTGAACGACTGTTTCTATTCCTCAAATGCCCAATTATTGCTAATCTCCTTCTTAGCGAGAGTCGGAACAACAAAAACTGACGAACTGAGCCTCTCACACCATTGTTAATTTTGTTCCTCGATGGCAAAGAATTTCCAGCTTAGAACCGAGACTCTGATACCCGGAAGTTCCTAGGATGGCAGCTCGGGCTGAGCAAAGACTTCTCTCTTTTTTTTTTTTTTGTAGTGGGGATCGAACTCGGGTCCTTGTCCCTGTGCAGCAGGCGGCGAAACCACTGAGCTAAATCCCCGGCCCCAAGACTTCTCTCATCTTCAAGCCTGGACCTGATGTGAGAAGCAGCTCCCCCGCAGAGAGGTGGGGTGGCCACACACAGCCCCACCTGCCGAAGGAGGCCAGCTGCCAGCACGTCCAGGACAATGAAACCAACGGGCTCCTCTGCCAGGCATCTACTGACTCGCTGCTCAGTGGACACCTGCTGGACACCTGGAACACTGCCAGTGCCCACAGGGAGAGATGGGCAGGGGGCCATGGGGAAGGACCACGTGGGCCCGCCAGGGCCAGCCACCTCCCTCGGCCCCTCGGAGTGGGGAGCCCAGCAGGCCACTCAGGAGGGGGTTACAGAGGCCTTCTGCAGGGCTGTGCCAGCCAAGGGGCTCAGCCTGGAGCACTGTGCCCAGGAAAGGTGCCCAGGGCTTCCGCATGTGCGTTTTAGTCCTGGCTAAACCACTCGGACTCTTTCCCGGTGGCAGGTCGTCACCTGCAGTTAACCTTGTCTGGAGAGGTTCCAGGCTGAGGAGAGAAACGTCCAGATTTCCACTCTCCCCTCTCCCAAAAGAGGCAGCGGATCCACTGGAAATGGGCCGTGTAGCTCACCGCCTTGGCCAGGAACGTGCTCGGGGCTCTTCTGTCATAGTAGGCATCCAGTAAGGACAGATACCCCACGTTGGCAGCTAACGGTGAGAAAAATAAAGAGAAAAGGAGGTTTGCCGAAGGTGGATCCACTGGGGACAAATGCTCGGTGGGGCAGAGACGGGGCTGGGAGGGCTGGGCTTCGGTCCTTGCGCCCCTTGCCGGGACTGCTCGTGGCGAGGAGGTGGCCTTCACGGTGTGTCTGGGGAGCCGTTCGTCCATGCACAAGCAGAGGAAGGACTCAGGTGTCTGTGCCACCAAGAAAGACGCCTGGCCTAAGAAGGTGTCCCATCCACTGACCTCGCCCCAGGGCGGTGGGGGCGAAAATCCGCACACTCTGCTGGTCCTGGAAGCGGGTCTGCTGCACCAGGAAGTCGGAGGGGCTGGGTTTCTTGGAGAAGCTAGGAGACAAAAATGAAGCAGCGATGTCTCTCCTTTCTCCTGTATCGAGCGCTTGAGCCAGGCAGTCTGCACCTTCTCACTGCAAAGAGGCAGCGTGGGCTGAAAATGTCCAAGCCAAGCATGTGCCGCCACACTCTGGGAGGCTGAGGCAGGAAGATTGCAAGTTCAAGTCCTGCCTGGGCAACTTAGTGACTTAGGCCCTGTCTCAAAATAAAAGTAAAGTTTTAAAACAGGGCCAGGAAATAATTGAGGACAAAGGCCCCGGATTTGGGCATTGGTGGCTTGGCTTGTGGCAGATTGAGCGCGAAGCCACGCACAGGATTGAGCTGGGTGCGAGTCTCTCCAGGTGGTGTGTGTGTGAGACAGCCCGGGCTCAGGACTCCCCTCAGGTCTGCTTGGGGGACCCATCTAGACCAGCAGGTGCGGGGACGCAGCTGACGTTTCTGCCAGGTGCTCCAAACCCAGGGGCCTCTGAGTAGCACTGACGCAGGCCCGCCTCTCCCGAGAGGACTTCGCCACCCGCACCTGCTACCAAGGCTTCCCAGCCCCTCCTCGTGGACTCCACAGCCACCCAGGGCTCCTTCGTCCCGCAGCCTTCCTGCCCTGCGACCTCACAGCCCCAGCCTCCCGGGAGCCCACGGACCATCGAGTCTGCTTACAGGGCAGCCTGCACACACGTTCTCCTTGTGGAGACAAAGGCAGGAGATGAGGAGAGCATCTGGCCCTGCTCTGCTCTGAATGAGATTGTGTATCTGTATCTCACTAGCAACTCTCACGCTTGTCATTCAGATTAACAGGCAGGAATCCAGCCTCACAGGGAAAAAGGCTGCTTTGCTCTCTGAACAACAAAATACACAACATAATTTCTTTTGACAATAAGCTGCGTATTGCTTTAAAAACACAGCTCAACTCGCTAATCGTTCATAAAAGATTTTCTTTTAACAAGAGAAAAACTTAATCCTATGCCTGCACTGGAGTCTCACAAAACAGGAGACGAAAAGGGCCGGATGAGGAGGCTTTGGGGGCAGCTGAGTTACACAAAGAAGCAGGGCTGTGGGCTTCCTGGGGCAGAGGGAGGATGCACGGTGGCCCCTGAGGACAGGACGTGCGGTGGGGTCTCCTCTCCCCTGAAGCACCTAAAGAGCAGCAGCACGGGGAACGCTGGGGTCTCCAGCTCCGCAAACTCGATGTGGATCTGGAGCAATTCCTGGGGATGCTGAGACAGCAGGGCGAACTGGTGGAAATGCACCTGCTCCCGAAGCAGTACAAATGAGCCTTCACTTGTCTCATTATCCTGTTGCTAAAGAGAAAGCAAGCAAAGCAAAAGCTGTTGTCTCTCCAAAGATAAACGCACTGAAAGTCAGCCAAAGTCACGGCCCGGATGAGGCCAAGATGGCTGGAAGGCATCCTCACCCCGCTGTCCTCGTCCCCAAACTCCACAGTCACGGGGGTCCTCAGCTGTCGCCTGCGGATGGGGCTTCTGCTGGGGCAGCTGTAGAGACTCAGGCCCAAGATGCCTCCCACCTGGGGAGATGAAGCCGTCTCAGCGAAGGGAGCCAGCAGCTGACTTGGGAGGCTACGGTCCAGGGTTCCCCCAGGAAGTGGGTCTGGCTCAGGAGCCGGGACACTGGGTCCCCGCTGAGAGTCTCCTGGAGAAACTGGTCACAAAGAAGGCTGGAGACCAAAGCATGTTGGGGGCCCCTGTGTGGCCCATGTGCCAGCCTGGCCTCGAATTTTCCCACCGGAGTCCCAGGACTGCAGGCTTGCAGTGGGATTAGGCGTGGCTGTACCTGCCCGGCAGCACCGCCCCCAGGGTGCAGCCTCCTTCTGAAGAGCGTGAGCTGGCTGATGTAGCACGGGGCCTGTGTTTCCTCTGCCGCTGGACTGAGCCCGGCCAGATCCCTGGGGAGGTGCACGAGGACAGAGCCCAGGCTCTGCACCGAGCAATGGAGGCCGCGGTGAAGAAGGACCCGGAACTCCATCTGCCCAGCACTCACGGACAGCTGCTGCCCGGGGCTCAGAGGGAGCGCGGCCTAAACACAGAGCAGAGGATCAGATGCTTGCAGGGCAAAGGAGTGAGGCCAGGGCAGAGGTGGAAATCACTGCCGGTGGTGCCAGGCCTGGTGGCACACGCCTGTAATAAAGTACTCTGGGAGGCTGAGGCAGGAGGATCTCAAGTTTGAGCCCAGCCTGAGCAACTCAGCAACTTAGTGAGATTCTGTCTCAAAATAATAAATGGGATGCAGCCCAGTGTGAAGGCCCTGGGTTCAATGCAGGCCGTGTGAAGTTAGATCGGCTTAAGCAAAGGACTTGATATGAGAACAAAATGGCAAATAATGGTAAAATACAAAATGTTCTTCCTGCCACCCCCTGCAGTGGCATTTTATTCATTTTAAACAATGGCTGAGCTTCCTGGGGTCCCTAGCCCACCTGAAGATGGTGTTAATAACATAGTTATTTTTTAAACCTAAAGCCTGCAGCGAACGGAGCAGGCCGCAGGACCTGGTCCAGGATCCTAAATGTGCAATGATGCTTTTAAATGTGCTCAGGTACACTGACCTCCAGTGACAGATACTAGTAGAGGACTGATTTGCTTTCTAATTTCCCAGGTATTTGAGCAACCAGCAGCTAAATGAGCCAGCAGGCCGGGAGGGAGGGAGGTGTGTCTGCAGGAGGAGAGAGACAGTTATGAATCACTGCTTTGGAAAAAGCATCGCCTATTTCCTAAGATGAAGAAGAAAAACTCTTGAGATAATTTCCCAAAGTTACCAGAGCATAAATAAGGTACACTTTTGGTAGAGATCTACAGGGCGAGCTTATTCTCTTTTTGTTTTTTGTTTTCAGGGATCGAACTCGGGACCTTACGCTTTTGAGGCAGGCAGCAGAACCACTGAGTTAAATCACCAGCGAGTTTATTCTTTTTTTCTTTTTGTGCCTAGGGTCTTTGCACTGAGCTACACTCCAGCCTTTTTCTTATTTATTTATTTTTTTTGGTACCAGGGATCAAACTCAGGACCTTGTGCTTACAAGACAGGCAGTGGAACCGCTGAGCTAAATCCCTGAACTTATCTTTTATTTTGAGACAGTCTTGCTAAGTTGCTAGGTTGCCCTGGCTGGGCTCGAACTTTTGAGTCTCCTGCCTCAGCCTCCCACAGTGCTGGGATGACAGGTGTGTGCCGCCACCAGGGCTGCTTTTTAAATTAATGTGCATAAGAACTCATTTGCATTATTTCACACCATTCCTCGCAAACAGAAGGTTTAGGTAAATGATGTTTTTCTAACTCGAATCCTTCCCAAATGCTTAAATGAAATCCTATCAAAGCATAGGGAGCTTGACACCACCACTAACATTTACAGCTCCCAACAGAAGCTTCCAGAAACAAACTGCTTCCCAGCATCATAAACACATTCCTCAGAAGTGGACTCTAATTCTTGCTGTGGGAAACAATGACATACTCGGGCTCTGACCTGGAGAGGGAACAGCAGCGATGCTGTGCTTTTTTGTAGTTTGGTGCTGGGGATGGAACCCAGGTCCTTGGATACACCAGGCAGGCACGCTCTCCAGCCCTGAGCCACACCCCGGTTGCCGTCATGGGGGTTTTTCCTGGTACTGAGGGTTGAACTGAGGGCCTTGCACTGAGCCACAATCACTGCCCCCTTTTAAAATGTTGAGACAGGATCTAGCTAAGTCACTAAGTTACCCAGGCTGGCTCCAACTTGCCACCCTCCTGCCTCAGCCTTCAATACAGGCATGAGCCACACCTCTGACCTTCCGCAGCTTCGCCTTTCTGGGTGGAGAAAAAGTCTCGCTCACCAGCAGCATGTCAGAGATGACCCTCTTGCCTTCTTCTAGTATATAGTCCTCGTGCCTCCATGTTCCATGCTCAGAGGCCTCCCAGACTCCAGAGATGAGAAGGATGAGTTCAAGCCTGCGGCCTCCAGCGCCTACAAACTTCCCTGAGAAGTGGGTTTGGTCTTGAACAAGGAGCGTGTGGGCGAACCTGAGGATTCGGGCCGCACTCAGGAACCCGAGCTGGGGGACGAGACAGGATGAGTGAAGCGTTTCCGGGCACAGTGAGGGTGCTCTCGTCTTGGTCAGCATCGCTGGGAGGGTAGATGGCCGCCCGGGGTCACAGGGCTGGACCAACCACGCCTGGCCTGGTGACCAGGGCACTGCCCTGCGTAAGCACTACTCTCTGACACTCAGACGACCAAGGACAAACTAGAGGCCAACACCAAAGCCCTGCGTGCTTGGAGATGTTACCCGGTTTGGGTTTTGGGGGGTTTTTTTGGTACTGGGGATTGAACTCGGGACCTTGCTCTTGCGAAGTAAGTGGCAGAACCACTGAGCTAAATCCCAGGCCCAGATGTTACCTAGTTTGCACCCTCAAAGCCATCTCACAAACCCTTTCACAATGGGTCCCACCTCCTTCCCAGCCTTCTCTTCTCATGAACACACTATAAGGTGGGATTGAAAACTATGAGGAATGTTTACATTAAAAACAATTATTTCAGGGCAACCCACTTCCCAGTCCCCTCTGTCTCACTTAGACAGAAGCTATCTTTCTCTCAATAAAGTTTTTCTACTCTTAAAAAAATTATTACAGGGCTGGGGATTTAGCTCAGTGGTTTCGCCACCTGCTGCACAAGTGCAAGGACCTGAGTTTGATCCCCAGTACCAGAAAAAAAAAAGGTTATTACAGTAGAAGACACATTGCCATGATTCCTCCTCAGAATCCTCCCTTGCTTTGAACACACTGATCCCTTTCTTCCTGACACTTTTGGGAGCCTTTCTGGGGTCCTCTTTCCTGGGTGTCTTTTGCTGCACCATCCTGGCTGCCTCAATGTCCTGAATGGATTCAAAATATTTCCCTTTTATGCTCATTTTGACTTTGGGGAAAAGCCAGAAAAATCCATTGTGCCAAATCCTGTGAACAAGGTGGATGAGGACACAGAGCCATGTTTTCACAGGCTGCCTTTTGTTGGATGGCAACATTCACTGTATTTCTGATCACATCTTATAAAGACACTAAGGAAAGAGGACTCCAGAGCTGCTTCAGAAAGTGGTGAGGACCATGGGGTGAGCATGTTTGAAATGAGAGCGTATTCTGAGGGGGATTCGTGGCAATGTGTCTTTTACTATAATATATTTTAAGATTTAAACATTTGTACTATTTTTCCATGTATTTCTAATCTAAGTGTCCAAATATATCCATGGACTATAAGTACATTTCTCACAAACTGATCACGGCCTTCACAATTGTGCAAAAAACCGGGAAACCGCCCCAGGAGGAAACAGTGCTTACCTTAATTGGGAGGTTCACGAGGTTCCTCAGTGTATGAACAGAGTCCATCATTTCTTCCTGAGCAGCAGAAATAAACAGCAAACAAAACAAAAGTAAAACAAGAGGAGAGTTGGATTATTAGTGTGCTGCAGCTTGCTTATGCAGGAACAGCAAACCTTCTCCACAAGACCCTGGCCTCGACCTCCAGGTCCCCTCCTAGCCTAGGCTCTGTCCTCCTCTGGGCCCCACCAAGACACTGGCACGGGGTGGGGGGAGACAAGAGAACAGAACTACAGGGAAACTTTGTGAAAATCCTGGGAGATGATGCAGGAAGTGAAGCATGGGTTCAAGCACAGCATCTTGGGGTACAGTGAGCAAGACGTGTCCCTTATGGATGTGAATGTCTGCAGTGGCCTTTGTCAGGCAGCCGCAGAAGCATTGTGAGCAAACACAGGAATCTCTGAGTACGTGGTTATTGCTTAAGAAGCTGCACAAAGTCAAGACTAACATTCTAGGATATTGTTTGCTATGGTTTAGGTCTAGACTGTCCCCCTGAGGGGAAGCTTGTGAAAGGCGATGAGATCGGGGGTGCTGGGCTCAGAAGTGGACAGAGCCATTGTTGAATCCATAGCTAAATGTGCTGTTGGGGGGGCAGGCTTGTTGGAAGAGTCGGTCACTGGGCCGTGTCTTTGCAGGGTGCATCTCCTTCCCCAGCTCCTCCCTTCCCTCTCTGCTTCCTGGCCGCCATCATGGGAGCAGCTCTCCTCTATCAGGCCCTTCCACCACATTTCTGCTGACCATGGACTGAATCCCCTGAACTGTGAGCCCAAGTTAAACTTCTCCTCCTAAGTTGTGGGTGTCAGGCATTGTGTCTCAACAACAGGCAAGCTGACTAGGATGCTGCTGCTAACAAGACGAAAGCAGATTGGATTGACATTGCTTTTACTTGCAGAAATGGCAGCAGAATTATGTGTAACGGTGATAGACTTTCCCGTTTCCTAAGCCAGCAGCACTTGTTGGAGAGATGTATCAGTAGGGGAGAGCAAGAGGCATCACCATGGGTGGGAGCCCTGCCGGTGGCCACCTAGCACCCTCTCTTGTGTTTCCTAACCACGACCCCTTGCACGTGAGCCAACCCGATGCAGGTTCACAGACACTGACCTCCCCAGCTCCAGGCCCTACCTCATCTGCAAAGGCCAATGTGCACACTGCAGAAATGAGGGCATCCTGCAGTGGTGACCACTGGTCACAGGAAGTGCTAGTGTTCTCCTTAGCCAAGCGGCTCAGGATCCCGGTGAGCATGGCAATGTAGTTCCTGCTTTCCGTGTCGCTCCCCATCAGCCAGAGGACAGACAGGTTCCTCAGGCTGGAATTGTACCTGGAGGAAGCACAAGAGTCACCTCGGCTGTAGCAACGCTCTGTGAAACTCTCCATCCTGCGCTGAGGGTGGGGCGGAGCTTGTTCTCCGAGGTGGGGCAGAGAAGAGAAGGACACAGTGGAGAGTCGGTCTGCAGAGGACGCTAATTTTCCATCTGAATCCCATAAACCCCTTTGCTCTGAACCGGAAAGGCACAAAAGCCAAGCAGATAGCTCCAGACCCCAGGCAGCAGGGCTGACGCTAGACAGGGACAGACGGGTCAGGGGCAGAAGCATCACAGGCTACACAAAGACAGGAAATGACTCCACAGAATTGGCTTTGCCAAATCAATTAGTAGGAAAAAAATGACCAGACAAAGCCAACGATAATTGTTTTTAAAATACTAAAAGTCATTGCATAAGAAAATATCTATAAAATGTTATTGTTGGGCTTACAGCACTGAGGAAGGTAACGGGACAATAATCACATGGAGAGGGGTGGCAATGATGCCCTGTCAGAATAAGGCCGGACACCAGATGGGTCTTGAACCTACAGCCAGATACGAAGACAGCCAACTAGAAGACGAAGACACTGTAAAGCACCCCTAAAAAGTACCGTATTGCACTTTCTTTACTAGTTTCTGTCCAAAAAAGATCATTATATAAAGGAATAATCATATCACTATATTATTGGGTCTGTAACACAGAGGGAAATTATAAATGTCACAGTGACTTCCTTCCACAAAGAGAAGAAGACATGGAGCTATGCTGGAGTGAAGTTTCCACGTGGCAGGAAATGGCTGTGCTGGGGATGTAGGAATTCCTTCATGTGACAAAGGCCTGGCTTAGGTGAGGTGACCGGCAGGTGAACTCAGCCTATGTTGACGGTCACCTGGTGAGGGTCACAGGTAAGGCCCTACTTCTTATTGAAATTAAGTTACGATTAGTTTGTGGCAGTTTCTAAGGAACTAAGATGCAGTAATTACATGAATATTTAAAAAAATACTGAAAAATCATTCAAGGAGCTAAATAGTCCACTAGAAAATAGTCACTTGAGAAAAAAAAAAGGTTTGTAAAGGAGGAAGAGAAGAACAGAATGACCATGAGACATGTAGAAACACCCATGAATCCAACCATATTGATAATAACATTACATATGAACGAGCCAAACAATACAACCAAAAGGCAGAGACTGTAAGATTGGGTACAAAAGCAAGCACCAACTATTTGACATCTAGTATACAGATGACACCTCAATACAGCTTTTAAAAAAGAGGAAAGGGCTTTGTGGGCTCTGGGGCGGGAGCGCCAGTGCCCTGCAGTTTGCAGCACCATCATGGCAGCGCCCTGACTTGTACTGCTGTCACTCCCTTCCCCACCCTGCCACCAGCTCCCAAGGAAGCCTGAACACTGCTTTGGAGGTCTGTGTGGCAGGGTGGTTACTCACAGGTCCTCGCTGAGGCAGCTGTTCCCATAGTAACGCGGCAGCACAGTCACTGCCACGGAGCACGGCTGTATCCTGGAGCCTTGGCCATCTGTGATCTCAGTGGAAACCATGACTGCAGGGGAAGAGGACACAGGAGAGGCACCCTGGGCACCGGAGGCTGCAGCGACGCCTCTCTGCACACCGACAGGCAGCTCCATGCTGGGCAAGCTCAGGATAAGAAGGAATCGTAAACCCTTCCTGCCCACGGAGCGGATACCAGCAAGTCTGAGCAGAAGGCCTGCTGATCTGTTACTTAGGATGGCACCAAAACGTGGCAGGGAGGAGGCGTTCAGGCAACCCACCCCCTGGGAGATCTCGCGCTCCACCTAAAATCTGAGCACCCCTAGAGGAGACGGAGCCGATCAGACATGGGAGACAGGAGCTGTCCCGAGGAGGGCCAAGCCGGCTGTGCGCTGCAGGGGCTGGGATGGGTCCACTCGCGGCCCACCCTGCTAGACAGGGATGGGGAGCCTGCCACAGCGCAGGATGCCCCTGCTCTCCAGCGTGTCCCCTCCAGGCTCAGAGTAACAAGTGCCAAGACGGGGACAGCAGCCCCACGGGAAGCCCAGGGACTCAAGGATGAGGGCACATTTTGACTGATCCTGGGTTTAAAAGGCCTAAAAAACGAGGTGAAGGACTCTGACAGGACACGGAGGGCAGCGCCTGTCTGCGGACCATGGGGCCCTGCATGTGACAGAGGGCTGGGGCTGTGGAGAAGAGACCTGCAGGTGAGCTCAGGTGTGCGTGACAGTCACCAGGTGAGGGTCCCGGGTACGGTCATGTGACCCACAGGAGGAACCTGGGTGTCTGTGACATGTTCAACCCGAGAGCCACGCTAGGGCCTGGCACTGTTCTCAGGGGTCAGAGCTCCCGGATGTGACCTGGACGCCCGCATTCCAATTCGTCTACAGGAAAACTGGGCCCCGCATTCCCTGAGGGTTTGAGTTGTGGATGTCATGCAGCCCCTGGGATAAGCAACCCCACCAGGGGAAAGGTGGGGCCCGAGAATCAAGACAGGGAACATAAGAGGAGGAGCAGTGGGTCTCAGCAGATTCTAGGGTGACGCAAGGAGCCTGTGGCTCGTCCCTGCCCACAAAAGACAGGGCAGGGCGCACATTTAACAGCACATGTGCTGCAGGCATCTTCCTATGTTTACCCTCTTATAAACCCTGAATGTGGGTATCTGTGGGAGATGATCGGGCTAATAGGGACAGCTGTAAGCAACTATCGCACGAGGGAAGGAATTGACCAACATCACTAACCCCGCCCTGCTCTGGGACTGCGAGCTGACATTCAGCACTACAAATTTAGGTCAAAAACCCCTTTTTTTCAACCCGAAGCTGAGGCCCTTTCAGGGGCTCGATCTGGATGCCAGCCTGCCTGCGGCCTCTGGCTGTGGTGGGCAGAGGTCCCTGGTGACCCCACACGGCGCTAGGTGAAGGGTATGTGAAGTGTGAGCAGTGAGCTGGGTCAGCTGGTGTCCTGGGTTAGACACAGCCGGTCCTGTCCCACCCACTTGGCTGACACATGCAGGTGGGCGTGGGAGGACAATCCATGAGGAGAAAAATCAGGAAGGGGGGGGGGAGCAACCTTTTTATCTGAGGATTTATCAAATTAGGCCGAGAACACCTTCTCCACCTACTCAGCCAACATCTGCTGCGCTAGTTCGTCCTGCTGCTTGACTTTAAGAAACTCCAAGGCCAAAAATAAATAAATAAATAAAAATAAAAAAAAGAAAAAAAGAAACTCCAAGGCCAGATGGGAAGGCGAAATACTGGTGATTATCTTTAAAAGCAGAATATGATTACAAAGCTCACAAAGCAACTGCTCAGAAGAAGTTCACTCAATTTGACTTAAATTTTGAAGAAAGTGCAAGGGGTCTAATTTGGGGGTGGGGGGGAGTCACAAAGAAAGCTGCTGCTGGGCTTGGAGGGGAGACCTGAACACAGGCTGGCAAAGGAGGACTGGACTCGGGCTGAAATATGTCCTCTGCCCAAATCAAAGGAGCTTCTGGGTCAGCGCCTCTCCACCTTGCCTACATGTTGGAATCACATCGAAGTTTGAAAAATGGAACAAAAATAAAAACATCATCCCCAGGACCATCATTTGATCCCATCTCACACATTCCCATGAGACCCATGCCCAGGGGTCCATCTAGAAATGGGGTCTCAGAAATGGTTCTCAGAGCATGGGGTCAGGGGAGAAAGCAGCTGAGGTTATGGGGTTTGCTGTGCTTTGGGGCGGACCTGGTTGTCCCCCAAAGGAAGGCCCATGTGTTAGACTTGGTTCCAGAGCACTGCTATGGGGAGGTGGTGGTACCTTTAAGAGGTGGAGCCTAATGGGAGGTCTTGGATTATTGGGGGTGTGGTCTTGAAGAGCTATAAAGGCCCTGGCTCCACCTTTCTTTGTCTCTCACACTCAGCCATGAGCTAACCAGGCCTCCTCCTACACTCTCTGCCATATTGGATGGTGACAACCCCAAGCATTGTGGCCAATCAGCTATGGGATGAAACCACCAAGACCAGAAGTCAAAACAAACCTTTCCTCTTTTCCAACTGATATAGGTATTTGTTATAGTGATGGAAGACTGGGATTATACTAGCTAATTCAATAGTCCTTTATCTCTGATTTTCTTCTTGGGGCAGGAGTACCTTGATTTGGTTTCATTTCAAATAAGTGCAGGATTCACCAGCAATGACATATTTCCTTAGTAGATGAAGGATAGCTTGGTCTCCCCTACTTAACTCATGTACAACAACAGTCTTTGGCATCTTGTCACTTATATTACATTTTAGCTAAAATTTAAAAGATAAAAAGCCAGTTAATGGATGATATTCCTAATGTCCTTCCTGTGTGAAAAGGTAGATAATTGGCCTAAACTCAAAAGTATTAAACTTATCAAGGTGATTAAAAAATTTAATTTCTAGACAAATAGTAGGGCTTTTTTGTTTATTTGGGAATTTTTTTTTTGTTTTTTATTTTGTTTTTGGAGACAGGGTCTCGTTATGTCATTTAGGTTGGTCCTTAACTCACTACGTAGCCCTGGCTGACCTTAAATTCACAGCAATCCTCCTGCCTCAGCCTCCTGAGTGCTGGGACTACAGGTGTGTGCCACTGTGCCTGGTTTAGACACATAGTTATAGGAATTTTTAGTCTGTGGAAACCAGGAGAGGTTTGTGACTATAAATAGGTACAACCAATCACCACAATTCTCCCAGTGACTTACCTTTGTAATTGTCCAAGGGGTCTCCAGCAGGCAGGGCAAAATAGTACTGGGTGTCTCTCCCGCGGTACAGGGTGTGTCTGGAGGCATTTCCTACCCAGTAACTAAATTCATAATGAAAATCCTATGAGGAGCAAAGACAGGAATGCTGAACACGTTGTGGGTGGCATCACGGATAAGTGCAGGTGCACCTGCAGCCTTCATGGCACCCAGAGGCATCCTCTGCAACAGGATCAGGGTAAATCAAGGCGAAACATGGGCCTCAACTACACAGCAAACCCCAGGGGCCTCCCTGCCCTGTGGGGCTCTCCTGTCTGTCTGTCCAAGGGCTTCTCGAAGAAAGCAGATTCCTCACTTGGGGTCAGCTAGCTCTCCTGGCCCTGGAAACTTCTGAGTGTCCTGAGCCAGACCATCAAGGCTCCTCTGGCTGCAACTCAGCTTCCCGCTGCGAGGCAGGATGCAGGTGGCAGGGGCCGCAGAGGGGAGGGGGGGGATGAACTGTCTAGAGCAGAGGTCACTGGGGCCAGGTCCCGAGGGAGACAGGCCCCGGCCCCTCACGAGGACAAACTCAGGCTTCAGAGAAGGAGCAGCATGGGTGAGGCCGAAGGCCACAGCAGGCCACCTACCCAGGGAGGGACAGGGGAGGGGCCCGGAGATTGCAGTGTCTCAGCTTCCTGCTTTGAGCTCAGGAGGAAGCTCGGGTCCCTTTCCAGCTCTTCTCCCAGTGTGAACCAGAAGCCTGCCTGGCCCTGGGGAGCCACCTCCTCCCCTTCCCCTTCAATCCAGTGCTCTCTCCTCTCATCAGCAGGAAAGGAGGGGCCCCATTCAGCCAACTTTAACACCCAGCTGCTGTCCCACGTCCTCCCCTACAGAGTGTGCGGACATTTCCCGGGGTGTTGCTGTCCCCCCTCTCCCAGCACAGCCCGGGGCTGCTTACTGGTGTCCCCGACATGCAGAAGACGCTGAAGATGGTGAGGGCCTCGAGGCCGCGCTGGGGCTGCACCTGGCAGGCCGCATCCCGGGGCACTCGGGGGACCCTCACGTACAGCTGGGCTCGGCCGAGCTCGCTGGGCTCTGCCGCTGAGGCTGAGAGAGGAGATGGGTGGTCAGCCTCGAGGAGAAGCCAGGCAGAGCAGCGGGCACCTCCAGAGCTCCCTCGTAAGCAGGGGCTGGAAGTGGGGTCACTGGCCTTGGGCCTCAGCGCCCCTTGGGAGCTGGGAGACCCAGACCCGACGTGGTGCCTCCACAGCCCTTGGGGTTTCAGGGTTGGAGAACCTCGTGGCAAAGCACAAGCTAATTAATACGCTGCAGGTGGACAGGACAGGCCTGCTCCGTCCTCAGGGAGGGACCACAGCCCACAGGGACAGGGCACTCGTATGTGCGGGTCACCCCGAACCTCAGGCCACATCTGCAGGTCCCTGGGGACCAGAATGTCGACACAGGGCATAAATACCACGCAGCTTCTCTTACAGGAGAACCCAAATATAAATAAAGGCAAGGCAAGACAAAAGACAGGGAACAGGGAACAGCCAGGTAAGAGTGTTGCAGAAGGGAAGGGGATGGAGTGATGGACGGGGCGGGGGCATTAAAAGGATCCAGATGCACTCTGTGCAGGCACCAACTCCACACCGTGAGCTGAGCATTGTGTTAGGCACACATACAGTAATGAAAATAAAACAAAAGCCTCCGCTGTAAACACACACACAGGACAGCTAAGTTGATCTGCACCACGGATTCAGTTTCATATATTTTTTTAAAACTACATTACAACCACAAGTATTTTCAGCTAGGCGTGGTGTCACAGGCCTGTAATCCCAGCACTCGGGAGGCTGAGGCAGGAGGGTCACCATGAGCTCGAGGCCAGCCTGGGCTATATAGTGAGTTCGAGGGCAGCCTGCACTACTTAGGGAGACCCTGTCTCAAAACAAACAAACAAGCAAACAAACAAAGTCTGACATCTCTGTTGCAATAGCTTCCCAGGATTGCCCTGAGCAGTTCCACAGCAATACCAGTTAGCATTATTCCCAAATAGGGAACATTTGATTGTCCCCTGTCTGCTATTATCAGTCACTTGTAGGGAGAATTCTCATGCATTAAGTTTTCTTAAACTTGTAATATGTTTCTTTTTTTTTTTTTTTGGTAGCGGGGATCGAACTTGGGTCCTTGGCAGAACCACTCAGCTAAATCCCCGGCCCTGTAATATATTTCTCTTGACATGAGTTACAGGTGTCAAACTTCAGAATCGTGCTGATAGTGACTCTCACTGCCACAGCCTCGAGCGGGTGGGGACACAGTGCGAGGAGGGACGTCACTCACCAGTCCCATCAGCCACGAAAGACAAAGCCCTTCACCTAGCAGCGCGACCTCACGGCTCGGCAGGAAACGCTCCCAAGGGAAGGGCAAGCAGCTGGTCGAGGTGCGGAGGCGGGAAGGGGCGGGAAATTCGGCAAATTTCAGAGGTGCAGAGGCCTGCGGGTCAGAGGTCCCTACGGGGGCTGGCAGAGCTGAGCCAGGGCTGTGTCTGAGAACCGGGCGGACGGGGCAGGCGGGGTCTCGGCAGCTGCCGGGGTCCGAAGGGCGCCGAGACCACCGGTGCCGGGTTGGACTCTGCCTCGGGCTGTCGCCTGCCCTTTTTAAATTCCTTTTTCAGACAAGGTCTTGCTGAGTTGTCCAGGCTGAGCTCACTCTGGACCCTGCAGCCTCCGCCTCCCCACGTGAGTTTTAATGAACGCAAAAATGCGGCTGCTGAGCCGGATCTGGGCGCGGATGCAAACTGTGGGTGCTGCGGCTGTTCAAGGGAACAGAAAACCTCGGGGAGGAGAGGGGACCCCTGGAAGTCCCCAGAAGGACGGTGTCAGAGTGGGCCGTGGAGACGGAGAAGGGGTGGGCCCGGGAGGGCGAGCAGTGTGGTGAATTCACACCGCACTGACCATACAACGCCAGCGGGGACACTGCTTGGGGGTTAAACAGGAAGTGAGATAAAAATATGCCAAACATTTAGATGAAAATTTCAAACATTACAGTAAAAGATACATTGCCACGAATCCCCCTAAATCCTCTGCCTCGCTGTGGACACACTCCTGCCATCATTCTTGCCGCTTTCTGAAGCTGCTTTGGAGTCCTCTTTCCTGAGTGTCTTCACAAAGTGCGATCAAAAATATGGTGAATGCTGCCACCAAGTGCCAGGCATAAGGGCAGCTTGTGCAAACGTGACGCTGTGTTCTCATGCACCCTGTTCCTGGGATCTGGCACCCTGTGACTCCGGTCTGTACCCCAGGGTCACAGTGGCCATGAGAGGGAAATGTTTTGAATGATTCAGCACATCGAGGCAGCCACAGCAGGACAGCTAAAGACCCTCAGGAAAGAGGGCTCCAGAGCCGCTGCAGGAAGCGTCGAGGATGAGGGGATGAGTGTCTGAAGCAAGGGGGAGGCTTTCCAGGGGAATCCGTGGCAATGTGTTCTATTGTAATACATTTTCCTAAATGTAAACATTCACCGTATTTTTATCACATTGCAAGCAGAGAGATGCTTGGCGGGTCTGCAGGGAAGGAGGGGCCTGGCCAGCTGCCCAGTGCAGATAAAAAGGCACCTCATACAAAGGCAGTTTCTCAGCTCTGCCCTGCTCTAGACAAGCCCGAACCCACGGGGAAAAGTGAGTCACGGAACCACAGCAACCCAGCTTCTGTCCTGGGACAGAGATACCAGCCACAGGGAGGCAGGGGAGAGGCAGTGCCAGGACCAGGAGCAGCGGTGTTGGCAGAGGCAAAATACTAGCAAGACCCAGACACCGTGGTCCCCTGCACGAAACCCAACAGGTGCGCAACTCACCCACGGACGCCTGTAAGACGTAAGTCTCTCCACTGCTCAGGGAGTACGGCTTTAGTGTCACAGTCGGTTTGGTGATACCTAGAGACAGGGGTGGCCACGGGGAGGTGGGTCAGCGGCTGCAAGGCCAGGAGGGGTGTAGTCCTGGAGCAGGCTCAGCCCTCGCTCTGGTGAAGGAGACATCCACCCCCCGCTGCCACACCTGTCCCTCCTCATAGTGACACGAGTCTACTGGCCCCCAGCCGCCTCTACAGCTGGGCTCCCATCTGCACCCGAGAAGCACTGCAGGGGGCCGCTGACAGCCACAGAATGGGGAACCTGGTCAGAGCTTATTTCTGTGCTCGTAGCAGGGTCCCCTTTTCACGTTCTGGTTCACACATCCGGGTTATCACAAAGTACAATCAAGGTATAAATATTGCGGAATGTTGGCTATGAAAGGCTGCTGGCCGGGTGCAGCTGCTGCCCTGGTGACTGGATTTCTTCGACTGACTCTCTGCTCCTTCTCCCGAAATCAGGAGGAATCCAGAACAGAGGCCAGCGTTACAACCAGGAAGTGTTTTTACGCATCACGACTTTGACTTTGCAACAGCATTTCTAGAAATGCTCGCAGGGTAGGGAGAGAAGGAAGCCAAGCCGGCGAGGAATAGAGTGAAGTTCAGAGCTCCCGAGGCCTGGGGCGACCTAAGCACGGCATTATTATAAGAGGTCTCCAAGGTGAGGCGCGGAAATGGCTGAACCCCTGCGAGTCCCAAAGAGCGGGCTCGCACCTGCCTCGGTGTAGCCCCGGAGGACGGCGCGGCTGAGCCGGGCCTTGGGCCAGTCGATGGTGAGCACTGGTGAGGCTCTGTCTGCGGAGGTGAAGGGGTCCAGCAGGTTGTCTCCTTCCCCAGGGCTCCCTTCCGCGGCGTCTGCGCTGGAGACACCGGTGCTGTGGCCTAAGAAGAAGAAAAAGTGCGGATAGGAAACAGGGGCAGGGACTTTGCGGAAATGGGAAGGGGAAGGGAAGCAGGGAGGGGAAAGGGAAACAAACACGATTAAGCTGGGTCCCCGCAGGTGCCTGCTGCCCCAGGACTGCAGCTGCCACATGCTGCAAACATGTGCGGATGAAGCATAAATTCCAAAAGTCCCGATCACTTCTAAGCACAAGCGACTCAGTCCTGACGTTCATAACTAACTATTTCTACAAGTGCTGGATATTGCACATCTAAAACAGCATCTTCATGTACTAAAGATGATGAAGAAAAGAGATGCCGGCAGCGATGAGGAGGCTCCCACTGTTCTCTGTGAAAGGAAACAGTGGTTACCGAACAGTACACCCGGCACTGCCAACTTTTTATTTTCAAAAATGTGTTAATGGGGCCAGGGGTTTAGCTCAGTGGTGCCAATGACTGCCTCGCAAGTGCAAGGTCCTGAGTTCAATCCCCTGTACCAAAAAAAAAAAAAAAGCATTAATGCCCGGAGGGGGAAATGAGGATGCTGCCTGTGTAACTGGTCCCATCGGCCCTGGGGGGGCTGCCGAGCTCTGCACACGCTTCTTCCTAAGAGCAGCGCTTGTGCTGTTAGCAACGTTTCTCTGCAGAAGAAGTGAACCTTCGCTGCAAGTTTGTGAGCTGGCGTTAATGTTGGTCATGGCAGTCATTCCACAGTGCATTCGAGTGTTGGGTGTGAGGGGAGCTTGTGTCAGCTATGCTCAGTCATAAATAAACAAAATAATAAAGGAGCCCTGAAAAGACAGGGTTCTCCATAACACAGGGAGGGAAAGTGTCCTTTGTTTTTACATAATTCCTGATCTAATACTCCTCCCTCCCTGCCCCTTCTTCCCACAGATATTTATTCTGATCATCTAGGTCCAGATCTGAGTGGTGGATCACAGAGTCCTTGTGACCTGGGAGTCCTTGCGATCATCCTATGGAGGGAGTCAGAAATGTGAGAGGAAGCCCAGTGAGTCTGGGGCTGCGTGTGCAGAAGGAGCGAGTGCCCTGCAGGGTCACCAGAGGGAGGGAGGGGAAGGGACGGGACAGGACAGGATGGGGTGGGGGTGAGGCTGAGAGGCGCAGGGGTTGTGGGAAGCCCCAGGGCCCCAGGGGACACTGAGGAGGGGACCCGTGGTCAGGAAGTGCTGGGCCACCCTTCGGGAAATGGTTGTGGGCAGAGACAGAGGCCAGACGAGGTCTGGGAGGGAAGTGACAGTGGGGTGGAGCCAGGTCAAGGCCAGCTGAAGACTTCGACTGAGGTCATGGAAGGGGACACAATGTTGCTGAAGTAGAGCAAATCCTGCAGGAGGAGCCACGTTAGGGAGACTCTAAGGGGGGGCCGCTCTTTCCCGCCCCATATGACCAACCCAGCTCGCCCCGGAGCAGACCGGCCCTGACGCAGATCTGTGTACTGCCAATTAGAAGGCTTTCCTGTGAATTACGAGGTTTTGATATCCTAAAAATAAACAAAAAATAGGAACAACAAGAAAATGCTTCTCTGGTGAAGGAGAGACCACCTCCCTTAGGTTGGCCTATTTTTAATTGGTGGTACTGGGGCTCAAAGCCAGGTCTTGCTCTAAGCTGCATACCCAGCCCTTCTCCGCATCATTTCTGAGACAGGCTTGCTAGGCTGCCAAGCTGCTCAGGCTGCGCCCAAACTTGCCACCCTCCTGCCTCAGCCTCCCAGAGTGCTGGGATTGCAGGCGTGCGCCACTCCCTGCTGAGCCAAGTTCTAAAGAGAGCGGTGGTCCAGCCAAGACCAGATCTTGAGGTGCCAACTCTGGTCCAGAGGCGGGGCCCTCTGACAGCCACACTGGGAGGTGATGACCCTCTGCTTAATCATCACAGGGCCAGCGCCACAGGGGCCGGAGCCCAGGGACTTGTCCCCTCAGCTCATCCGAGGCGCCTGCCGCCGCCCTGAGCCCTCCTGACTTCCCTGCGTGGTGGGCGGCCCCCGACCCCAGGACCTGGAGGGAATGGACTCAATGTCATCCTCCTGCCTGTGCCACGTGTCCTCCTGGCGCCCCTAGCATCCCGCAGCAGAGCGGGACAGCGGGGCCCAGGACGGACAGGAGGCGATGGGCTGGAGAGGCCCCCGAGCCCTAGGAGGCCAGCGAGCTCGGTCTGCACCGTCTGTGCCCCACCCGCCGTCCGGCTGTCTAGCCAGCCCACAGCTCTGTCACCAGGGAGAGGGGCTGACAGCTCAGCCCTTGCCTGTCTTCTCTGTGGACGGACAAGTCACCCATGGAGGCTGTTCCCCCGGGAGATGCGGCCCTGACCCTCCTGGCCCTCGCCAGCCCTCACGGACCCTCACGAGCCAGGCGCTGTGCACGACCCCGACACGGAGCTCTCCCCAGACCCTGTACACGATTAGGCAGGCGCCGGGCCTTCTCGCAGGCAGGAGCAGGTGTGTGGGGCAGTGGGGCCATCGGAAGATGGGGGCTTCAGAGAGGGGAAACGGAGTGGGGAGAGACGTGAGAGGACATGGGGGCTGAGGCCACCGTGGGGCTTGGAGAACAGGTTACAGAAGGGAGGTGGGGAGCCCCGGCAGGCACGCGGCACAGGAGTCTGCATCTCCCTCTGACTCTGGGACTTCCAGGAAGAGCTGGGGGAGCTGGGTACAGGGGCCTGGGCAGAGGCACTGCAGAAGCGGGGTCACCTGGCTGTCGTCCTCCCGCCGGCTCTGCTTCTTGGATGTTGCCGTAATAGTCTTCGAAGTCTGCAGGAGACAGGATCGTGGGTCCCAGTGGAATCCACATGGCACGGAGGGCAGGGACGTGGCTCTGTCTCGTTCGGGGTCCCCGAGTGAGGTTTCAGTCCCAGCCCCCAGGGCTGCTCCATCCTGGGCCCAGTGAGAGGGATTCGTGTGGTGGCTCTCACCATCCAGGGCAGGGGGGGAGCTGGGCTGAGGCTGGCTTCTCGAAGAGGGGCTCATGGTTGGCGGGGCTCCCTCAGCCTGGGCCACAGGCTCTGGGCCCCGTGGCTGGTCCTCCACAGCCTCCCCTGGGGCCGTGGTGTCACTGGCAGCAGGAATCCAGCGGCCACTCGCTGAGGACCCCAGGACGGTGTGGTGCAGGGCTTCAGGTGGGGTCCCCCATGGGAGCGGTGTGGGTGTCCCAACCGGAAGCTCCTCACTGGGCTCCATGGCTGACAGGGCTGACTCTGGTGACTCCCAAAAGGCCCTGAGAGCTGCAACACCCAGCAGCTGCACAGTGCTGCAAAGGGGAACTGAGACACGTGGCGACACATTAGAGTCCCAGACACAGACAGGAAGCGCTCACTTTCTAAGTCCACAGTTTAAATAATAACACACTGTGCTGCAGCAGAGGCCTGGGGGATTTCAGACGGTAGCATGGGGCCAACAAACATTTGTGCGTGGGGAAGGGGTTCACAGCTGTTCCTCCTCGCCCCTGAATTGGCTCCCTGCAGGCTCCGAGAGCCCTCGGAGGGCGTGGTGGTGCACGCTGGTCATCCCAGCATTCAGGGAGGCTGAGGCAGGAAAATCTCAAGTTCCAGTCTCACCCGGGCAACTTAGCGAGACGCTGTCTCAAAATGAGAAAAAGAGCTGGGATGCAGCTCCGTGGTAGAGCGCGCCTGGGTCGGGTCTGCAATACCAAAGAGCCCAGCACGGTCACTCACGTGTGCCCCATAGGTGACTGGGGTACATGGAACTTCTACTCCTGGTTCCCGGCCTGAAAAGGACTCCCACAGCAGTTGTATTAGTCACTGTTAGAAATTTATGGCCAAGGGTCCAGAGCGGAGGAAGAACGAGGCAGGCAGGACACACTCAGGGCAGCTGTGATGCAGCCTCAGCAGCTTCACCGCGGCTATGTGTGCAACACTGGCCCTCTGCTCTTTGGTTGAGGAAAAGCAAGCATCTGGGACCTGGGCCTGGGGGCCTGGCCCGCAGGGCTCAGGTGGCTGCACTCACGGAATGGGGTGCACTCGGCCCCGAATGGGCACCTCCAGGTCACAGCCAGTGCAACACGACCACTGCCTCACTCTGACACTTTCTCCACAAGCGCTCGGGCCGGGCCTGTGGTGCCTGCCTGTAATCCCAGCACTTGGGAGGCTGAGGCAGGAGGGTCGCCATGAGATCCAGGCCAACCTGGGCTACACAGTGAGTTCAAGCCCAGCCAGAACTACATTGCAAGGTCTTGTCTCAAACAAATTTTTTTAATTATATAAAAAAAAACAAAACTCATTCCCCTCTAGGCAACTAGAATTTGCATTTTCTCTCTGAGAGGCCATCCTCGTTTGGGCTTGAATAAAGTGTCCTCACATTCGGTGCACCCCCACTGGACTTTGGGGCTGACAGGATCCCATCTTTCCCCAGGGAAGCTGGATCACAGAGGGAGCAGGGGTCAGAGCCAGGCCTGCCTGGGCCTGCTCGGGCACAGCTGCCAGGGCCAGGTGGAGAGACAAGGCAAGCCAGCTTCTACTCTGATCGCACCCCAGACCCCCTCTGGGACTCCAGGGTGCGGGATTTCTCTGTCCCCACCAGCAAGCAATCGGTTCCCAAGTCCATGCAATTCTCGCTCTGCCCTCCTGGAGGTGGCATCGGGTCCCCAGGGTGGGCTGGGTCCCTACTTCCGAAGCCAGTCACCAGCCCAGGTGGATTTGCTGCACCGCGGTGCCCTCAGCTACAATTCAGGGTTTGCAGGATCAATCGACCGATCGATCGATTGCCTCCAGAGGTCTGAGGCGTGTGCTGGGGACTCCCAGAGGGAAGCATGCAGACTCCCTGGCTTAAGACAAAGGCAGAGGAGCCGGCAGGGAGACGTGAGGATAGGGGGTGGAAGCATCTGCATTCCGGGGACCCTGGGTCCCCAAGATCTCCACACCCTGCCCTTTCAGGTCTTGCTGAAACCCGCAGGACAGAGGCCTGACTGGTGAGCTCACCTCCTCTCCGGAGTTGGCATGGGCGGGGATGCAGGTCTCCACCCTCCAGCTCTGCCTGTTTCTCCTTCCCAGCTCCCTGGGTGGCAGCTAAACTCATTAGCACACAGGAAGCCACCGCCACACTGAGGCCAGGAAGCTGGGGCACAGAGCACAAACGGTTCCAGTGCCAGGGCACACGTCTCTGCCCAGGAGGGTGACACCAGGCGCTTGTCATGGCTTTGACCCCTGGAGCTGCCTGGCTGAGCGTCACCGCAGCCTTCCCAGCACACAGGAGGAGGAGCAGCATGGGGCCCTCAACTCCCAGGCAATGTCACAGGTGTCCCCAGTGCACAGCATCTCAGCCGCTCGGGACGAGCCTGCACTGTCGGGGAGGCAGGGTGCAGCAAAGCTGGCAGCGTCTGTACCTTCAATGCTGCTCTTTTCTGTGGCGTTGACCCAGAAGAGCTCCCAGGAGTAAGAGAGGCTCAGTGTCTCCCCACAGTCATCACACACAGCGCGGAGAGAAAGCTCTTCGTTCCAGTTGACGTAAACGTCTTTAAAGCTGAGCCAGGAGATGTGCAGGAATCTGGAAGACAAATGGGTTTATTTTAGGACACGGTGAGGGGTCTCCGGCCGCATCCATTTGTGCTGGGCAGTGGCCTGGCTCTGTGAATTCAACAGCGATGGTACAGCGGACTGACGGGCACATGCCACGTGACCAAGGGCAGCACATAGGACACAGCCCGAGCTCCAGGTCAGCGAGGCCAGGCCACCATCACCCCGCCCGCCCGCACTGGGCCTGTGCCCAGCGCCTTCGGTGGCTGCCTGCACCATACCTGAAGCCTGGGTCCTGGCGAGTGGACAGGAACACCTGAGCCTCTGAAGAGTACTGGCCCCTGCTGGCCACCGTCAGCGTCAGGAGGAACTGGTCGCAGCATGTGCTGAGCCGCTCCACTGCGAAGGAGAAGATGGAGGCCCTGGTGTCCGGCTGGTTTGGGCCAGTGTCATCGAAGCAGGGCCTCCCAGGGGAGCGGGCCGCCGTGCAGGTCCAGTGGTAGCTGTTGGAGAAGCCGGGGTGGGGACAGGCAGGTGGGGGATGCTGCCCCGTTCCCCGATGCGTGATTTGGACACTTGGGTGACTGCCCTGCGCTGGCCCCGCCCGAGCCCCAAGGTGGCCCTGAAGCCGCTCCTCGGTCCGGCACAGGGCGGCCTCTCTGACCACACCTCTGTCCCCTCCCAGTCACACAGCCACATCCCCTGGGCCCTCCACCAGTGCCCTGTGTCACCCTGAAACCATTCTGCATCACAGATAGCAACAGCACAGCGGCCCAAATGAGGACGGAGGTGCATGTGGGGCGCCTGGGGGAGTGGCCCTCCTCCACCCGGCCTCCCCTCAGGCTGAGGAGTCCAGGTCCACACACAGGACATCCACACTCCCTGCAGGGCAGGAGCACAGTAGGGCAGCCCTGTCCCTGCCCCTCGAGGGTCCTGCTCCAGCGCCCATGGTCACATAACCTTTCCAAGCGGCTGTGGAGATGGTGCCAGGTGGGGAAGGGGAAGCTGAGGGAGGCTTGGGGGAAGCCCAGGAAGGGGTGCAGGGCACAGTGGACCAACACAGACAGGGGTGGGCCCCGGGGGGACCGGGGTGCCACCCTGTCCTCCAAACCCCAAGACCTTGCAAAAGGCAGCAGCTACACTCACATTCTGAATCACAGATGTGCAGAAGCTCTGGGGCTGAACTCAGTGCTGTGCTCTGAATCCTTTTTTTTTTTTTTGAGACAGACTCTCACTAAGTCACTATGTTGCCCCAGCTGGACTTGAACTTGGCAATCCTCCTGCCTCAGCCTCTAGGAGTGCTGGGATGACAGCGTGCCACCACACCCAGCCCCAAATCATGCTTCAAACACTCTCCAAAAAAGCTATTTACATTTTAGCCCCCCTTCCTAAATTACCTTATAATTTGATCCTAAATGAAACAGTGCAACTTATGAAAGCTGATGTGCAGGAGACTGTAATATTTATTATGCCCAAAGCAGGCTGTAAGAGTGAACCCCACAATTGGCTTGCTTTGAGAAATGAGGCTGGCCAAAGCCTATGTGCCGAGGTCAGAGTAACTCGCACCCAAAGTCCATTTCTGAACCTAAAGCCTTCTTAGTAGAAGGAAACGTTCTAATTAAAACCATATATTTTGTCTATTCTGTTCCTAATTTGAGAATGCTCTGTCTTGTCCTTTACAAGCCTTGTTTACATTAATTTCCATAGAAACCGCACGACTGCGCATCCTCTCATGCATTCCTGCCCTTGCATGTAGCTCCCCTTTACCCCAAATGATTGCCAGTAAGTCAGTGCCTGGGACTGGCCAGCGCCTTTGTGGGCTGTACTGGCATTGGTCGTCCTGGCCCCGGTTTCTCGATCTTAGTTCTGTCTTTCAGTTTCTTTCCTCAGGCCTGTGTTGTATCCTGGGCAGGAGACTGGAACCAACTGCAGGGGTCTCTGGTACTTTCACGTCTTTAACCTGCTCACGACAGGCCCATCACCCGTGTCTCACTCTGAACCATGGTGTGCATGCACGCAGCGCAGCCCCGTGGGAACGTGGTAAACTACGCTGGCAGAGTCCTGGAGCAGCTCCCACCCAGAGCTCCGCAGCTCAGGCCTCACCTGAGCACAGCCCCAGGGTGGTCAGGGTCAAAGGACTGTGTCCCCCTGAGGACGACGGGCTCCCGGGCAGCCCTGGGCACAAAGAGGTGGGTGCCCTCCGAGATGACGGCGACAGGCACCCGGGCAAGCACTTCCACACCCACGGAGTAGTTGCTGTGCACCATGGTGCCCTGGATCCGCACCTGAGGGACAAGGACAGCGTCACTCGGGGGGCCCCGCTCACCAGGCCTGTCCACGCTGCACTAGGAGGGGCTGCATGCGTTCTTGGTCCCAGCGAGCCGGGTGCAGGTGTCAGAATAAGTGACCACAGTCAGAGTCCCTCATAGTTCCCGGGCAGGAGAGCCCCGGGCGGCGCCTCGGATTTCAGTCCTCCAACCCCAGCAGTCCATTTCCCAGTCTTGGCGTCTCTTTGGATCCTTTTCTTTAACCCAATTCCTTCTAACACCTAAACATACCATGGACTCAAAGACATGTGCATGAAATTTAAGACAAATACTTTTAAATTTAGGAATCATGAAACACTTTGTAAATAAGGGATTCAATGTGGTCTTGATGCAGTTTGAAAAAATACAGTCTAGCACTTGTGCCAGGGACATGAGACTCAGTTTGGATTTTTTTTTCTTTTTCAAGTCCTGGAGCTTGGACCCAGGGCCTTTGCACTGAGCTGCATCCCCATCTACTGTTTAATATTTTCTCGTTGAGACAGGGTCTACCTACATGGCTAAGTTGCCCTCCTCCTGTGTCAGCCTCCCCGAGTGCTGGGGTTACAGGCGTGCACCACCACACCCGGCTGCCAGTCTGGGTTTTCCCCTTACAGAAGCACATGGCTCCCTGCTGGCCAGTGTCCTGGTTAGGACCAGAGGTGAAAGAATGACCGAAGGATCAAAACTCCACTCACACCAGGGTGAGGGTGTCGGGAATGTGCCAAAGGCGGTGGGCTAGGAGGCGCTCAGGCCTGGCCTGGACCCTCACTCCGCCAGGCTTATTAGCCACCCCCCTCCCTCTCTGCCTCCATGCCTACAGACTGGGGAAGCTGGCAGAGGGACGGGAACCCCGTGCCCACACTGGCAGCCCCTTTCCTCCTGACATCCAGGTCAGGAAGAGCCCTAAGGAATGGTGATGCTTAGCCGGGCACGGTGGTGCAGGCCTGTGATTCTACCACTCTGGGAGGCTGAGGCAGGAGGATGGCATGGTGGAGCCCAGCCTGGGCAACTGAGTGACACAGCAAGACCCTGTCTCAAATTAAAAATGAGTAAAGTGCCAGGGATGTAGGTCAGTGCAAAGGTCCTGGTACTGCAAAGAAAAAAACCCCGCTGATTAAACAATTCCTCTACTTTAAATTAATCTTAAATAAAATGAGTGGTGTGAATCCTTGTGGTGCTGTCCAGAGACACCCGACACCACACTCCTGTCCAGCCCTCTCCCTCCTCGTTCAAGATGGGAACCCGGCACAACTCCCCTACCCCATCAGGCCCTGGGTAGATGCAACTCTTTGACCCAGCAGGTGGACCAGAGCCACATATGCTAATGCTCCCAGGGCAGGGCTGTCTGCCTCCCCTCCCCTCCCCCAGATCCCTTCCCTCCCCCTCCCTCCCCTCCCCTCCCCGTTCCCCTACTCTCTCCTCCTGCACAAGGCAGGAGGTGCTGGGCTCTCCCTGGGAACAGGAGCGGCTTCCTGTCCGCCTCTCCTGCAGCCTCACAGCCTTGCTCCAATGTCTCTGGTCCTTAGCTGGGGCCCCAGGACACACACTGGTCCCCGCCACCCAAGACACCCTCTACACCCCTGCTTGGAGGGCCTGTGAGGTCACGGGGTGCAGTGAGGGCTCTGTCCACTCCCCCAGCACAGGTGCAGGGCCTGGCTGCTGTGGGTCCGGCCCCTTGGGAGCTGAGGTCTTGCTGTGGGTCACACGCACTGTCCTCCACGGTGGAGACACTGGGTCCCTGCCCTGGTCCCAGGCAACCCCTTGGCCGGCCTGTGGGGCCCGCTCAGGACCCCTCACCAACCACTGTCCCATATTTTCTGTGCCGGCAAACACAGTCTTTTTAGGGGCCCTCTTGAAGGTGACCTCCCTAGGGCCAGGGATTTAGCTCAGTGGCACCGCACCTGCCTTGCAAGTGCAAGGCCCTGAGTTCAATCCCCGGTACTAGGAAAAAAAAGTGATCTCCCTTTCCTAACCCACAAATTTCCACCATTTCCCAGCCAAGCTGCACTGGGCACCGACCGACAACCAAGACACCCGGGTCTGGGGTCACAGTGACCCCTCACATGTGCCCCTGGCCTCTGCTGGACGCCCCAGGCTGTTCTGGGGCCCACGACCCCAACACAGAGGCAAATCCTCAAGGGATGGACACCCAGCAGGGACCGGCAGAGGGCTTCCTCCAGGTGGGTGCTCACTGGAGCCACAGGATGGGTTTGGGACACTGACCAGTGTTGGCCCTGATCTGTTCCCTCGGGAGAACTGAAGGCTTCTCTTAAAAGCTGACTCCATGGGTGCTCGCGCGCGCGTGCACACTCTCTCTCTCTCACACTCACACACACACACACACACACACGCACACGCACACAGGCACACTCGCCCGGGCTGGTGGAAGCCCTGGTTCCTCGTGACCCCGGCCTGCCCGGTCCCCACGCTAACCTTGGCGGTGGCCGTGTACTCCCCACTGTCCAGCGCGTAGGCTGGCAGCATGAGGCTCTGTCTGTGGGTGTCGACGGCAGCAGGCAGGGCGACAGGGGACCCTTCAGTGTCTTCGAGGCTCCAGGTGTAAGCGAGGCCCTGGGAGATGTCACAGAGGACGGCAGCTTCAAACGTCACCCCCAGCCTCAGGGGCTGAGCCCGCCACACCTGGGGTGGACAGGGAGGACGTCACGTCAGGTGACAGGTGAGTCACCAAGTGTCTCCTCGACTGGCTGTGTTCTCCCGGGATGGGACCCCGGGCTGAACCTCCTGCAACCCCTCCACTTTCGGTCTGAGGGCCCCCAGGCCAGGAAGACAGCAGGGTCTCGTGGGGGACTCACCCACCCGCAGCATCACCATGTCTGACCTCTTCCCAGAAGGCCCCGTCCCAGGCCCAGGCACAGGCTCCGTCCTGTGGGCCACCCAAGCACCTTTGCCCCAGAAGAAAATGGTGCTTCCCACCCAGGACCGCAAAGAAACCAAGAAACTTTAGAAAGAAAAAAAAAGAAACAAAGAAAATAGCAATCTTTTTGTAACCTATAGTTGGCACTCAACAATGATGTGAAACTTTCCTTTCTCCTGAAAAACACTGCAGTTCTTGTGCCGCAAAAAAAAAACAAAAAAAAGGAAAGAAAAGAGGAACCCGAGCTCCTTAAAGGGAAGGTGCTGACACCAGAGCCGCAGCACAGTGAGTGAGCAAAGGCCTTGTCCACGCCACCGAGCCTCCCGCCCTGAGCAGGCCAGGCGCGGCTCCCAGGCTCCGACTCAGGCCACACAGCCCCGTCTGTCTTGCCTTCCCAATCCGGTCCCGTCCTACCTGGACCTTCCCAGGCCCCATGTTCTTCACAGGAGGCGGCTGGCAGGGCTGGTGCACAACGAAAAGCTGTTTCCTCAGGGAGGCAGAGCTGACGTTGTTGAAGGCCAGGACATGCACGGTGAACTCGCCCTCCCTGCACGGCAGCCACAGAGGGACCGGGGTCGCCCCATCAGGGGTCTTGTTCTGTGTTCATAACGTCTGAGATGTGTGTCTCTATGGTATTTGGTGGCAGCCAGCCCAGGGGCAGGGACAGAGGAGGCAAGGGCCACAGGAGATCTCAAGGGGCCACTGGCTGTCCCGTCAGTGGAGCAGCTGCCCGCCCCACAAGGCCAAGCCCAGATTGATGTCACCCACACCTGACAATACACCGGGGCCATAGGCACGGCTCGGGGCAGCCACAGCCCAGACACAGCCCAGCCACAAGGCCTCAATGGTTTCCTTTTGGGGGGGGCTCCTGACCCGCACCTGAGGCTCCCCAGAACCTGCTCAAGTCTCTGCTCCAGGGGCCGGGCGTCCCGACAACCCCAGGGGTTCAGCAGGCTCAGGAGAGCAGGGCAGCGCCCCGCCCGGCCCAAGCCCACCTGGAAGGTGGGGGCCCAGTGGCAGCCAAGCTGGCAGGCCCTCTTCTGCTAAGGAAATGTACGGACTTGGCAGGTGGCACAACATGGGCCGTCCTTCAGGACTTTGGGATTCGAGACACAGCTCCGCAGGGAGGGAACGCTCTGGAGCTTCCAAGGACAGGAGGAGCACCTGCCATCTAGAGCTTCTGGAACAAAGGCAGGGACCTGCGAGAGCCCAGGGCAGACGCTAGAGCTGGCGCCCAACGTGCCCTGTGCTTTCCAGGCAGCCGGACGGGCTCCTGGAGCCCCTGGGAACAGGCGTCTGTGACAAGCCACCAGCCACCCTTTCTCAGTCCCTCTGCACCAGACTCGGCTTTCAACCAAGAAGTCCTGACCCTGGTGAGCCCTGGGCGTCACCGTGGAACCCGCCCCGGAGGGAGCTGCGTCCTCTGCAGCCCTGTGGTCTGGACACCTCACACAGGGCACCGGGCCATCCCAGGCTGAGCCCCTCTGTGCCCGGCCCTCACGACCTCGACACCTGGACACCACGGGAGGTCTCAGCCCGCTCAGGACCTGGGAGCCCTGAGCCCAGCAATGGGCCTGGCTGCCTGCACTGCCCGAGCTCCTGACCTGGAGATGTTTGAGTCTGGCTTCCCCCGGGCCGGCAACCCCTCGGGGCAAGGCTAAGGAGCTCTTGACAGAGCCAGCTGGGACGCTATATGGTGTCGCTGTCAGCCGCATGATGGCATTTTAGTCCCCAAGACTGTAACAGAGCAGAGCCATGCCCGTGTCTAGCGACGCCAGAGCTGCTGTACGGAGCAGTGCAATGCACGCCAGTGTAGACACAACCACTGGGACTCCAGCTGTGTAAAACTGTAGCACGCAGAGCCACGTACAGGACAAATACCTGAGGCCCCTAGCAAGCGACCGTGTCACTGTCTCTCCTCACTGTCATGCTCTCCTTTATCGGCCTCTGCTCCGACAACTTGCAAAGGGAAAGTTCACCGCGAGGCCGCCTGCCCGCTGCCACAGAGGCTCAGCCACCTGCCTGTCCATTCCGAGGGCATCCAGGGCCACAGCATACGGCTGCCCCACACCACCTGGCCACGGCGACAGATCGTGGGGTGCACTTCTCAGCGTGCACCCCGGTCTCCAAGGGATGTGTGACTGAGTCTCCATAATGCTCACAAAGCCAAATCAAAGACCAGCGCTCACTCTTCATTCTGACCTGAGCCCTGTGGCCCATCTGGGACCTCGCGCTCATCGCCCGCCTCGGTGGCCTCCCAGGCCTCTCACGGCCCCTGGGGACCCCTCCCTTTGGCTCACCTGGGCTGTGGTCTCTGCCACCAACTCCCTGTGACCCTGCCGCCTGCGGCCTCCCACACTGCACTCCCCCTTCACTCCAGTGTGAATGCCTGTGTGGGTCTCCGCTCCTGAAGCACAGGCCTCCCCACACCCGTGTCCCACCGTGGAGGAAGCCCCTGGGCGGGCACCACTCTCCTCCTGGCCTGTGCCCAGCTGCAAGGTCCCCGAGAGCCACAGCTCCAGCGTCCTGGCTAACATCTGTGCCACCCCCGGAGCTCCCCTGCCTCGCCTCGCTCACCTGCTGTAGATGTGGCTGGTGGAGCTGCTGCCCGGGTGGACGGTGCCGTCCCCAAAGTCCCACAGGAAGGCCACGTCGGTGCCAAAATTGATCCTGCACTCGAAGGCCACGCTGGTGTTCACCAGAGCCGTGGGGGCCGAGACAAGCCGATTGGCCCGGACCCGCCGCTGCACCCTGAGCACGTGGGGTGCAGAGACCACGCTGCCCATCGTGCCGGAAGCGGCCACTGTCACCCAGTACCTGGGACAGGAAGGACGTGTGTGGGACAGCACAGCTGCAGGGACCTCACCAGCCCAGCGAGGAGCAGGGTAGCAGGGGCAGATCCTAGGAACAGTCCCATCCCCAGGGATTGTCACCTCCCTGGCCACAAGGGGCAGCGACGCTAAAGGGCTCCCACTTGCCCCTCGGTTCCTGCTCCAGGCAGGGGCGGCCCAGCATCCTCCTCCAAGGAGGAGGTGTCCTGTACCCCACAGCTGAGATGGCATGGATGGGAACCTGGGTGCCTGATTCCAGGGCCCCACTGAGGAGAAGCCAACCAGTCCCTCTTCCTTCAGGTCTTTTTTTTTTTAATTCTAGAAAGGTCTCACTAAGACTCTTGTGATCGTCCTGCCTCAGCTTCCTAGGGTGCTGGGATTACAGGTGTGCACCACTGCGTCCCACACCTCTTGCTTGAATTCTTAAGCTTGAGCTCAATTCACAGAAGTGCCTGGTGGCACATGACAGTGAGCAGGAAGCCCTGGGCATCACCCGGGGCAGCAGGATCACCCTCCTCCCCTGGCCCTGCGTGGTGACGCCCTCGTCCACCGACCACTGGGGGGCGCCGAGCCGTCTCCTGATGCTTCTGGAAGTCGTCCTCACTGGGGGGCCGTCTCCAAAGTGCCAGGTGAACTCCAGGGCTGTGGTTTCCTTGGTGACAGCCACAAAGGTGATGTCTGCGTCTTCAGCAAACACAGTTCCATTTGTGTAGATGGACACGGCTTTGGGAGAGAGGGAAGAGCAGGCTGGTGCAGGCGAAGGGCGGGGTCCACCCAGTGTCTCAGCATGACACCCCACCTGCTCAGGGCCTGGGGCAGGAGCAGAGCAGAGACGTACGCTGCATCTGGTACCACACTGTCACGCTGTGCCAGGCCTGGCTGTGCCCCGCTCGGGCCCGAGAGAGGAAGGACACATTACAGGAAGCCAGCCAGGGGAAGCGGTGCGTCACCCCAGTGCCTGCAGCGAGAAAAGGCACAGCAAGACAAAGAAGCCTTAAAACCAGCTCGATTTGCACAGGCAACACGCCTCCATATTTAAAAACATATAGCAAAGTTAAAAAACTTTCCTGCTTTGAATACCAACACATTTCAAAGTGTGGAGCCCGGACTCTGAAAGCAGACAGGTTGGGAAAGGGGGGCTTTGCCCAGAATCCCCATTAAGATTCCTGTCAGTGCTTTTACCCAGTGGCGGACAGTCCATGCCTTTGCAATGCGTTCGCGGCTTTGCCAGGTGCAGAGCCCATCTTAGCCCCTTCACTAGGTGACAAATACACGAGGTCAGGACCTCATGTGCCTTCACCTCTGTGAGCTCAACACTGAGCGAGAACTTTTCTGCACGCAGGAGAAGACATGGTGCAAGTCGTGTGGAATTCAGGCTGTGGTAACCTGGATGCTGCTGCCGAGGCAGAGCGGGAGGCCGCCGGGCTGTGTATCCTGCTCAGGCCCCGTCACTCAGACTCGGACAGGGCCCTTACCTTTCTGCCCTGGGTGGGAGCCTGCAAAGGTGAGGACTTCATTCTGGTGGGTGCTGCTGGTGTTCATGAGCACAGACACGTGCCCATGGGTCACGGCCACATAGTAAGGCCCAAGCTCCACTTGCGGTCCCTGGTGCCCAAGAATAGCCGCTCGGAGTGCGTAGACGCCCTCTGGAACACAGAGAGAATGGGCATCATGAATTGTCAAAGAGCAGGATGGCCAGCTCCTTGGGTCGGCCACAGAAGGGTGGTGAGGCCAGGGGTTTCTCATCCCCAGCAGCAGCAAGCCCATTTCGTGGGTGCGCACAGGGCTGTGTGAGGCTTAATGAGCTGCTCCTCGATTCTGAAAACATAAAGGGCCTTTTTGTTTTGTTTTGTAAGTAAGGAGCACTGAATATTTTTCACCGGTGCCTGAGAATGATGGAGCCAGCTTTGTACAGTAGGAAATAAATATTCACAGGATGGAAATACATATTATTATCCCATAGCCAGGTGAGAAAGAGGGAGCGAGACAGAGAGAGAGAGAGAGAGAGAGAGACAGAGACAGAGACAGAGGCAGAGGGAGGGAGGGAGGGAGAAAGGAAGGCACTTAGTAAGCAGCCAAATAGGATCTATCAAAGAGTGATTATGGCAGATCACAAAAATAAATGGCCTCAAAATCTCACCCTGTTTTCCCATCCACACGAAAGGACTTTCATGTGACTTTCTGGCTCAAAATAGTACAGAAAAAAATTGCTTATCATGCTACATTAGGAACAGAAATTACCAATAGACCCAGAACGCAGAAAAGACCATGAGTGGAAAGGTTCAAGTTCAGCATCCAGCTCAAAATGGAAAACAAGGAAAGTACAATAGTTACAAAGGCGGGAGAAGAAAATAAAGATCAAAGTGGGAATTAATAAACTAGGGAAAATATAGAATAAACACAACCGCAAATCAAAATAAGCTTTGAAAGAAATAATGTTCTTTAAAGAAATGAATGAAAATTCACTCAGCTTAATCAAAAAACAAGAGGAGAAAGAATAAAATAAAAAAGTAAAAGGAAATAATCAGATATTACTGAAAACTGAAGGATGATAAAGCCCTACTTTGTTGGCCTCTATACAAGTTAATTTGAAAACATGGATTAAAGAGATAATCTCTCTCTCTCTCTCTCTCTCTCTCTCTCTCTCTCTCTCTCTCTCTCTCTCTCTCTCTCTCTCTGAGATAGGGTCTCACTATGTAGTCCAGGGTAGTCTGGAAATCACAGTGATCCTCCTGCCTCAGCCTCCCAAGTGTTGGGATTAGAGGCATGCACCACCACGCCCACTGAGACAATGGTTTTCTAAATGCATAACCTAAAAGAAGTGACTCCAGGAGAAACAGATGTCACAGATGACAGAAGGGAAGTGACAGTGAGCTCCCCTCCTGGAGGGCTGAAAAGGAAATTCTTTAGAAGAAAATAATTATTTCTAATGCTGTTTAAACTCTTTCAGGACAAAAAATTTTAAAAACCACCACATAACAGTGATGCCAAAAATTCCAAACTGTTGCACCAAAGCCAGGGACTTGCAGAGAGGTCCCGTCTGTGAGTAGTGGAAAGTCATGAGCACAATGCTGGAACATTCAGTCCAGGGCCAGATTCAAAAGTACAGTAGCCAGGTGTGGTGGTACATGCCTGTAATCCCAGCATTCAAGAGGCTGAGGCAGGAGGATTGCCATGAGTTCCAGGCCAGCCTGGGCTACATAGCAAGACCCTGTCTCCAAAAACCAAATAAAAATAATGATGATGATGATGATGATGATGATGAAGATGATGATGAAGATGATGAAGATGAAGATGATGCAAATCAAGTGTTCCCTCCACCTAGGGACTCAACACTGATTCTACATTAAGATGTTGGTTAATGCAGCTTGTGACGTGTATAGTGAAGAATAAGAAGAGCATAAGGCCAGTTCCACAGAGGCTGAGAATCTGATAAATTCAACAGCTCTTAATTTAAACAAAAAGGGGGCCTAAGTAAAAAAGGAAAAGATAAAAGCATTCTTACAGGATAAATTATATTTGCTGCAAATCTGGTATGTTTTGGTTTTGCAATACTGGGGATTGAATCCAGGACCTTTGTACTAAGCTACAAAGGCCTGCTGAGTCTGTAGTTGCCTGGGCTGGGCTCCTACTTTCAGTCCTCCTGCCTCAGCCTCTCGGAGTGCCGGGAACACAGGTGTGCGCCATCACACCCACTTCAATGTCAAGTTTAATGGAAAAATAATAGAAGGGTGTGAAGATGAATATGCCCACTGTCATCTGCTAGTCCCACTAGCAGTGTCAGGGAGTCCCGGCCAATGTAATTCACAAGAGAGGCTGCTAGGTCACCATTTGCAAACAATATATTTATGTAGCTGAGAAAAATACTAAAGGAATCTGAGAGGATAACGGTAAACAATGCAAGGACTCAGTAACATGGAGGGGTCTCAGAAAGAAAAGCAAATATCAACAGCTTTTCTAGATGTCAGTGAGGACCAATTTAAGATAAAATGGAAGAGGATATTCTATTTATAACAGCCCCGAATAAACTGTCATAAAAGAACTATGTAAGTCCCACGTGAAGAAAGTTAAAAATGTTTCTAAACACACAAGGCAAGACTGACAGGGGCAGGGCACATCCTTCCGAAGGGAAGTTCCCAAATGTAAACACCCAGCAGCAATTAATTTATAAATCAAGCACAATTCAAATGAAATTCCCATGAGAAGAAAGCTTCAAATGTACTACACAGCTAAATGCACACAATGGAAGTACAAAAACACGACAAGATACCACGAGAGAACTGCTTATAAACCTTGGACAAGGGACACAGTTCTAACTATCAGGAAAGGCTCGGAACCCAGAAAGGAAAAGGTGAAAAAAATCAAAATTTCCACATGGAAAAAAAAAAAAATCCATAAGCAAAACCAAAACACAAATTACAAACCGATAAAAAGATATTTGCAACTTATACTAAAAGACCCATTTTCTCAGCAGTGACAAGGGCCCAGCACAACGCCTCTTTCCTTGGTTAAAGGTGTGCACTGTTGTTCTTCCACGCCGCCCTCCTTCCCGCCCAGAACCTCCTGCCCCCAGGCCCCGCCTTCCTGCCCCCAGGCCCCGTCTTCCTGCCCGCCTTCCTGTGGCGCCGTACCTTTCCCGTACTGGTGGAAAGCAGTCACCTCGGTGGCCGCAGTCATGCTGCAGAGCCTGACTTCGGCCCCCACACTGTCCCCGAAATCCACCAGCAGGCGAAGAGCCGCTCGGGAAGCCAGGTGGACTCGGAATCCCAGAGCCGGAGCAGCCCGGGCATCCGTGTCTGGAGAGCAGCAGGCAGCGGGGTGCGCGGCATTGTCAGGGTCTCGAACGAGGACGGCCGCAGGAGGACACGGAGTCAGGCGGCAGGGCCTCTGGGGACCAGATGGGGACCCGGGCAGGCTGGGGGTGCGGGCGGTGCCAGGCAGGGGGCCCAGCGAGCTGTGGGGGCAGGCAGAGACTTCGGGGTTCAGGGTGTCTGACGGGGTCCCAGACGCGTCACCAGGAGGGACAGGGGTTGGAGTGAGCAGCCGGGCAGGGCTGCGGGAGAAGCAGAGTGAGAAACTGAGGGAAGGCATCCTCGTTGGCCCTCCATCTGAGCCCTGGCCAGCAGCACCAGCACCCGTGGGTGCCAGGACACCCGGGCCTGCTGAGTCAGAACCGCAGGCTGGGGCCGGCAGCCCGCGGGTGACTTGGGATCAGCAGAAATGCAGCTACAGAAATCAGAGCAAACACACATTTTTCCTCCACACTGAATGCGTGGATCTGAAAGACGGTGTCCGCTGCTCCCGTGAAAGGCTCTCATGGACCTTACTTGTCAAAAGCTGCTGCAAGGGAGGCACGGGGTTCTGGACAGTTAGCAGCGGGCAGCACGACTGTCACGGTTTGGACCAAGAATGTTTCAGAAGGCCTCCTGCACTTAGAGGTGGGCTCTTGGAAGGAGACAGGACCAGGCGGCTCGCAGCTGGAGCTGGGCCTGGGACGAAAAGGAGGCCCCTGGGGGCACGGCCCGAGGGTTCACCTCCCTCCTCCCATCTCTCTCTGCCTCCGGGGCTCCGTGATGTGAGCAGCTTCCCTACACTAGGCCATTTCTGCTTTGGCACTGGCAGACTATGGACAGAAACCGTGAGCCAACATACACCTCTCCCCCTTTAAGCCATGGGTGTCAGGTGTTTTGTCTCAGCAGTGAGGAAAGTGACTAAGATACTACCCCGGGGCAAGACTCCTCACACCAGAGCGCAAACCCTGGAGGAAGTGCAGGGGTCTCTGTGTCTTTGTTTTTCAGTACCAGGGACTGAGCCCAGGGCCTTCACACTTAGCTGCAGCTGCAGCTCTATGTTATTTCTTATCTGGAGACTAGGGCTCGCTCAGTTAGGAAGTGTCGCCAGGCTGGGCTTGAACTTGCAACCCTCTTGGTTTGGTCCCCTGAGTGCTGCAATTGCAGGAGAACACCACTAGGCCCAGCTAAGCTGAGGACTCTCATGGTCAAATCTCATCTCCCCGAGCCCCTCCCGTGCCAGGCTGTGCCCATCCCTGTGGACACAGAAGACGGCCTCCGTCGGCAGCACTGGCCAATCTGAAAACAGCAGGGCCTCGCGGCCTGGGGCGCTGACGACTCAGCCCGAGGTGGCGCTGTGACCTCCCAGCACTTGGGGCCGTGTCAGGTGAGAAGGGGTCACCCTACCTCCTGGGAACGGTGGGGAGACCAGAAGGCGGCCCCCCGAGGAGAGCTGGCTGGGTGGTGGCCTGCGGGGGCCCGGCGGCTCCGGTGGGGGCCCCTGAGGTGAGGACCCCCAGGAGTGGGGCCTTGGCGGGGTCCTCTGCAGAACGAAGCAGCTGTCTCCAGCCACAGCATGGAAACGTCCTCAGATTGTAGGGGCCCGTGGCCGAGGAGCCACCCTGGAACAGAGCAGCTCATGACGGGGCGGCTCTCATGGCCTCCGCCAGGGCCAGCGATGGCACCATGTTGACAGCAAGATCGTTTATGAAGTGTGATCAAAAATTTGGTGAATGCTGAAGTTGAAAGGTACAAATTACAGTAAAGGGCACGTCGCCAGGAATACCCTCAACGCTCCCCTTCACTTCCAGCACCCTCATTCCGTCGTCCTTGCCCCTTCCTGCAGCAGCTTTGGAGTCCCCTTTTCTGTCTTTGGTTGGGCTGTCCTGGCTGCCTCGATCTCCTGAACTGATTCAAAACATTTCCCTTTCATGGCCACTGGGACTCTGGGGAGGAGCCAGAAGTCGCACGGTGCTGGATCTGGTGGACAAGGTAGATGAGGGTGCAGCATCATGTTCTTATGAGCTGCCTTTCTGCTGGATGGTGCTTGGCAGCAGTGTTCAGTGTGTCTCTGATCACACGTCATACAGGCCCTCGGGAAAGAGGACTCCAGAGCTGCTGCAGAAAGCGCCAAGAACGGTAGGACGAGTGTTCAAAGTGAGGGGAAGGATTTTGAGGGGGATTCATGGCAACGGATGGTTTACTGCAATCAATTTTTTCAACTTTTAATTTAAACATCCATCACTCCTATATAGTTTCCAGCATCATCCCATCAAGTGAAAGGAGCACCTAGCTGGTACCCGCGGGGACTCCACACCAGGCGTACCCGATCAGGAGTGTCAGCATGGCTTATTGCCAAGAGTTCGTGGAGCTCCTCAGCTACGCTAAGAGCAATCAGGTGTGTGCTGTGATCGGCTATCATGAACCTGACGCTGAGGGACCACATTCTCACAGACAGCAGTGCTGGGATGATGTTTCTCTCCCCTGACTGCAGCGAGAAATTTCAGTTACGCCCTCAGAGGTCTGCAGAGCCCTGGGGACTGAGAAAGGTGAGCTCAGTGTCCCTCCCAGTGCCCCCGATGCTTCCCAGCAGCAGGCCCGACACCAACCTCGTGTGTCCCCGAGAATGGAGCTTCCGGTTCCCCAGGCGCCCACTGCTGCCAGCGACAGGAGCCGGGGCCACCGCTGCCCAGGACGGTCGTGATGGTAACAGATGTCTTGTGGGGGGCTCTGGAGAGCAGGGAAAGGCAGAGAGGCGGGGAGAACGGTGCTTCAGCCTTGCCTTGGTGCATCCAAGGGCCGGCGTGCAGTCTTGCTGGGGGAGCCTGCTGCAGACTGGCTCTAGCAGGTCCCGAAGTCTCCTGCCTCTGTGTGGCAGGGGCACTGTGCGCATCAGTGGGTTCCCCCAGGGATGAGGTCGCTGTGCGCTGTGAGGAGGTGGGGCCTGGCTGGAGGGGCCACTGGGGGCGTGGCCGGGACCCCCCCACCCCGAGCAGGGCACAGCTGGCTCTGGGCCTGGCCCGCTTGGGCCCAGACAGGTCCCCCCACCCGCACCCTCGCTTAGGGCCTCACCCTGTCCACCATCTGCATCTGCGCTGGTGAAGGCAGGCTGTGGTGACCCCCAGGGGCCACCCACCCGGCTCACAGTGCAGGACGCGCCCGGCCCAGGCACTGCCACTGCCACTGCTACTGCTACCAGGGCTGGGCTGGGACGCAGAGCCACTGCTGAGCAGCCCAGGGAGAGCCCTGCCGTTTTTGTTCTTGTTTTGTGCTACTGAAGATCGAATCCCGGGCCATTTCCCTGAGGCACCCTGAGGCCTTTTTATATTTTTTATTCTGAAAAGAATTTTGCTAAGTTGTCCAGGCTGGACTCACACTAGCGATCTTCCTGCCTCAGCCTCCCCAAGTGCTGGGATGACAGGCATGTGTCACCGCTCCTGGCCCCGGCGGTTCACCCTCAGGAGACCCAGGGTGGGGACAAGAACCACATTTCCATTTCCGGTGGTGACCCCACATGTACTCCATCAGTCCACATTGCTGAAATCCTAAACAATTCCTGAAAATAAACTGCGGAAGTCTCTGCTTGATGCTAGCGTGGGGCGGTGGGGCCGCCCCCAGGAGGATCCAGGGGAGGGAGGGTTTCTCCTGGTGGCAGGGGCTCGGGACAGGTGGAAGGACAGGTGCCATGGGCTCCAAGGCCGGAGCAGCCTGCGAGGAGGGAAGGGGATGGGTGTCCTGAGAACAGGTCCCTGAGGGCCATAGCCCTGAGCCCCGCACCAGGGACAGTCGCTTCTCGTCTCTCTCATTTCCTCCCACAAAGACTTGGGGTCCCTGCCAGTCTGGGGCGCTGTCAGGGTACGGTGTGGGCCTCCTCCTCTTTCTGTTTTTCCACATACTGCTGTGGCCGCCGGCTTGGCCTGGCCCTCAGCCCTCGGCCTCGCTGCTGGCCTTGCGGCCCCGCACCCTGTGTCCTTGGATTCGTCCCCCACCACTCCCCATCTGCTCTCCGCGACATCAGGCAGCGGCCCCTGTGCCACCACCACCCAGACTGGGCTTGAGTACACTGGCCTGGGGAGTTGTGCGTGGCACACAGCAGGCTTCCACAAGTTGGGGGATCTTAGGGGGACTGGAAAGGATAGGAAAGGAAAGGAAAGGAAAGGAAAGGAAAGGAAAGGAAAGGAAAGGAAAGGAAAGGAGGGACTTAAACCTCCAGTGGCCAAGAGGAAAGGCAAGTGTGCTGGAGGTGGTCAGCAGGCCCCAGACTCGTCCAGCTGTCCCTGGCCACACCAATGGCCACCGCAGTCACAGCCCCCAAACAATGGCACAGGCGACATAAGCACACTGCGTAGGGCAGACGAGTCAGCTCAGCGCGAAGCCAGAGCTTTAGGGCAGCAGAGCTGCTTCTCCTCAGCGCCTCCCATGCATTTCCTACAACTATAGCTCTCAGAGGCCAGGTGCACGTGCGAATCACACTCACTTCAAAATTTCACATACCTACTGCTATTTTTGAAGTGTGCAAAAAAAAAAAAAGCCAGCATAAAATTTACCACTGTGCCCCTTTTTGAGGGGGCCTGTTTGGCTTTGTTTTGTTTTTTTGACACAGACTCTCACTATGTAGTTCAGTCTGGCCTTGAGCTCACTGTAGCCCAGGCTGGTCTCAAATTTGAGGTGATCCTCCTGCCTCAGCCTCTTGATTATGGGCATGTGCCACCAAGCCCATCTAATTTCTAAAGAGCACAGCTCAGTAGTGTGACAACATTCAGGTTGTCATGCTGCAGTCTCCAGGACTTTAATCTCGTGGAACAGACTCGTTCCTGTGAAGCGATTCTGTTCTCTCCCTGCTGACCTCCTCGCTGAGCCCCTGAGACCGGGTTTCCAGCCTCGTGAGGATCCGGTGCATTTCAGGAAGAAACAGCAGGAATCCACGGTCACAGGAGAGGGCTGAGCTGGCAGCCGAGACAATCTGAAAGCTCGTCACACGTCGGACCCCACATGTCCCCCCGAAACCCATGGGTTGCAGCCTTGCTCTCCAGGGTGGTGCCACTGGGGTCTCTGGTCCCTGGGGTGCACGTCCTCAAAGGGGACCATGGGACCCCAGTTTCTCTCTCTCCCCATGGTGAGCTGCAGCTCCACATCCTGGAAGCCAGTCAGGGCCTGGAACTGGTAAAACTGAGCCCAAGCAACCTCTTATGTAGAAGCTGATTATGTGGGGTCTTTCTGTTACAGCACCAGAAAACTAACACAGGACTCAGTGCGTCCACCTGGAAGATGGGGCTGCGAGGCCCCGGAGGTGAGTTCTCGGGCAAAGCTCACACCGTGGTGAGGGAGGAGTCGGTGTCTGCAAAGGGCCAGAGGTGCCCAGCGCTGATGCAGCCCCGGCGCTGCCTCCCTGACTCCTCCAGGCTCCCGGCCTCTGGTGCGGCGGTGGACATCATGGGGCTCCCCGGGCCTGGCCTGGCTGTGCCTGATGCATGGACCCGGGGGAGCCCCGAGCCCAGCTTTCCCTGGCCTTGACATGGCTGGAATCCAGGGGCCTGGCTCCAGGCCTGCTCTTCCCAGCTGGCTCTGTGCCCCTCATGCTCCTGGGGACAGAGGCAGGGACCCACCTCCATGCCCACGGGTGAGGGAGTCGGCCTCAGCATACACGTTGGTGACCCCCAGGACTGTGCAGTGGCCCATGTAGGATGTTTTGTCTCTCTTGGGTGTCTTTGAAATCCACCCAAAGTATATTTTTATTTAAACAAGCCTGCTAGACAGGTGAAAGTGGTTTTTCCAATTTTCTTAACCCCGGCCCTGGATGTAATAACAGGAGTCACCACAAGAGGGAAGACGAGGACTCTGAAGCACTTAACCAGGTGGGAGATGGGGGTGCATTCTGAAGGTGAAGACAGTCACCAGGTTGACGGCTGCTGAACAGTTCGTTTTCTTGTCTACCCTTAACTGCGCTTGTCTTCCAAAGGCCAGGAAAATGAGACAATAAAAAGCAGAAAGGAGACAGCTTTGGGACCATGCACATCATACCAAAAAACCTGAAGGATTTTAAACTGGGTGTGGTGGCGCACGCCTATAACCCCAACACCTTGGGAGGGTCGAAGGTTCGAGCCCAGCCTGGGCAACCTAGTGATTTAGTGAGATCCTGCCTCAAAGTAAAAAATTAAAAAGGCTCATGGGGCCGGGGATTTAGCTCAGTGGTTCCACCGCCTACCTTGCCAGCGCAAGATCCTGATACAAAAAAAAAAGGTTCAGTGTAAAGGCTCTAGGTTCAAACCTCAGTAAAGTAAGTAAACAAATAAATAATTTTAAAATCCCAAAGGATTCATCTGGAAGGCAGACACAATTGAGCACAGAGCCAAGTTGACTTATCTCTCACCTGGACCCCACAGTGCTCCGCTTTTGCTGCACTAGGTGAAGTAACCCCAGCCTGGACCGAGCCCCCAGCCCTCTGTACACCGCACACCCCACATCAGGGGACAGCCCAGCCCTGTCCCCAGGAGGGTGGGCAGTGCCTTCTCCTAGTCCTAGAGATTCATTCAGATAATGCAGCAGAGGGGGGAGTTGGGAGGGGATTTAAACCCAAGGCCACTGTCCTTGTCCCTGTCAGTGAGGGAGCCAGGCCGGGCTCAGCAATGTTGCTACAGAGGTGGCACCTGCAGCCTTTCCCGCAGTGTGCTGTTCCAGGGGCAGGGCTCAGATGCTCGGGCACCCCGTGCCCTAAGGGGACGAACGGAGCCACTTGTTGAATTGGTCAGGCTCTGAAGGCAGGAAGGGACCAGGACAGGACACCTGCTTCCTCCACTTGCTGATTCTCACCACCAGTTAAATACTGCCATGCAGGGAGCTTCGGTTCAGAGATCTGAGATGGCTGCACAGGTACGAGCCAAAGCCTAGGCTTCCTTGTGCCTGGGCTGGATGTTGAAACCAGGCTCCTGATGGAAACAGCCCCGCACGGCTGCCTGCGTGGAGGCATGGTGGGTTTCCTTCTGTTCCTTTATGATCTGAACTACTGGTTTAGATCAGAGGCATTCTACTGATCAAGTTCACTGTATCAGTCAACTTTCCCATTGCTGGGCACAAACCCAACACCCACAACTCTAAGGAAGAGAGGTTTAATGTGGCTCATGGTTCCAAGGGATTCAGTCCATGGTCAGCTGTTCCAAGGCAGGACCATCATGGCGGAAGGACACAGCCAGGAAGCAGAGCAGGGGAACAGAGCCAGAGAGGAAGGGGCCAGGGACCAGATATGGTCTCCGAGGCCACCCCTCCATGACTCCCCAGACACACCCAGCAGTGTGCTCCCCAGTCCTCAGGGTAGGTCCCGAGGCAATGAAGTTCACCTTCTACCCTAACCACCATCTGGGAGTGGGATTCTAAACATTGCACCATCATAACCCCAAGCAAAGATCTAAGTATCCTAGACTTTCAAAGGATATTGTTCCATCTGACGTATCCATATTGTTTTAAAGAGCAGGTATCATAATTACGAGCCAGGTGGGCTATAAATGGTGGCCCTATTGCAGGAGAGATGAAATTGGGAGGAGAAGCAGGGTCTCACACACCACACACACTGCACACATACATGCCACATGCCTTGGCCACCTCTGTGACTCAGGGCCTGGCACAGCCAACGCACCCTCTTCTCTCTGTACAAAGGAGACCACCAGTGCCAGCTTCGGTGACCCAAGGGGCTCCAAATGCCACAACTCCGGAAACGGGCCTCCAAGTCAATCCAGTGGCTAACACCTCATATTTACATATTTGACATATTTGGTCTACAAGTTGTAGAACTTGTAGGGGAAAGATGAAACCATCAACTCCCATTCTTCAATTTTTCTTTTCTCTTAAAAGAAAAAATTTTTTTGAGGTATTGCAGATTGAACTCAGGGCTTTCACACTGAGTGACACTCCTACCCCCACCCCAAATTTTTTTATTTTGACACTGGGTTTAGGTAAGTCACTAAGTTGCGTAAGCTGGCCTCAAACTTGTGATTCTCCTGCCTCAGCCTCCCAGAGTGCTGGGATGACAGGCGTGTGCCACCAGGCTCAGCTTTGCTCTTCTGTTCTGAGAATGCAAAGGTAACTCCTTGCCATTCTGACTGATTACAGTGAATGTGAAATATGCCAACACGTAGGCTTTGAAATGTTAAAGGAAAGAAAAGCAAGATAGAAAAAATGTCACTGAACAACCTGGAGCTGACCTGGGCCGGCAGAGCTCCCTGTGCCAGGGCCCTGGCCCCCATGCGCCACTCAGGGTAGTCAAGGGCTGGAGATCCAGCCATGCTGAGTTCCCACATCTCTGCAGGGGCTGAGTTCAGCAGGTGGCCTCGGTCTGTCCCCTGCAGCCGCAGTGGCCCTGGTGCCCAAGCACCTTGGCTTGGCAGGAAGGGCTCGGGACAAACCCTCCCTCCTCACACCCCTGGGCACCCTGACCCTGCCAGGCCACTGTCCCTGCTGCTGCAGCACCAGAGATGCCAAGTGGCCGCCGCCCCAGGCCACAGTGAGCCTGGACATCCCCCCAGGGGCAACTTTTCCAGGAACAACGCTAAGAACTCATGGGACCCGAAAGCATGCAGACCCTCTGGGGGCAGAGCTGGGATTTCAGGACAGATTTGAGGTTCCCTAAATTAACATCTGAGGGCCAAGCTGGGATCCGGCTGCACCATCGCAGAGAGCAGCCAGGTTGGAGCCTCATTCTGGGCAGGCACAGTTCTTCCACCTCCTCTAACCTCACTCCCTTTTGCACCTTTTCTTTTTTCCAGTGACAGTGGGATATTTCTCTTGGAAGAAACAGATCTGCATGCATGCAATGTAGTTCAGCCCGTCAGCCCCGAGCAGCACTGGCTCACCGTTCAGGGCCAGTGGAGACGCCCTCTGCCTTCACTGAAGCCTCGCCCTGTGCCCGGGGTGGCTGGACACCGCAGTCAGCCCAGCAGCTTCCTGGAAGACAGCGAGATGGAGGTGCTGAGTGCTCCTTCGGGGATGTGCATCATGCCAAGCACGATTGAAATACATAGTGAATGTTTAAATTAAAATGCATTAGGGTAAAAGACACACTGCATTGATCTCAGTTGAGTCATTCTCCCTTCCTTTGAATACGCTTATCCCATCGTTCTTGCCACTTTCTGCAGCAGCTCTGGAGTCCTCTTTCCTGAGGGTCTTTATGAAGTCTGATTAAAAAGCACAGTGAATGCTGCTGCCTGGTGCCGTCCAGCAGAAAGGCAGCTCACAAAAGACGACGCTGCGTCCCCATCCACCTTAGTCACCAGATCTGGCACCCTGCGACTTCTGGCTCCTCCTCAAAGTCAAGAAGATGTAAAAGGTCAGCATTTTGAATCTATTCGGGAGATTGAGGCAGCCAGGACAGCACAACTAAAGGCACTTAGGGAAGAGGGCTCCGGAGCTGCTGCAGGGAAGTGGCGAGAGCTGGGTGTGGTGCTGCACACCTGTAATTCCAGCACTCAGGAGGCTGAGGCAGGAAGATCTCCAAAAGTCTGAGGCCAGCCTGGGCTACATACTGAGTTCAAGTCCAGCCTGAACTATATAGTGAGACCCCACTCAAAAAAAAAAAAAGTGGGAAAGACAATGGGATAAGTGTGTTCCAAGAGAGGGGACTGTGAAGGGGATTCATGGCAACATGTCACTTACTGTAATATGTTTTTATTTAATCTCATGTGTTCTTTTTATCATGCTGAGAAAAAAAAATACACTCTGCCAAATGACATTTTCCCAACTAGAAACAGCTTCACCGCCCAACACTGTGGCAACTGTCTTGGCCCGGGGTGTGCTTTCAGGAGGGTGTTTGTGCTGCTGCCCGGAGAGAGCGCTCCTCAAGGCCGCCAGGGAAACTGACACGCTGGTGCTCAAAGCCCAGTGCGGCAGGCACCGACCTCAGCAACCGCGCTCCGGGAAGAGCAGCCCGCAGTCCCCAGCCGCCTTCCCCTTGGTCATTCAGAGGCTGGGACCCCCGCCCCGGGGTCCTGGGGATCGAACTCAGGACTTTGCACTAAACTTCGCCCTCAGGCCTTTCTACCTTTTATTTTGAGACTGGATCTCTAAGTCACCACGTGGCCCAGACTGGGTTCCAGCTTGGGACCCTTCTGCCTCAGCCTCCCAGGGTGCTGGGATGAAGGCGTGCACGCCCCCGCGCCCCATCGGCCCTCGCTAGTTCCCTTCACTCTGCATCAGCATTTTAACGCTCATAGTAGAAGTTTTGCAAAACTTGCTTTTATCCACATTTTGCTTCGAAGATGAATCTGTATTCTAGTTTATGAATTCACATTCAAGTGTGACACGGCCTCCTCCTCGGAAGGGACGGGTCCCTGGGAGGGCGAGGGAGGAGCCCGCAGGCCCCTTGTCCGCAGTGGGGAGGGAGCCGGAGCCCGGGGTCTGGGGACCAGCTGGTGATTGAGGCGCCCCGTCCTTTCCTTCCGGCTCCCCTGGTTCCTCCCCAGCGTGTTTGTTGGGCGTAAATCTGAGCGACTGGGGGCGCTGTGGCCCCAGGTTAGCGCCCTGCCGGTCAGCGCTCCTGTGCCACCCAAGGAGCACAGCGGGCTGCTCGGTGCCGGAGGCCCCGGGGTTTGTCACCTCCCTGCTAATCTGAAGCCTCCGCCCACAGGGCCCTGGGTCAAGACACCTGTGCCGCACACAGAGGCCCCTCCCGCTCCTCTCCTCGGGCTTCGGGCAGTGCCCGCCGCAGCAGAGGCCCCTCCCGCTCCAATCCTTGGGCTTTGGGCAGTGCCCGCCGCAGCTCCGGGTTCGGACAGCAGGACCAGAAGGGGAGCAACGGAAGTGACGTCAGCGACCGGCCCGGCAGTTCGGGAGCCACAGGCACCCGGAGCCCAAATGCAGTGAGATCGGGAAGGAGCAGCGGGCAGAGGTTTCTGTTGTCTCAGGGCGGCCGGGGCCTCGCGGGCAGAGCAGCCCCGCATCACTCTCCGCAGGGCTGTGGGCAGCAAGCAGCCCTCCACACCCTCAGCCTGCGTCCTCGGACCGGGGGCCTGCGCTACCGTTGGCCCTGCAGAGACCAAATCTCGCTGTGGCCTCCGCAGGCAGAGGGACATGCCACCTAAGGTCAGACCTGGTCACGACCAAGGGAGCTGGAAGATACACTTAGTTCTAAAACCTTCAAGTACAGCCGGGCATGGTAATGCACACCCGCAATCCCAGCATTCTGGGAGGCTGAGGCAGGAAGATCACAGGCTCAAACTCAACATGAGCAACGCAGCAAGACATTGTCTCAGAATAATAAAAAGGATTGGGGATATAGCTCAGTACAAAGGCCCTGAGTTCAATCCACACAACTGCCCAAAAAGCAAACAAAACCTTTAAGTATGAAAATTCTGGGTGAAATTAGCCAAGTGGCCTCTGAAATGACCCCTTTTAAGAAGCCATTGTCTAAGCTCCCCAGTTAGGAAACATCAAAGACTCTGAAGGATCCATCTGTCCCTCTGACTTGATAATGACAGAAAGGGGGACAAGAGAAGAATGATTTCATTTCTTTGCCCAGTGTGTGGGTGGCATCTAACAGCACCAGGTTCCAGTGTGCAGCACCAGGCGGGAGCACACAGGAAACGCAGGGAGACGACCCAGAGGGACGTTTATCTCAGCCACCGACTGTGCCCCATTCTGGTCATTATTACTCAGGATGCGTGTGCCTCAGTTTGTCCCCTTCTTTTTTTGGTACTGGGGATCTAACTCGGGACCTTGCACTCGGAGGCAGGTGGTGGCACCACTGAGCTAAATCTCCGGCAGTTTCTCCCCTTCTAATGGCGCACGCTGGGAACTCACCAGGCCACCTCACTTGACCCCCTCATGCCTTGCAGGGCCCTGTGAGTGACTCACTTCCACTCTGGCCCCGGAGCCTCGTCGGTCCCACCCTAGCCCACACACGCGGGCTGCTGAGCAAGAAGCATCACGGGGCTCACTGGGGTGCAAGATGGGGTGTGGGACTTACCGCCCTGGGAGCTGCTCCCCAGCCTGGGCCCCACCAAGGGCAGTAGGACTGCGGCTCCCATCATCACCTTCCAGGCTGGGCTTGGGCCACCGGCTCCCATGGGGCCACCTGCTTGGTACCGAATTGCAGCTGGCTTTGGGCCTACGAGAGCCGGCAGAGAGGTGCACAGGGAGTCCTGATCCGAGGGAACTGGGCTCCCAAACCCGGAGGAGCAGGGAGCCTCCCCTGTATCTGCCCCAGTATCTTGGGACAATCAGCCAATCACAACCTCTCCAACAACCACCCCTCCCAGGAGCTCTGGGGTCCTCGCCCCTCCCAGTATGCTTCTGGGCTGTTTCCTGGGAGACAAACGTCCTGAAAGGTGTGGATCTGCAAGCCAAATGTGTGAGCGCTCTGAGGCTCAGCGGTAGCCCCACTGAGTAAACGGGTCACTGTGAAGCACAGCTGGGAGCCCTGGAATTCGAGGTGTAGGGGCATCGTGGCACTTCTAAGTCCACTTTCCAGCTAAAGAAGCCCTGTGTCACTACCCCTGGCACTACAAGTGGGCACTGGGGTGGGGGTGGCTCGGGGCAGAGCCTGTGTGCCAAAGAAAGGGGGCCGTTTTGTCTTACACAAAGGGAATCCACACAACCACCGCCGTGTTTGTCTTGCTGCGATGCAGTTGGTAAAAGCACCACACACACATTCTCTGGGAACTGCTTCCAGGAGGCCAGGTCATCTCCAGTCTGTGCTTACTGGGCCCCCAGCCCCGCCTCTTGCCTCTCCTCTAACCTGCAGGGTTTTTCCACCTGAGTAAAGACCGCTGGACAGTCGACAGACCCGTGGCCAGTCACCCTGAGGCAGCTGTGTCACCTCACAGCGCAGGGCACGGGCACAGTGTTGTGCGCAGAGGCAGACGGGGTGAGCCCCATCCCTGTCCCCATCCCTGTCCGAACCACCTCCTCCACCTCCCATGGGCTCTGGTTCTCACCTCTTTGTTGTCTGCTTCTCCTCCCCACCACCTGGAGGACCTGAGCAGGATTTTCTCTCCGTACGGAAGGTGGCCACACAGGTGGACTGCTTGATTGATTGATTGATTGATTGATTGATTGATTTGGGGGACCAGGCATCGAACTCAGGACCTTGCGTTTTCGAGGCAGGTGACACCACTGAGCTAAATCCCCAGCTACAGGTGGATCTTTCTAAATGGGGGCCTGCATGGTGACAGAGGCTATGACTTTACACATAGATGCTTTTTAAATTCTACATCTGCACGTAACTAGGCTCTGAGCACAGGGCTGCATGGTCAGCGGGCCTCAGGTGGTCTTTCCCCGAATCCTTCACACCGGAACCTGACGACAACACTCACACGGACTCACGATGACCAAGCCTCGGTCACAGCTCCAGCCGGGGACCCCACGCCCCAACCCATGTCCTGAGGCGCATGCGCAGGAGGCTCTGTCTGGCCCACTGCCCCTCCGCAGGCGGGCCGGTCCTGCGGAAGTGCGCCCCGCTTTTTCCCTGGGGGGCTCTGGGACCCTGACCCTGTGGGACTGCATAACCTTTGTTCCTTTTCTCCAGCCCCATTGTGATTAAATGTGAGTTAATGGATAAAGATGCTTGTTAGTTTTGGGACACTAGATAAAATCTGTAACAGACCTAAAGTCCCAAAGTAAACTACTCAACTCCTTGTTTGCCCCGAACTGATGTTCCAGACACCACAATCTATAGAACAAGCTGCAAATGTCTGCTGACCATCAATACATGACAGTTGACCACTAACCTTTGTCCCTTTTCTTCAATTCTATATGTTAACCTCCCCCTCAACCTCCTATAAGAACAGCCTCGGACTCTGAGCCAGTCGCCTCTCTAAACTATTTTGCTTTGGGAGTGCCGTCTGGCCAGACTAATAAAGGTCTGTTTTATTTTCCAACTTGTCTGGTGTGTTCCTTCCCGGGTGTTCTTCTGTGCAGTCAGCTCCTCGGAGCGTTTGGTAAGGCCCTCGGTCTTACAACCCCTTCCGCCCCTCTCCTGGCCGCTCCACCACAGGTGTCCACCCCGATGCGGCGCGCCCAGCCAGCCCCAAACCACAGCATGAGCCAAGCAAACAGGAATTTCACAGCAACGGGAAGCTGGCAACGGCAGACTAGATCCTCCTTGGTCACACGGCAGCTGGGTGCAGTTCCCGAGCCCGGCACAACTTCAGCATGACCAATGGTAAATTTAATTTCCTACTCGTGAAAATAAGGATGTGCTGTGAAAATGAAGCCTAAAGTCTAAGTTCAGGAAACTGAGATTCCCAGCTGGGTACTACAAATAATATTCAAACAACAAATACTCAATAAATATTTATTTAGTCCTGTAAAAATATGCTTGTTACAAAGTTGGTTACAAAATTGTTAGAAAATATGTCAGTGTACAAAGATGAAATAGGATCCACCCAGCAATCGTGAGGCTGAGACGCTGGTGTGAATCAGGGTGTTTCCATCACAGTGGACAAACCGGCATCCAGACTACTGTGAACAACTGACTACAGCCTTAAACACTTCCTCCTAGCCACGCTCTTTTCCTGTAGGTAGGTAAGAGAATGAAACACTGTATTGAGCCATAGGTCATCCAAGAACTCCCCACTCACCACGTTTAGGATACTTTGTTTCTTCCGTGTAACAGCATCAGGCACTCTTAGTATAACCCTGCACTGTTACCTGTTTAAAGTAACCTGTGAAATGGTCGCAAACATGAAGGCATGAAGCTAGGGAGACTTACATACAATAACCCAGGCACAGACGATAAACACGCTACTTCTTGTGTGAAACTGAGAACCAGATGGTAGTTCCGGAGGCTGGGCTCCTCGCTACTGCAGGGCAATTTCAGCGACATGGGAGGAGCTCAGTCCAGGACAGAGGAGACAACCACACAAAGACTCCGAGGAAGCAGGCAACCGGCAGGGCTGGGCCGGCTGACGGTCGGGGGTCCTCGGTCCTCTTTACCCACAGGGAAAATGCTCTCCAGCTGGTGGCAGTGGCGGCAGAACACAGCCACAGTTCCTGCCTCAGGACCAACACTGAGGCCTCTTCTGGCCCTAAGCAGGGGCTCTTATGCAGTGTGGGACCCAGGATGCAGCCCGGGACAGGCCAGGTTCATCTGTGGCTCCCCCACACACAGATGTGCTCCTCCCGGAACATGGGGTGTGGTAACTGCGGAAGGAGCCCCGGGATCTCACCGGCCTGGGACCCACCTGAGCCCTGCTGAGCAGCACCGTGATCCGCACGCAAACCCGCCGGGGAGGGAAGCGGAGCTGCACACTAGCAATTCCAGCCAGTGGCTCTGTGGCGGGCCCGAGGGGGGCACTCAGCCTTGGGCCTGTCCCAAGGTCCAGATGCGACCCTCACGGCCTCTGAGTAGCCAGGCTGTGCAGAGGGGACCGAGGGCGCCCAGGATGGGGACAGGCAGAGGCGGGCGGGAGCAGCGTGCGACTTCCCGGGGCTTCACTCTGAGGCCCGGGGCTTCATCTGCCCGCAATGAAAAAAGGAAACTGGACACATTCTAGCCTTTCTTCTCAATATCTTAAAACCAAAAACAAAGCAAAAGGAAAAAACACCCCAGAAACGAGCGATCCGTCCTGTCCAGTCACTTCAGTCTGGCACGGAAGAAGGGGGCGGAGGGGGCCTCGCAGCTAGGACAGCGCGGGGATGAAGTACTGCAGGCAGACGTCTTCGTGGAGCAGATCCAGGTGCACCATCCGGCTGCTCACCAGGTCTGCGGAGAGAGACCGAGGCTTAGCCACCTGGGGCCCCTCCACACCCGCCTCAGCCAGGCTCTGCACCCTGCAGCGCCAGCAAGTGTCCGTGTCCTCGGCCCGAGGGGGCCACAGCCCAGGCCACGCCACCCCTCGTCCCTGGGACAGAAGGAAGCGCAGCGCTGGGCCTCAGGAGGAGACCAGAAGCTGGCTACGGGCAGGACCCATGCCCGGATCGCGAGGAAGTAACGCGTGTGGCAAGAGCCCTGCGTCCGACATCTGCCCTGTGCCCCTGCCACCTCCCCTCCCGGCCTCTCCCGCTCTCCGATCTCCGCCGCACACACCCGCACCCCGAGGCTGCAGGTGGCACAGACAGCCAGCCGGGCTCCTGCTCAGCCTGCCCGCCACCCCACAGAAGCTGCCCCTCAGGCCCGGGCCTCGGTTTCCCTGCGGGCTCGGAGATGGGGAAGCCCGGGCCAGAGTCAGCCCCAGAGGCCGCACTCAGGCAGCACCGGTCACCCTCTGTGGCCACCTTCCGGTCCTTGGGACTCCACGGTGACTGCAGAAACCTAACCATGCCAAGCTCACTCCACATCCGACAGCCCACTTGCCGCCTGTCCGGAACATGAACGTAAAATGGAGGCGACACTCACTGCACAAGGCCCTCGTGGGGTTCACCTGCTGCCCGGCGAGGAACTGCAGCAGCTTCCTGATGTCCACGTGCACCTCGGCCATCTCGGCTGGGTCTCTGTCCCTCGAGGCGTCATCAGAGGCTAGAGCAACACGGGTGGTTCAGATGTGACTCCTTGGGTACAACAGGGAAACTGGAAATGCACGGGGCCTGCTCCCTAAATATACCCCGGCCTCGCCACTGGTCTGAGCACCCCAGACAGAAGCCAGGACTGTGGCTGTCAGCACCGCTAACCGAGCAGGCCTGATCCTACAGAACCCTCCCATACTGCTTAAAACATGGTGGCGCCCGCCACAGGACCTTCATTCACAGCAACGTAAATAGGATCCCACCTGCCCTGAGGACCAGGAAAGGAGTATCTCGTGTGCCCTGGATTTTGAAAAGTTGCAATGTAGAAGCTAATGTGAGGCTGCCCAGCCTACAGTAGACTGCACGGAAGAAAACAGCCTTCCACCTTCTGGGGACGGTGACAGCGAGTTCTGCTGTGCTTATGCAAAGAGACAAAATGGATGACTCTGACGTGCATCCCCTACACAGGCCGCAGAGCTGCACAGGAAGGGTTTTGCCCTGAGGGCAGCCGGCAGTGTAGCAGCCTTCAGTCACTGTGGGGTGCAGGTCCCTCGAGACAAGACCCCATCGTTTGCATCCACACACAAGCGAGCCTGAGGCAGCGAATCCAAATTCCCAGAGCGGCCAGGGCTCCGGTATCTGTCAGAGAACACATGAGTCACAAACGCTTCCACACGGTTCACAGCTTCTTCCACTTGGTCCTGTCTGGATCCTGTACCCCATGTGCTTCCTTCCAGCTTCCTGAGGTGCCCAGTCCTCGCCTCCTCCTCCACTGTGAGCGACCGAGTCCACCATCCTTTATCACCTTGTACAGACGAAGTGCGAGCACGTGTGCACACATCACTTCCTGTCCCTGGTAATCTGGTTTCACGAGCATGGGTGTGAGGGAGGAGAAAATGAGAAGAAACACACCTGCCGTCTGACTGCATCTATCAGAGGAGCACAGGAGCTGAAGGCTGGCAGGGTCTCGGAGGTCACTCAGGTGACCCATGTTCTAGAGGGGAGGAAGGGGTGGCCCCGGGCCCCAGCCCCGAACCCCAGGGCCTGGCCGTGCCACTGTGCTGCAGGGACAGCTGTCCAACTCCGACCCCTCCTGACTCAGGGCCTGGAAGCCACCCTTGGCCTTCGTTACACTACGATACCTCGATGCGTATGTGATCTCAAACAAGTAATTAACCAAAAGCAAAATACAACTCGCAGGAAAACTCACCTAATGGAGGATTTCCGAGATCTTTAAAGTGAGTTGTTACACACACTAAATCAGTTTCTATTTTCAAGTTCAGCTCTCCATTTAGGTTTGCTTCAATAACCTGCAAAGTGAGTGTTACAAAACAGTCTTTAAAAAGAAAAGGAAAACAAAAGGAACAACCCCCTGCCTCCTTTCTGTAAGGACTGAACCCCCTGCCATAACTGTGCACGTACTATGATCAGAAGCAACAAGGGCAGCGTTTATCTAAAAGCTTTGCTGCGATGCTGGAGTCAAGGTCTGCATCGCTGAGCTCTGGCTGCTGTCAGGCACCAGGAGACCCCACCACTTTCCTCCCTCCAGCCCTGTCTTCAAGGCCTGCTCTCCAGAGTGCGGGCACCGTCCCCACGCTCAGGGGCCTCTCCTTCCAGCCCCACCCAACCTGCCAGCCAGAGCACGGCGGAAGCACCCAGTGCTGCGGACTCTGCAGCCTGCCTGTGGGACCCGGGCCATTTCCTGTGTCGCTGCTGCTAGAGCCGGGCAGGTTCACAAGGACAGTGAGCCCTAAGCGGGCAGAAGCATCTGCGGTCCCAAGTCCTTCGAGCCTCGCCCTGGGGACTGTTGCTCACAGTCCCTTCCTGGGCCTTTCTCTCTGAGCTCTGCATCTTCCTCATTCAGAAACAAAATGGAGACCTTCTTAAAAAACTTGAGTGAGTTCTTAATTCTGAGCTTTTGACATTAAACAGAAAAACAGCCCTCAAACTCACTTATCACTTAAAGTAGTAACCTTTTCTATGAATAAAAACCATTCATTTTAAACGGTTTTTCTTCCTTTCATTAGTCAAGAAACATAATTATTACACTTCCTAACCTACAATACTTGACTAAAATCAAATACACAAAGCAACCTTGGGAAGATGCTGGGCCACTCCTGGGGGCCCTGGAAAACTGACCAGATGCAGAACCCTTGGATTCAGGCAATCATGAGCCCAGGATCTGAGAATTCCCGTTGTTTATGAAAAACAGTGGTTTCAGAAATAAGTATTTGTTCAAAGCAACCTGCAACAGCTCTGGACTCCAAGCCCACACACTCTCTTCCGCGTTCTTCCAACTCCTAAAATCTGCACTGTGGAACCTTAGATTCCAAGTCGCTCCCGATCCGCTTGGTGCCTGGCCGAGTGCAATCAACACTTCTACAGGCATCAAGCAGCCGGCTCTGCACAGCGATCTGTCACTGCGTCGGTGTCGGACGAAAAGTCCTCCTCTTCAGTGGGTTCCCTAATAGGCTTTACCTACTGTTTGTTGAATGCCAACTAACTGTACTGGGCACTGTCATATATTATCTCTGAATTCACAAGGAGGGACAACCCCATGGCAGTGCTACTGGCACACCCAGTTAAGGCGACACCCAGCACCAGGGGTCACCCAACCCAGCGTGGGTCCCAACACTACCTCCCCCACCACATCTTGGCGCCTCTAGTGCTGCCATGTTTTAGCCACCAAAGTGGTCCTGGCCTACAGCAGGGCGCAAATCCCGAGGTGCTGCTAGTGGACCTGGTCCCGGACAGGTGCCCTGGGGCTTGCCCAGGAGCTGGTCCAAAACGCAAGGCCTCAGGCCCCATCCAGGCTGCCTGAACCCCGGCTTGTACATCAGAAGCAATGGATCAGGACACGCTGGCTTCCGGGGTATGTGCTCCGTGCTCTGCATGGGCCATGCACACAGCCCAGCCCATCTGTCACCTGCATCACATAAGGGAAGGGAAGCAGTGAGCAGATCTGAGGAGGGGACAGTCAGTGTGCGGGGTCCCAATTGCAGTCCTTAATTCTTTAGTCTGCTGTCTTCAGATACAGAACTCCGGCCCTCAGGGAGCCCACACTGTGCACTGTTCACAGCGCCATGCCTATGCACTTATCTTCCAGGTGGCAATTCCACAATGCTTCTAGACATTTTAAAACACTCCAGGGAAAACACTTCTGAGCATTCTAAGCCCTCTAGCTCTTCACTTTGCTGACTCGTTTCCATGAAAAATGAGGCACAAAGGAGTGGATCCTTCAGCTAATTGGCGGCCACATCCCTCAGGCCTCTCCAAACCTCCTTGAAGTTCCCGTGCCCCAAGGGGGTGGCCTGATGGTGACATGACAGCACTGTCACCAGGGGCACCTGCTTTGGGAGGGGGGCAGATCTCAGACTCATGAGACCGGAAAGCCTGGTGTTGGCCCTGCTCCGAAGCAAGCAAAACTCCAGGGAGAGGGGGTCAAGAACTGAGCTTCAGAAAACTTCTGTGATTTGAAATACCCTTGAAGCTAAATTTCACTCCAGATCCATGGGGCGACACTGACTCTGCCTACTGAGTGACAGCCCTGCGGGGCACTGGGGCAGGAGGACGAGGTTGCCCCTTTCTGGCCGGCAGTCTGGAGCCAGAGATCCTGTGGCTGTCAGGCAGGGCTCGAGGGGGCGGCAGGGAAAGACTGGGATGGACAGGACAGCAGCTTGGTGCTTTCCAGGGATGACAGGAGAAGGAAGAGGTGAGAAACGGGCAGGAACAGGACCCACAGGAAGAGGTTCCAGGGGTGAGCACGAGGCCCCACCTGCAGGGAGGGCCTGGTGGGCAGAGGCAAGGCCCAGCAAGCTGGGCAGTCAAAGGCTGGCATTCACCAGGGGCTCAGAGGCCTCTCAGACTCAGGGCAGAAGCCATGCATTGCGGGGGCAAGTGAGGGGAGGATTCGGGATGTGCCCCAGTATGAATGAGGACAATCTGCATGGTTCCCAGCACTGTCGCGCATGGCAGCACCATGACGTGTGGCAGGAGGAGACCGCAAATTAAACCCAAAACTAAACGCGCCATGAGCTTGGTCTGAGAGCTGTCTGGAACAGACGGCTGCACTGAGGGGTCTCTGTTCTGGACTTCCACATCCTCTGCGTCCAAGCAGAGGAAAGCGGCAGCACAGCAGGTGCCCAGCACGCCACGGCGAGTCCAGTCAAAGCGCCGGGAGCAGGAACAGAAGGATGGGCTATTTGTCTCAAATGCAAGGAGGCTGCCAGAACCAGCGGGTCTGTTCCAAGGAAGGCGGAGGGCTCTGGGGACAGGGGGCCAAGCGCCCTCGGCCAGGGCAGCTCCCCCACTGCAGCACCACCAAGTCCTGGTGGCCCCCGCCCGTGACATGCGCAGGCCGGTGGCCCTCAGAGCTTTCTCCGAAGTCACGACTTACAAGGTGATTGCTGATATTCTTCATTTTCTCCACAACGCTCTTCAGAGTCTTCAGGACTGGTAAGTAGATACTAACCTACGAGGCCAATCAGAGAGCAGAAGTATGAGAAATCTGCTAAGGCCTAGTGCTTCCTAACTCTGGGCCGCATGTGTGCTCAAGAACTCTAAAGCCCTATTTTTAAATTTTCTGAACCAAATTCATTTCAAAATATGAAAAGAAAGACAGTTTTAGAATCTCAGGAACGCACAGGCATCCAAGCAGAAACAATGCCTGCCTCTGGTTACCCTGGTGACCACATCCCTGGGGACTTCTCGGTTGAGATGCCTGTGAGGGCCCATAGGGAACACCTGGCAGCTGGCAGGAGGCCTCCACTCAGGGACCTCTCACCCAGGGGCCTTTCCCGTGCTCCGTGCAGAACACGGAGACGGAGAGAGCCATTGCCTCCTGCTGAGTCTGTGTTACTGCCTTCCCCAGCCTGCAGACCAGGTGCAATTGGAAAACTGTGGATTTAAATTTTAAAAATTATTGTGGTTAAGATATATTGCCATGAATCCCCCTCAAAATACTCTCCTTGGCTTGCAACATACTTGTGTCATTGTTCTTGCCACTTTCTGAAGCAGGTCTGGAGGTCCTCTTTCTTTTCGGTGTGTGTTTATCGTGTGTTTTCTGAGACAGGGTCTCACTATGTAGCCCAAGCTGGCCTTGAACTTGTGGCGATCCTCCTGCCTCAGCCTGCCATGGAAGTCCTCTTTCCTGAATGTCTTTGGCTGCCTTGATGTCCTGAATCAATTTAAAACGTTTCCTTTCATAGTCATTTTGACTTTGGGGAAGAGCTGGAAGCCACATGGTGACAGATCCAGTGGATAAGGTGGATGAGGACACACTGTCGTGATTTTACAAGCTGCCTTTATGCTGGATGCACTCGGCAGTAGCATTCGCCATATAGTGATCACACCTCATAAAGACACTCAGGAAAAAGGACTTCAGAGCTGCTTCAGAAAGTGGCCAGAAAGGTAGGATAAGTGTTTCTGAAGCAAGAGTGGGGGTAGTTTGAGGGGAATTCATGGCAATTTACTATAATAAATTTTTTACAAATATTTACTGTATTTTTCACCCCTCCCCCCAGGTGTCTTCTTTATTTTTGGTACCGGGGATTGAACTAAGGACCCAGCACCTATGAGGCAGCCCCAGTGCCACTGAGCTAAATCCCTGGCCCTGGTATCTTCTAATGGAAGTCAAGTAAATATTCTATCCAATATACATTTAGTTTCTTCTTAAACTCTGAGCAGGAGCCAAAGGACCCCTGGCAGCACCCTCCTTTCCAGTGGTTCTGGGGCTCCCCTCAGCAGGAGTGTTAACCTGGCCCTACGTCACACAATGCCTCCTGCAGCTGTCACACATGTTCAGATGAGCAGTCCTATACATGTAGAATATGCCACTTCTATGTGCAACAGTTTTAAAATAGTTTATGTAAATAACAAAAGGTTTTCCTTGACTACTTTCTTGTCAGGCAGGCCTCACACAGCTTCCAGATAAAATATACTGCAGACAAAAAGAAACTTTAAGAGGATCCGAATTCACCCTTTAGCTGTGATGAACAGCAGGCCAGCAAGTGTCACTCACATCAGCATCTGGGACCGAGGGCTGCTGAAAGTCCTTCCACAGTTTCCGAGGAATAACCTTCAAGGGGATATCATGTGTCACAATGCGACTACTGGTGGACATGGACAGCTGCCAAGAAAAGAAGCATAAAGACTTTATGTTGTCAGTATTAAAAGCAAAAACAAAATTAAAAAATTGCAGACAAAAAGTTGAGAGATCAAGTCTGAATAGAATGATTTTAATTCATTCATCCAAAATTCATTCAACCAGTACTGACAGGGTGTCAGTGCTGGGCTGTGAGTAGCTGACCGATGTGTGCGTGTGGTGGATCAGATACCATCCCCAGCGCTGCAGGGCACAAACAGACCAGTGAAGAAGCGAACAAATGAAACGCATGTGATTCTCACTCATTAGAGCCCTGACAAAACATGGACATGGCACTGACCAGGCTGTGCTTGGGAAGGTCCCTGCCTGGGAGGTCAGGGGAGGCCTCTCGGGGTAGGTGACACTGCAGATGACAACAAAATGAGAGGCAGCCAGCCATGAGGGGCAGTGTCTGCAGCACGAGATGGAAGCTGACTTGCTCTGCGGCAGCAACCCAGGACCCACTGGTTGTGCACAGGTCCCTGGTCTGTGGCAGTTCCTACACTGCGGAAGAACAAACTATGCTTATCTATTTCCAGAGGCTTCTATGAGACCCACAGACCAAAGTCTCTTGCCCTTTTACACAGAAAAGTATCATACGTTACTACTTTTCTTTTCCTTAAGAAAGTGAAGAAACTCCAGATTCACACTGACTGTCCTGGTTAGCTCTAAGAACCGACTCACTGCAGAATTGAGCAGAAGTTAGAGTTGAGAAATCTTCTTCCACAGAGAGCTGGAAACCCTAAACAATACCTGCCCACAGATGTGCAAAGCTGTACAAAATAAAAGGCAGGAGAGATGCAAGGATAGCAGAGGCTGGGCAGGGGGCAGCACTAATGCTGAGCATGTTATAAAGAAAGGGTTTGGCTAGAAGGACGGAGACACCAAGTTGAAGGCTCAACATCCCCACTCTCTGGGAGCTTGGGAAGAACTGGACCTATCCAGGGAACAACTTGGAGGGTAGTGAGTTGTGATTTGGGTCCCAGATACATTGGGCCATATATGAAAGGCTTTGAACATCATATGAAGAAATAGTAACTTCATCCAGTGTGTGTGTGTGTGTGTGTGTGTGTGTGTGTGTGTGTGTTCTAAGGACAGCTGTGCACTTAACTCATCTGGCAGCACATAAGACAGATGTGTCACTGAAAAATGACTGGTGATTTAAAGACATTCTAGCAGCAGAGGTAGGGAGAAGGCACATCAAAAGTAAAAATGGATAAAGACCGTGATTTCTACACTGGACAATAATACCATTAAAAGACATTCAGATGCTGGAAACTTTATTCTTTGGAAAAGGAAGCATCCTAGTCGAATGCTGTATGATCACAACATTAAGGTAACTAAGAGGAGAAACTGACTCTAAAGGAAAAAAGTCACACACCAGATCTTTAAACAAAATAATTAGCTTTCAACAATCCTGCTTAAAAGCCTAGGTGTAGAACAACTGACGATCCCTGGAGGCTGAGACTCCCAGGAGCTTCAGGAACCCTGTCCCCTACTCACCAGCTCTACAGAGACCGTGAGGCAGGGAAAGTGTTTATTCGTCAACTTGATTTTCAAGGTTCTGGCATTCTGAGCGGTCTTCAAAGCTCGGGATAAGTTTTCTGATGTTAGTTCTAAATAAATCGCATTGTTCTCCGCAGAGACTCCCTCCATTTGAAACTCACTGAAAAAGTTCTCCTAGAGGAGGAAAATCGGGGCACGTGAGTAAGGCCTTTCGGTGGCCCGGTGGAGCCCGCGCCTTTAGAGCCTGCTCACCTGCTCCAGCTCGCACCACATGCTCACCCCGCCGCCCACCAGCCTGTCGCAGAGGATGAAGTTCAGCTTCTCCGGGCTGATGCGGAGGGTGCAGGTTTTGGCCAGCTTAGCTATCATGTTACTGACTCCTAGGGCGGGGAACAAGGCAAGGAGTTACTATTGGGAACATCACGCGTCCTTACTCCTAGAACTTCTCATTCATCCGGGTGCAACTTCCCAGGGCGAAAATAACAATTGCCCTTGGGACCCCGATGGGAAGTGCTTCCACACCGCCAAGTCGGGCCATTCTCCCAGCAACGACAGGAGTGAGGCGTGTGGCACGCAGCACTAGTACCCAACAGGGAAACTGATGCCCCGAGACGATCTGGCACCTGGGGTGGGGCATTCCTACATTCAACACAAACTTCGGGCGCTGCAGCAGAGCTCAGGGACCGTTAGCCTGGTCCGATGGAGAGCCGTCTCTGCCGGATAGCAGCATCTCTGGGGCTGCGGTCCAAACACGACCACGTGACCCGGATGAAGCGGCAGAAACCTGCGGCCCCGCCTCCACCTTCGCCCCGCGATCACCCCGGGTCCCTACCCCGCCCCGCCCCCCGCAGGGCTGCGGCCGCAGCTCCCGCCTTCTTCCGGTCCTCCCGCTGCCACCAGCAATCCAGCTCACGCGTGAAATGATTCAGACAGGCCGCGTCCACGATCTTGGCACGAAACTTCATGGCGGCACCGGGCCCCGCAGGACGGCGTCTATCCCGGGAGGACTCGGGTCCATCCCTGAGCGTCCCGGCCGGAAACGCGGCCTCGCGCCCAAAGGTTCCGGTCCCCCCCACAGAGCGGAGCCGGTGTTCCCGGCCAGAGGTCCTAGCAAACGCTCCGGGGTGGGTGAGTCCGTGAGCCTACGCCCTCCTCCCCAGTTCCTACCGACCCTGGTGGAGCCTCCAGCTTCGGGGCGGACTCATGTTCGGAGAATTCACCTTTTGAAAAATGCTTTGACACCTATTCAAGTTCTGGGTTTCGCTTTCTTTCATTTTTTCTTTTTCTCCTTTTTCGTAAGGATTGACCCCAAGGCCTTTGCACGGAGCAGCATCCCCAGCCCTTTTAATTTTTTTTATTATTTCGAGCTGGGTCTCCCTAGGTCTCCGTTTTGTCCAGGCTGAACGCCCTGCCTCAGCCTCCCTGAGGGCTGGGATGACAGGAGTGTGTGACCGTGCCCCCTGTTTTAAAACAGGCCAATCAAATCCAACTTATTAGAAAATCAGTTTACAAAGATTCAATAAAGTGTAGCTTAAATACATTTCTTTAAAGTGAAATAGCTCGAAACCCCCACCAGCCTGATAACAGTACTGCTACCTCAGAAGTTTAAGGTTCTGAACATTGTTTCAAATTTTGAACATGTTACTGATCAGTCGTTAAAGACAGGGTGCTTGAACTCTGAACCTCCGTCTGCGACTGTCTCAGTATGAACTTTACCAGATTTGATAAAATTCTTATTAGCTTGCAGTAACAAAGGGCTTGAACCGCAGAAACGTATTTTCTCGTAACTCTGGAGGCAGGACCTCAGCGTGGCTGGTTTCTTCTGAAGGTTTTCCTGGGTAGGCAAGTGGCTGTCTTCTCCCTGAACCCTCATTAACCTCCCCTCTGTACACGTCTATGGCCAATTTCCTTAAAAAAAAAAAACAAAACAAAAAAAAACCAATCAAGATCAGCACTGTGGATTAGGGCCGTTATTTGCCCTTGGTGATTAATCACCTCTTTAAAGACCCCATCTCCAAAATATAGTCACGTTCTGAGGCACCAGGGTTAGGACTTCAAGAGGAGACTTTTGGAAGGGCACAGTTCAGCTCATAATACCAAACAACGTAAAGGAAGTGAGGGCTGGGGATTTAGCTCAGTGGTTCCGGCGCCTGCCTTGCAAGCGCAAGGTCCTGAGTTTGATCCCCAGTACCAAAAAAAAAAACCCACACAGACAACGTAAAGGAAGTGTGAGTGGAAGCCGTCATGTTTCACTGTTTATGCCCCGGGAAATGAAATAAAGGGGTCAGAACTCCTTGCCTTCTTAAAATAAGTCAACTTATTATAACTAAGTTTGTGGGTAAACTCACCTCTTTCAGTTCCATCTTGGGACAACCACGGGACTTAGAATCTTGATTAAACCAGCAGTAGAGGGGGAAAGTGCAGGAATCTTAATATCACCTAGCATTGTTTTAGAGCAAAAAGGAAACAGTGAAATGGCTAGTTTCTCTCTCTTTTGTGGCCTTGAAGTTAAAAAGATTTTTTTTACTAATAGACTTTATTTATTTAATTTTTTTGGTACTGGGGATCGAACTCGGGTCCTTGAGCTTGCGCAGCAGGCGGCAAAACCACTGAGCTAAATACCCGGCCCCTAGACTTTATTTTTAGAGTAGTTTTAGGTTTACAGAAAAACTGAACCAAAAGTAGAGTTCTACAATCACCTTTACCTGTGCCCCATGCACGGCTTCTGTTATCTTGTACTAATGTATATTTGTTATAACTGACGAACCAGTATAGATATAGCATTAATTAAGGCCCACAGTTTACATTAGGGTTCACTCTGTACAATTGTGCAAGTTTTGACAAAAGTATTATGTCCTATATCCACCACCATAGTATCATACAGAGTGGTTTCAACCACATCAAAAATCTCTCAAGCACCAGCTATCCCTCCCTCTCCCCCCAGCTCCAAGGCCTTGGAAAACACTGATCTTTTGGCTATCTCTGTGGGTTTTTTTCCAGAATGTCATATGATAGGAATCTATAACATACAGCCTTTTCAGACTATTTTCGGTTAGAAATATGAATTTAATGTTCTTCTGTCTTTTCATGACTTGATAGCTCATTTCTTTTTAGCATGGAACAATATTTCATTGTCTTGTGTTTGTTTATTCACCTATTAGAGGACATCATTTGCCTCCACATCTTGGCGATTATGAGTAAAACTTCTCTAACCATTTATGTGTAAGTTTTTGTGTGAGCATAAGTTTTCCTGTCTTGTAAATCCCAAAGAGTGCAGTCGGGGGGTAGTATGAACTGTGTGTGGCTGTACTATTTTCATTTCTATCAACAATGAATGAAAATTCCTGTTCCACATTCCTGTCAGCACTTTTGTGTTTTTGGATGGTGGTCATTCTAATAGGTGTATAGAATTATCTTCATGTTTTAATCTGCAAATCCTGGATTACACATGTTGGGCATCTAGTCATATGCTTATTTGCTGTCTGTACAGCTTTTTTGTGAAGTATCCAGATTTTTTTTTGCATATTTTAATTGGGTTGTTTTCTAATCATGAGTACTGTTTGGTTTTTTTTGGTACTGGGGATTGAGCTCAGGACCTTATGCTTTCCAGGCAGGCGCCTGAACCACTGAGCTAAATCCCCGGCCCATGAGTACTGTTTTTTAAAAATATTGGATGCAAATTCACTATCAGATATGTTTTGCAGTATTTTATTCCAATCTGTGGCTTATTTTTTCATTCTCTATTTAGGTCTCATGCACATTTCAAAAATCAGACTTTTTTCTTTTGGTACTGTTGTTTGTATAAATTAGAATAGTCATTATGGCTAATAGTACTGAAATTCCTCATGAAACTGAAAATAGAACTATCATATGATTCAGGAATCCCACTGCTAGGTAAATCCCACTGCTAGACACCCAAAGGAACTGCAACCAGTATGCTGAAGAGATGACTGCACTCCCATGTTTATGCATCTCTACTCACAGTAGCCAAGATGTGGAATCATCCTGTGTCCATCAAGAGAAGACTGGGTTAAAAACGTGTGGTATGCATATACAAAGCAAGACTGAAAATGCAGCAGAGCAAATGTTAAGTTCTGTAGCTCCGTATCTGGCACCTGGGGCACAGGGTAGTGTCATATGATTTCCAAGGGACTTGGTCAGCCCCAAGCCATAGCCTCATATACACTGCCTTGCTCTTGGGCTAGTTTCATTCATGATGTGTACATTTCTTTTGCAGACATTTCACATTCCTGACATCTCTGACTTATTGGGAGCTCCACTGCACATGGGGCTTCATTCCCACAGCTTCATACACCACCCTATCAGGGACTCCTTACCTGGACTCCCACAGGCCTTCCTCTGAAACCTGACTGGAAGTCTCCCTGACCCCACAGCTCTTGTATTTTGCGTGCTAATAAAACCAGCAACACACGGACAATGCCAAAGTCTGCTGTCAGTGAGAAAGGTGGCTGGGTCCCCTTGGATCATGCCTATAGTGGCCTCTGGGTGCCTGGAAGACTGGACATTGTAAAATGCGTCCTGGGGAAACAATTCTTCAGAAAGCCTTTTGCAAGCAGGTATCCCAAAGATGCTCTTCTCAAATACTTCTGTATTTGATATTTTTATACCTTTGACCCTGTAATAGGTGGATCTTGACGATTCCTGAGATGCCCTCAAGGCATCTTTCTTATCCCTGTACAAAATACTTGGTTTCTTTTTAACAGTGCTAATCACTTCAGCAGTCACAACTCTTATGGCTGCAACTTTGCACAGTTCCTTCTGGGCCCAGAACTTAAGTTTTCCACATTTTTCTGCACTGTACTTTGCTCCCAATTCTCATTACAAATCTTGCTAAAAGTAGCCAGCAGTACCCATCCCACAGCCTGAATGCTGGGCTATTTTGAAATTGCCATTACCAGATTAATTTTTCCACCACTTTTAATCTCAGTCTCCCACAAAGTTTCAGGATATAAGCAAACTATAGACAATTTTTTTTTGTCAGAGCATAGCACACGACCTCTAATTTAAATGCCAGTGGAATTCCTTGTTCCCATCTGAAAGCTCTTCAGCTTGCCCTTTACTAACCCATTCCTATTAGCATTCTGGTTTTCTGAGCTTTACCAGAATTCCCTATTAGGCTGTTCTTATAGCATTCTAAGGCTTCTCTCTCTAGCTTGGATCTCTAAACCTTTCCAAATTCCTTCTGTAAACCAGTTCCAAAGGCCTCTAAACTACTTGGTCAAGTATAGTTACAGAAATGACCCCATTTCTGGTACCAATTTCATGTATTAGCTTTTTTTTTTTTTGGTACAGGGGATCAAACTCAGGACCTTGCGGTTTCAAGGCAGGCGCTGGAACTACTGAGCTAAATCCCCGGCCCCACATGCATTAGCTTTTTTATTGCTGAGACACAACACCGAACATTCACAGCTTAAAGGTTGAATCTGCTCGTGGGTTTAGTCCATGATTGGCTGGAGTCAAGGCAGAGACATCATGGCAGAAGGGCCTGGCAAAACAAAGCTGCTTAGTTTACGGTGGCCAGGGAGCACAGCAGGTGAACAGTACCTGAGAGGAGCAGATTATAGGCCATACGGTGCACCCAACAGCATGCCTCCATGACCCATCCAAGCACATCCAGATGATGGCTTCCATTCGTGCCATTTCCACGCGGCACAGTGGACAGCCACGGCGGGAGCAGAGACGATCCTGAATTAGGTCGGTCACACAATCCTGTTGCTTATTAGTTTCATTGTGACCAACAGCATTATATACGTACAAAGAGCAAGTACAGTAAGGTGGCGCACGACCCAAGCTGGATCGCAGGAAACAAAACTTTGCGGGCAATCCATCACGCCAGGATGCAGGGATTGAGCTGGTACGCGGCTCCTGCACAGCGGAACCGCACAAGGGCGTCAGGAGCTTTTGCTGTGAACCTGAATGTTAGGTATTTCAGAGCCCCCACAGAGCAAGCCCCCTCCTCTCCTTCCCCTTTGCCCCACTCCGGTCACAAGGAACAGGGAACTTCCGCATAGCTAAGGCATGACCTCCCTTTGTTAGTGACTTTCTGCCTAGTTAAGGTCTTTCTGCCCCACCGGTTCCTTAGTCAGATATTCCAGTGAGACAGGGGCTTCCCGAAAGCAGTTACTCCATCCCCCCGACCGAAACCTATTGTTACATACCCCTGCCCCAATTACCCAGCTCCCCCCACC